AGTTTCATTTTTCCTCGTTCCTTCTGGTGAATTCTCAAGGTATTCCTGAGGTTAATTAAACTTGTCTAAAAGCCAGTTATAGGCTATGTGAACGATCACATCGTCCACTTTCTCCACATACGTCTTGACAGGACGGTGTTATTTCAAATTATCATGCTAGTGATCTTTTGTATCACAATTGTCATCTTTGATTTCTGCGGGAGTTATCGGTAGATCAAAATTCTTTGAAGCTGTGAATGAAATTCTGGAAACTCTGGAATGGGGAGGGTTAAAGGATGCCATAAAGGGTGTAGATTTTTATTTTTATTATTATAACAATAATTAGCAATTATCGGATGAGGCCAATTATGATATGAAGAATTATACAGATCGCGGAGGGTGTTATCTGATTATGCCCTTCAAGAGCTGCATAACTTTTCATATCATGAAAGCAAAATCCAATAATTTCTTATCTGTTAAAAATGTGGTGACAGGAGTGCATTATGACAAATAACATTGTTTGTTTTTGTCCGTTTAGTTTGCCTGTTGCTGCTGTTCTACAGCTGCCAGTTGTTGTTGTGCGTGCTGTCCATCATGTCGCAGTTCAACGTCCACCCGTATTATGTATACTGTGTTTTTACTACTGGGAACTATTTTGTCTTGCATCATGTTATCTACAGGCATACAAGATGCAATGGTAGAAAAGGTATCGTAAAGTTTGAGTTAATCTATCAACAGCAGGCGTTATTGGTAGGTGTCCATTTTAATAATATATATCAGGGCCCAGTTGGAAAGCAGATTAACTTCTTATTTACTTACTTTGTCCAATCTCCAAATCGAGCCAATTCTATGGCTTTTCAATCACTCGAAACATGCTACTCAGGTCCATACTCCTAATAGTACAATGTAGTTGCAGTTTTCCGCTAACTAGAATTATTTGGATCATATGCCACCAGTCAGTGTAGTAAGGCCAATATACCAGTTTGTTGATGATTGACCAAATCCACTACAGGAGACTGTACTGTCAGGAGCACTGCAGCTAGCTTGCGAGTCAGGTTCAGGTTTTTTTGGCTCTAGTTTCTGGTTTCACCCGCCGGGTGAAACTAGAAACTAGAGCTGAAAAAACTGGATGCTGTCACAGGCTACACTATTGCCTACCCCAGGATTATTTGTCGTTGAGGCTTTAAGTACCCCTCTAGTAGTAGAATAAGATTGCAGTAATAATTGCCTTTAGCTTTTAGTGGTTGATATTCTATGGGCTTATTTGACTTTTTTTTCTTACCATAAGGTACCATTTTTGAGCGAAGCTTGTGAGGCAGCCTCATTAGAACCAAAATGCAACCTTCTGGTTGGATACCTGGCTGTTTACAGAATTTGCTTTGGAATGGCAGCGTTCTTTTTTCTTTTTATGATTTTAAACTTTGGTGTTAGTTCAAGTAAGGAATGCAGAGGAGGACTGAACAATGGGTGAGCAACAAGCTCATTCCCAGATTCCTCCCCTCAGTAGGGGAGGAACCTGGGAATGAGGTTGGGTGAGCATCAGCACCGAAAATAATAAATTGTTTTGGACTTGCCTTTGGCTCATGATTCACAAAATTAGCCTTTTGTTACATTATCGCTTTTCATTTAATAAGTTTTGTCAGAGCATTCAATTTGTAACTTATGTTATGCAACCAGCTACATTAACCCCCATTGTTAATAGCAAGTAATTAGGTCTTTTCATATCTTTTGTTTAGAACAGTAATGTGTGTTTCATCTATGTGAATTTAGTAGCTCTACTTAAGGCAGTTTTTTTCTTTTCAATCAATGCATTAAAATGTTTCAGAGTTTAGTCTAGACTCTGTTTTCACCTTTCTCATGTTTTCTCAATATCAATGTCTGTCGCTTAAAAAAGAAATGTAAATTGTACTTGAGAGTATTGTATATATGCATGTAAGCTAAAAAAGAATGTTTTGATTTAATTTTAAACTTTAAAGGTTTTGGGGACTGAAGTTTCTTCTTTTGGTGGCTTTGTGGGTGGCTGCATTTTTCATTCCTCGAGGGCCATTTGGACAAGGTTAGTCAGACCAAGTGAATGCAGTGAAACTCTATTTTCTTTTCCTTTAAAAAGTACTCCATAACTTTTTAGCAGATTAATTCTCATAGAATGTCATGAACATCATTCAGAAAAACCTTAAAACCTCAAAGCAGTTTTGAGTGCTGCTTTGTGAGAGTATTTTGCAATGTTTGGCAGATGGATTTTTCACTAGAATTTGGATGATTCTGTGTGAAAATGTTGAAGCTGTCAGTGCCTGCATGATTGTCATGGCTTTTTGAGTATAGTTTGAAAATTTCTGTTTACAGCCAGGTTTAAAGGGGCCAAAATTTTCTTGGGCCCTTAGTTAAGCAGACAATAAATACTAAAATCCACTTCAAAAAAAGCCTTTATAAGGTACTGTTAGACTTGAACAAAACAAACTTAACTAATAACGTAAAAAGCAAATTGAACCACTCCATATAATGAGTATGGATGTAGTTGTTTCAGGTTATGTACTGTACAGCAATATAATAAAAAATATTAGCTTAAATGTAATCAAAAGGGACAACTCCTGCAAATGTACCACAAACGCCTGGTCCAGCTTACACTTTTTGTCACACTTAATATTGTCATTGCTTTTCCCAAGCTCAGGATTAGTATCATTTCAATAACACTTTTTGAAAATAATTTTCAGCATGGATGTACATTGGTTTTATTGGTGCCTTTGTGTTCATTCTGATCCAGCTGATTTTGATGATTGACTTCGCACACACCTGGAATGAAATTTGGTGAGATAAACCCCACTGTACCAGATTTTCATACCCTGTCTCATACTAAACTACTTGAAAGTTAAGACCATGATGGAAATCAGTCAGAAAAAGTCAAAAGAAATATTGTTGTAGGGGATGATTGTGACGATAACCGCTCTTGACTTCTTCCCACTATTTTGCCAAAGACTAAAAAGGGGTTATTGTTAATGGACACTTTCTGAGCAGTATTTAAATAAGCATTTCTGGTTTTATTATTAGTTGGAGAGGGCATTGTTGTTTCCTAGTCCAAATCTGGCTAAATAACATTTGGTATTCACTGTAGTTTCAGCTTTCCAGGTCCATACAGTTCACCTGACTTAATAAAAATAAATGTTAAACAAATGGCTCAGCTCAGTGTATACTTATTGAGTTGTGGCTGCATGCAGGATGTGGAGTAATTACTTGTTGTGTTTAATAGGGTATGTCTCAATTTGGATTGTAAAACCAACCAATATACTGAGTGCGCACTAGCTTTTGTCAACTATTGGTCAAGTACCCATTTCACTACCAGTATTATTAGAGTGTGTTCTAAAATACTTTTTTTGATCTTACATGTAGGTTATAACAGCAAGTAAAGTTTAACATATCAATAAAGAAAGTTCATTAGAATGTTTGTTTCACCAGGACATCAAAGGCTGATGATGGCAACAAGTGCTGGTATTCTGGTGAGCATTTACTAACAATGAATTTAGTGAAACAGCAAAACTATAAATTATTGTTATTGTTACTTTTTTGTTACAAAAAAGAATGAGAAAGTTGGCTTTTGTAATAGCATGGTAGAAGTGAGCCACCTTCAGCTGTCATATTATACATGAAATGTATATTATCTTTTTGTGATACATGTACTTTTGTCAACAGTGGATGATTGATTCGAGGTACTCTTCACAAACGCTCTGTGGGTGTCTGGATAGCACAGTGTAGACCTACAGAAATAAACTGTAGTTATTGATTCTACATCCATTCTACATGTACTTGAAAGGATTTGTTATTAATTTTTTAAATGAGTTTAAAAAACAAGATGATTTTCTTTGTCCTCCCACTAGGACTTTTCTTCTTTATGTTTGTCTTTTTTGCCTTGGCACTGACGGGATTTATATTATCCTACGTCTTTTTCACAGGGGTATGTGTAGATTATATTTGTTATATAAACTAGATTGAAAAGTCTCTCATTACATACAAATATGATACGATAAGTGACTGTAGAACTAGGTGCTAAAGTATTGTTCCTATAATGGCTATCCTTTGGTGACATAAAAGTCAATTTATTTGAACAATTAAACCAACTGAAAGAACCTTTAATATTTTACAGATATATAAGGGATAGGATTTTTCTTGGTCTTTTCCATTCTACCTATTGTCAGGTTTTCAGTGACGTTCCAGAGTCTCCAGGGCAGACGTGTCCTAACCAGCATAGACAGTTTCTGATTACAGCATGGCTTTCAGTAACAACAATATCAATATTATTTTCACCCATGCTCTTTGTAATGTATATGTTGTAATATCATTAATAACAGTTTTGATCGATTGTGGTTGTTGTATTTTCAGTCAAGTGGCTGCCACCTGAACAAGTTCCTCATCAGCTTTAACCTCATCATGTGTTTTGTCATCTCTGTGATCTCAATTCTTCCTAAAATTCAAGAAGGTGATCTTCTTCTTATAGCGTAGTTTTAGTTTTTTTGTGTGTTTTCCACTTGGGTTTGGTTTTCATTTACACAAAAGCTACTGTAATGTCACATATCAGGATGTTCATGAGGCATGGGAGATCAAAGAATTCCCCTGTTAATTATGTAGAATTCTCCGGCAAATGTTCGGTAGCTTATGACTATTTTGTACTCCCCCAGACGTGAAGCCCCTTTCAAAATATTCTCGTGGAATGTTACACCTTCCTCCTGCTACTTGAATTCTCAGTGAAAACCCTGCATGCATATGAAAGGTTGTATGGTGTACTTGGAACTCAGGAATTTGATGTTCTGGCACGTAGTTTTTGCTCTTTTTTTCTTTTAGCTCAACCCAAGTCTGGTCTCCTTCAAGCGTCCATTATCTCCTTGTATGCAAGTTATCTTACCTTGTCTGCTCTTTCCAACCAGCCAACAGATCAAGGTAGAGCTTTATACATGTATATGCATTATTTACCAAGCGTGAGGTCAAGATGGCTGGATTTTGCCCAATTTTTGCTTGACCAAGATGAAGTTACAGTCTATAAAAATGCCGAAAATATTTGAAAAAGAAAAGAACAAGGCCAATATGTAGCCATGTTGACCAAACAAGTTTGGTCAAAAATAGATTTCTTATGTGCATGTGCAATAATGGATGTTTTTCTTGCGGAGCCAATGCAAGTAATCCTGAGCTTGCTAGATAGAAGATGCCCATCTTGCCTTCTTGGGTAGCAAATCAGAACTCAGGATTTTCCTCACGTTGCCCACAAGTGGAAACAGCCTTAGTTAATAAACGCCTCTGAATTCACATTTTTAAATACTGTTAATGTAACGGTTTTCACCATTGTGTGTGCTTGTTTGTTTAATGTTACTTCTTTTTATTGTCATTCCTCATTCACAAGGAAAAGAAATTTGTGGATCTTCCTTGGGAACAATTGAAAATTCAGAGACAGTTGCTTTGGTTGTCGGGCTCCTTGTAATGTTTATTCTTGTCGTTTATTCAAGGTCAGTCATATTACCATTCCCCTCTTTTTTCCCAACAAAAATATTTGTGTTGTTAACTTCATTTTCAGTTGGCCATATTCTGAAAATAAAAACTCATAAAAATTTTAAATGTGTAATATTAAAGAGTCTCTAATAACGGTGAATCACTCTCTCCGAAACCGCATCTTTTTTAAACGGCTTTTTAGATTGGTTAAGGTCCCGTCCATTTGAATGTGGATTAAAAAATGATTGTACCATTTTTCCTACTTTTTACGGTGTCATGCGGTTTCAGAAATGTGTGGGTTCATGTAGATGGTTCTAAGTGATAGAATGCCAGCTCTTTTAAGGAATTTCTTCAGAGACTTCATAGATCTGTACATGTATGTTCCATCGACCCCATAAATGTTAAATGTTTGCTCGGTCACTTGCGACCGAGGGCCACACCACTTTTTCCAAATTGAAAGCTGGCCGTAAGTTGAATTAACGTTCGACACGACACGGTTACTACTCCTGTAACGTTTTTTTTCCAGCATAAGAACTGTTGGAAGTGCTGATAAACTGGCTCCAGCCGGGCCTTCAAGCAGTTCCACCAAAGGTAGGTAGCTTGTACCACTATTATTTCCGCTAATTGCAAGTTTTCGAAGTAAAGTTTGAAAAGAAACTACAAAATTGATAAAACTGGTGGTCATGATACTAAAGCAGAACATTCAAGCAGTTTACTCTAGGATAGGGTATATAAATCAGAGCGTTTGGGTCTAGAATAGGGTATCATTTTTCAGGAAACTGATCAGTTGGTTGAAGATTTTATCTAGATTAGGGAAACAGCTACTCTAGGATAGGGGGGATTTGGGGAGTTTACTCTAGTATAGGGTAGCAAAATTCAGCTGAACTAGCTCTGGTATAGGTTAAGGGTTCCAGGGTTCCAGCAGCTCATCCCCACCGAGAAATTCCTAAATCCCCCCCGCCCCGGGCAGAGTAGGCCCGTGGCCATTCTCGAGTTGCCCCAAGCCTCTGTTTCAAAGCGAGGCTAAGTACGATGTTTGATGTTTTATTCTCATGCTAATAAAACTCGTGATGATTTTCACAAGAAATGTTTTGCAAATCGGACGTGGCCTATTTAGACCTACGAAACACAGTGCCAGGATTTCCTTTCCTGATCACGAGGGAGTGAATTGCATCCGCTTCCACCGTTGTCATGATAAGTTATTTGGCTTTTTTATTCTCTCTTTCATTATTTATAATACAGTATTTTCACTTTCACCTCAGATGATGAAGAGAAAGGACAACAGTTGATAAACGACGAAGAAGATAGCGTGGCGTACAGCTATTCTTTTTTTCACTTTATTCATTTCCTGGCGTCATTGTATATCATGATGATGCTAACGAATTGGTACAGGTACGTGGCAAGGGGTGTGACACCCTCTAATTCCCACTACAGTCAACTCCCGCCTCGCTGGGATAGCAGAGCAAAAATTATGAACGTTTGACAGGAACAAACTCTCTCTTGCTTACTTGCGAATACGCTTAGCCTTTTGATCCTAACATCATAACTGTTAAAAACTTTGCTATGATTACCAGATCTGAGTACAAGAAAAAACCGAATGAATTGTGGTCTAAGTAATAAATGATGCCATCTTGCATGGAAATGCCCTTCCATAATCTGCCACGCGCTTATAAGGTCTTCCCACTCATAAGCACCCCCCGCCCCTATTGATAGGCCCATCTACCTATACACAACAAAAAAGGCATTCCATTATAAGCCCCCCTTCCCCAGATGTAACCCCCCTCTAGCATGTATTGAAATGAATTTGATTCATAACGACTTTGTGAAGCTTAATGAAAAACCAGTAAATGCAAAACTTATTTTATCAGCACTGCTATAGTTTGTTTCAAAGCGTTTTAAGTCCCTCCGTTTATAACCCCTCCAAACCCCTCACGAAGATGTATAAGCCCAGTTCTTTTAAGCAGCAGTTTACGGTAGTTTCTTCTCTTATCTTTTTTTTCAGTCCTCAGGGTTCTAAGCTGGAGGAGTATCAGCGGACGATTGGTTCATTGTGGGTGAAAATGGTATCGTGTTGGCTCGGTTTTCTGCTTTATCTCTGGACACTTCTTGCACCTATTTGTTTCCCTGGAAGGGACTTCAGCGCTACCCTCTCTCGCTGACAAAACAATGCTGTAATTAATGTATTTTATAAATTTGAACCAGGTAGAAATATCTTTATACCTGCATTAGTAGCTGTAGCCTGCGCCTAATCTCCCAACGGATCTCGCGTGACTTCTCGCGATGCCCGCTAGCCCCGCCTTAGCTAGCCTCCCACGCAGGCGTTTTTAGGGGAGTTCGTTTTTCATCCCTCCCCTGAAAGACGAGCTCCCCTAAAAACGCCTGCGTGGGAGGCTATGCCTTAGCCTGTTCAGGCGTTCAGATAGTAGAGCGCGGCGGCAAGTCAAAGAGCGGGAAAAAAATAAGGAGGGAGAGAGGGGGGACCACACCCCCTCGCTGTTTTTCCCGCTTACATATTTTTCTACCGTCCCCAGATTTTGAACACCTGGAACAGGCTAGACTCCCTTAAATGGAGATAGTGCTTGCAGGCAACAGTAGATAGCTTTAAGCAAGCTAAGAGCGTAAATACTTTTTCTAAGAAGTTGTTAATATTCATATATAATACATAATGCTTGTTTTTAGAAATCTTAGCCTATAGCATTAACGTTAAAATATGTTTAGAGTCAGACCTTGAGGGTTGGAATCGGGATCAAGAAGAAGTTCTTGAATCCGTGCAAAATGAAAGGATCTCGAGGAAACGTTGTTCGGGAAGAAAACATGCTGCCCATCGAAAAACCATCAGCGCATAAACCTGAGCAAGCGAATAACATGTACAGGAAATAAGGCTCTCAAATATGCCCAATGGTTGGCTTTTAGTAGAACTGTCTTCACCGTCATACTTCGATCTGTCGATTATTATCTCACTTTAACCCGCAATCTGGTGTTGGCAAAATTATTTCGAAAGGAAGCTTGAAAACCCGAGCAAGCAGCGGAGCTTAAGAACGGACTTGCGCATTCTCAACTACATTATTTAAAGGTTCAAAACCTTATTTCATATTTTGTTGAATAACTTTAACACCAGCCTTTTTATTTACTGAATAATTTTTACAATTTATTTGGAAGTTGATGTCACAGATGTGTCTCTTTCAAGCACTTAAACAGTGTAAACCTAGATTTTTTAATCAAGTACATGCATATATAGCGTGGCTCTAAATTTGATCGGTGATAATAAGATATTTGTTTTATCGCCAAATCAGTGTTGAAAACATTAATAAACGTTGTAAAAGTTAATGTGAACATCCGTAAATCCTCTTTTCTTATAATTATTTTACTTATTACTACCACTAGAACCGTCCGAACACTACATGATCTTTGCTGATTACAACATATAGTTATGAAGCCAAATTATTAGGTCGGGAGCTCCCAACATAAAACTGAAGTATCATTGTTTTCATCTGGATTAATGGCTAAATAACCAATCCTCTCTAAAAATTTTATTGGAACATATCGTTAAGGGACTTAAAAGTTACGGGAACGATAGAAAGGCCGGCCATCTACGTAATGTAAAAGTTAAAATTTGATTAGAGATCTACCTCTAAATACTGCATGAAGAAAGAAATTAAACATTCACGGCTTCCTAGTCCGTGTTGGTGGAATGGATTTCGTCCTCGCCGGTCTACCTCCGCCAGCTTTGTATCTCCTTACAGACCCTGCATTTCTGTTCTCCGGTTCTAAGTTGACCACCACTGAATTCTTCTCTAGGAAACATTCGATGGCAAAGGGAGCAGGCAGTATTCGCGGGAGCAAAATCAAGAGTTCCTTCATCTGGAATGATGTCGAGTGGAAGATAAGCGTGTGTTTCGTAGCGATCGTAGTACCTTTTGGCTCGGCCGCGATACAGGTCGACATACCTTTCAGAAGCAACTCGTAGACGCTTCAGATCTCCCCCGTTTACGTTCTTCATCTTATCGTACAACTTGAACATGGCCTTTGTATCGACAACGCAGTACTGTAATAACACCTCTGCCAGAGGCCTTTTTTTCCACACTTCGCTGTCTCTCTTTAAGATAGCTCCTCCTTTCCCCTTGACGATGATGTAATTTGGGTCTTCAACATAGAGCTCAAGGCAACGGCGAAAACCGTTGATTCTCTCTACTTCATCTGTTCTCTGGCTACGACGGATGTTGTTCCGCCCCCTCGGACGTCGAGAAGTGGATTCGCGGCGGTAGATGACTTCAAAAAGCTGAAGATCCAAGACTCCCGTTAGCTTTACGCGGAACTGATGCCAAAGAGCGTCTGAATCTTGTCGGCAATCGAACATCAACTTTTCTTGGGACTTGTCTTCAAGTATTTCGGCAAGTCCAGCACTGAATACGGCTTGTCCCAATTTAAGCACATCAAATATGTAGGCTTTCTCTTCAGTTGCGACCGTGATGATAGTCAGCGCTCCCTTTCTGCTCAGCGAAACACCTTCACAATCAACAGCCAAAAAAGAATTACGTTCTCTTTGCTGCTTGAGCTCGGAGATAGCATTCTTCAAACCTTCCTCATCTTCAACCAGTCTGTAGTCATTTTCCGCGTTCTTGCTACAAGCCATGATTAATTTTCATCTATAGCAACAATGCAAAACAAGGAGAGGGTCCGGTGATTTTGCAAAATCTCTCCAGGCCAATACCCGCCGATACCAATTTATATTAATCGATGTTATGGGTACTCGGGTTAGCGCAATACTGACCAGCACTGTTCACGTGATCAGTACCATGCGAATGTCAGAACGACATCGTCTTGATTTCCAATGATGGCAGAGATAAATCGAAGGGGAGTGAAAGTTTCACATAAGGATTTCTATCGGTGTGGGTTAAAGTCGCCTTTGGTCGTAAACCGTATTTCAGCTATTTGTATGACTAATGATAAGAGAACGCCGCGGTATCGCGTGTTGTAAAAGTTGATAAAGAATATCGACAACTTACTTCATATTCAATCGATTTATAAAAACCGGTATCGTTTCATGTTACTCAATTTATTTGCATCGATTAGCGAATTCCAAGAACTTCACTCTCTTCTTCCGCACTGTTTCTCAGAACTGGAAGTTTATTGTGAAAAGACTCAAACCGAGGGGGGCTGGGTACAAGCACGTGAAATTTTGATTATCAACACAAGACCCATACTGTAATCAGAAATTAACAGCTCATTGCGCTGTGAAAATCTTCAAGTCTGAAGTTAGTCAGGCCAATATTTAGCAAGGTAAAGCTATTTAAAAACTTGAAAAGTTACTTAGAGATGTACGGACACATCGTCCTGTCGTCTCTAGAGCGTTTTCGGCGGCGATATTGGTGTTCCAAGACAATGAAATGGCGGCCATGTTGGTGTCCCAAAGCAGTCCTCTTGGAGTTGACTTCTTTCCTTTTGCAAACGCTTTCTGTTGTTCCAGTAAATTACCAGCATAGATGCTGGTCACGTGAGTGGAAACGCTCTATATTGGAGTTTTTTTGTTTTTGTTCTTCTGTTTTTTTTGGGGGGGGGGGAGTGGTGGTGAGGGGTACTCCCTTGTATGGCCTATACGGGGATGTGCCGCTGGACAGGGTATGGCTTTTTATCTCTCTGGCCTAAACAGGGTATATGATTTTGTGCAAGTCTGTCCCAATTGGGGGAGTAGGGTGATAAATTTGAGGGTGTTGTCCTTAATAGGGTCAGGGTTTCAAACCCTGAGCGGCTCGCCTATACCCAAAATGAAATATTGGTCGTTCGTAGGTCGGTCCGAGAATGAACAACAAATTCGCGAGGATTGTGTAAATGTCGGATTCTTCTTTCCAAACTTGTTTATACCATAACAAAAGGACTCTTACCCAGACAGACCCCTCAGTTTGAAATTAGGCAATAGGAACTTTCTTAAATTTGATACCTTCAGTGTCTCGTAGGGAAAAAACACTTCCCAGAATCCAAAACAGGTCTCAGAATTCCGAACACGTCCCAGAATAATAAAGCTTTTCCCAGAAACCAATCTGGATTCTAGGAAGTGTCTTTGTGGTTTTTGTATCCTGGGGCGGGTTTTTGGATTCTTGGAAGTGTTTTGTCCCTACGAGTTACCCTAGTACGGTATCTGATTACGCGCGCGTCCCAAATTACGCATTTTCTTCTTTGTAACAGTTTTCATCTTGTCCTGAAAAATGAGACGCATAAAATGTTAAACTTTCATTGTACGGCCTTAGAGGCAACTTCGAATTTTAACGAATACGACCAAATGTTTTTTCCTATTTACCCCCGTTTTACGCTGCAATAAATTCACTGCAGCTGGAAATAAGTCGTGCCTACCATCCTATGTACCCGTCTTCAATTACCGAATCTTGTGATAATTCTGTAAAGCAGGTGATTGTCGCCTCTGGCTCTGTGTCGTTACTACATTTTTTGCGATGAACGACTAAGGAGGGGCCCTTTTGATTTTTTTTTTTCAGGAGGGGCTTATCTACGGAGGGAAATTTGTGTTTCAAAATCGATTGGGCTAGCCTTATAGTTGGAAGGAAATTTATCGTGTTGTCTTTTGTTTTACTTTGTATTTGAGGCTTATATTTCGAGGGGCGATTGAACGGAGGGTTTTTTGCGTTACTGGCTTGGGGGGGCTTATATTTGGCGGGGCTTATACATGGAGGGGCTTATTTTCGGAATTTTACGGTATTTTTTTCCAGATGGAATTGGGTAGGATGACTATGCCACAGCTGTTTTTTCTGTGGATCTATTAAAGGAATGACAAATAAGACGTTTCTTTTCGTTGAAAAGTTGACGTACAAAGACACGAGCCTACTGAAGACATATTTCCTCCAGGAGTTTTTGTTCCTTTGTAAACTTGTCTCATTTTATCGTTATAGTATTAATCCACAGACGGAACAAAATACAGTCAACTCTAGCCTTGCGGACACCCCAATAATATGGACAGCAGCTAAATCCCCGGCAAGAACAAATTTCAGACGTTCGACTGAAACTCTTGCTATCACGGACTCTCGCTAATGAGAACACTAACTTGAGGTCCCTACAGTGTCCGCAATAAAGGAAGTTGACTGTAATGTCAACGGACCTAACTTTAATGGACATGAATCAGAGCCCTGAAACAATGAAACTGAAAGAAATTGGTGGCTCCTAAGACCTGCATGGTAATTTACCAAAACTGGACAGACAGAACCAACACATTTAAGAGAAACTCGCATGTTTATTTATAGTGCAATTAGGTGCCAGCAAATCAATTAATTTTTAACTCTACTGTGCTTAGAAGCCTAAAATAATTACATACACTGTTATAAATTTAATAGTTCAATTGCAATAACTACCAAAAAACGATTTGCATAGGATATGTGAAATAAATCATAGAGGAACTGTAAATGAGCTCATTACAAATGCTGCCCACATTATAGCCTGCTAGCAAGCTCTCCGTTCGAATTTTCAAGAGATGAACATCACATGTGAGCAAGCGGCAAAGAATTTCAAACAGGATGCTTGCTCACAAGCTATGAATAATAATTAAAAGATGGTGACAGCTAGAGTATACACGGCAAGTCCTTTGGTCCCCCAGAAAGCAAGAATATTAGTTTTCTATTAAGAACACATTCCCAAAATCTTGCATACATTACTTTTAAATCAGAACTCAAAGTGTACCCCAGAAGGAATCCATTTTTTATTCACACTAAAAACGACAAGCAAAGGTTGCTTGTGGTTATAAAAATAGTGCAAACAGTGATATTTAATATACATCCATCGCTTTATTTTCAAATCTCCCAAGCTTCAAACAAAATGATGTTTACTCAACATCACCCAAAACAAAACCTTACCCCTAATTTTTTCAAATGTTGGGTTAGAATTTTGTCTATTTTCTTGTGTGTCACTCTTGTGGTTTATCATGGTTATGACTCATGGCAAACTACAGAGAGAACCCATTTCTCTCTTTCATTTTGAGTCACAAACAAAGTACCCAGGTATGCTGTAACTATATTTGTGGTATGTCAATATTGCATTGCATCAAACATATTTGAATCACTTCTGTACAAACTGAAGATTTACCGTTTTTCAACTATCTGAACAGCCAACAAAACTAATTTAAGAGAAAGTTGCCATAGAAAAAAAATTATAAGGTTTTCTAGGTGATGGAAAGTTTTCATAATTTATATATGGATGACCCCCAAACAACACTGTAGTCCTGTAGTGCATGAAACAGCTTAGAAAGAATTTAAATTTGTTTAACAGTAACATCTCAGGTGGTACTTTATAGAAAATTTATAAATTTATAGAAAATTTATTACTAAGGTTCAGATGCACGTTATGCATTTCTAGTCACTTTCAACAATGTTCAACAGTTCTGGAGACCCCCACCATCTAACACTTCTTGAATTTATCTTGATGGAAACTTTGTTTAGTTTAAAGGGCATTTCAAGCATATGATTCTAACAAAACATTTTGTATTCATCATCTTTCAGTGCACCAGACAAGTTATTTATTGCATGTTCAAGAAGCGCATCCTTGTTTTATTCCTTTTCATGGAATTTTCATCAGTAAAGACAGTGGTGACAAACTTACATTTTCAAATATTTTATTATATGCCAGAAAATTCTACTGGGTTTTCCAATCGTAATGAAGTGCCCATTAGTTTTCAAATATTCCAGCCAAGTCTTATACAGATTCTGTTCAACTCAACTTTTATTTTTATTTCTTAGATGGTATGGGTCTCAGACACACAAGGAGAAATTTGGTCACAGAAAGCTAAAAACCCATAAGAAAAAGATTACAACAAGACAAACATTCCTACTGCTAAGTCTCTTCAAGACAGTGTGTTTGCTGCAATTGAGTATAATTTATTGAACAGCTACTTCAACAAGTGCTCCTTCCCTTACAATGTTCTTTTGTCAGTAGTGATTATATTTATTTGTTACACCTGTTCTAGAATCTTAGGAATCTTTCTTGTCTGATTCTGTAGCAGCCCTTATTGCAGCCTCAGTTGCAGCATCTTTGGCTAGAAAACAAATGAACAAAATTAATACATTCAGTCAGTATGATAATTAACAATTATTCCTCGAGCCCGAATGGGCTATGAGTCAATAGCCCATGAGGCAGAAGGCCAAATTGGCTATTGACTCAAGAGGCCATGACGGCAAGAGGAATAATTATTGTTTTAGTAAAACCCAACTAGTTGGTCAAAAATATTGCGACAAAACAACTTTAGCTAGCAATGCACGATTCAGCCACCATTGTTTTGGTTTTCAAAGCTGGCACTTTTCGCTTCTAGTGGGCTATAACAGTAACAGTAACAGTAGTAGCTCAACCAATCAGAATGCAGCATTGATAATAGACCACTAGTTGGATTTTACTAATGGCACATAGCCAATGATCAACAAACCCACATTTCTGTTTACCATTTTCAGCTTGGCCAACCATAGCTATTTTTTTAACACTTCTTTTCATAAACAGTGTTAAACCCCTTAAAGCCTAAGAAAGAATAACACTGCTTACTCCTAACAACATCTATACAGAGCCAAGAGAAAAGGCTACCATGATAAACCCCAGCGGCATGAGGAGGGGTACAGGCAATAGATGAGGACTTGATGCAGGAAAATCCATGCCCTGGGAGGGATGTTTGATCAACCACACTTGCTCGGGGAAAGGGGTATTTGAATGTTTCAGCAGAGAGACTGGGACTAAGAAGTGAGTGTGGCTACACAAAAGATAAGGTGCAGTTTATAAAGTTAGTTCAATAATTACAGTTATACCATCCAGAGAAATGTATTTCCATTTCTTTGATTTACCAGAGTACTACTTACAAAACCTGGCCTATTTAATTAAGCAATAGAACACACTTTCTATGGGTTTACCGGTGTCATAACCCACGCAGGATGTTGGGAGAACACGAGAAAAGCTTATAAATCATGAGCCGAAGGTGAGCAATTTACAAGCTTTTCAAGTGTTCTCCCAACATCCCAAGTGGGTTATCATGCTGGTAAACCCATAGAAAGTGTGGTCTATTGCTTTTATAAAATAACTTTAAGTTTGCCATGAGTTTACCGGCACAATAAGCCATAGGTTTTTAACCAATCAGAATGCGCATACTATCTTGGTTATGTTATAAAAACGCAGATGATTCAAAGTTGTATGACAGCTGATTATGTTTACGACTAGAACTGCCTCAACACCTGCTCAGTGTTATGCTTTTTAATTATTTAACAAAGTTACAACGCCAAATGATACTGTTTGATGTTTATCAGACAATAATGTCCAAATTGCAGTCCCTTACAAAAAATAATATAATTCTTCACGCATTTCATAACCCTCGCTTTGCATCAAACAAATTTTTCAAGCTCAATACAGAATGTTGCTCATTAAATTTAAGTCCAGAATTTTTAATATAATTTTGACTAGAGCAGATGAAATATACTTGTACGTATATAGAAATTGTTATGACAGCTTAATTTCTGTGCATACATCATGCATTTCAATTTGCAATGCAGTAAACCATTTTGTGCGCTTAGTACCTTCTTTGGCGACTGCGTCTACTTTCTCTCCAACTTTATCAAGAGCTTTATCGATCTGTGATTGGTGTTTCAGCACGAAAGGCTTGATTACTTTATGGTAGAGAGTGTTAGCTCCATTCCATGACACGGGCGCCATACACCAGCAAAGGAATATTAGCTACAAAGAAAAGTAATATAGAATTTAAACCTATTATTTAAGGTCAGCTTGCATCGCAAACGTTTATTTTGTCAATTTCAACGCTCAAAAACAGCTTTAAGTTGTCTCGGAGACTGTGCTTCATTTTTATAAGTTGGATACAACGCCAGTTTGAATAAGCGTATTTAATCAAAAAGAAATTTTATGGATTGGGAAAATCAATTGGCTTACGACGAAGTTCGAAGTCCGTAATATGAAAATTTAACCGGTGCGGACAGGTTTGTGTTTAGCATATTTTTTACGAAAGGCGAGACGTCGAACACAGTTCAATTTAAACAGAATATGCCTAAAAACATTCAATTTCATCATACCTTAACTAAGAAATAAAGAGGGAACCACGAGAGAAGAATGTCCGAGAAAAACTCCACAATGTTGAAAACGCCAAACACCACCCAGTAAATTAGCCATTGAGTGTCGTCTTCTTTTGTTACACTTTCCACGGCTTTTACTCTAAAACGAAAACAGCATGAAAATTCACTTACGTCTAAATTGATTATTTAAACAATGGAGAGGACTTCAGAAGGATTAAACAAGGAAGAAACGTGCAATTTTGCCGGGAAGGCAGATGGTTTTCAAGTAGACAGCTCCATAAATGCAAATGGCGGCTGAATGCAAATAACAGAGTGATCGGACAGCTCTAAAGCTACTTACGATTGGTAAGCAGGATAGGCGAAACCAAGCACTGTTACTATGAGGTCTGCCCCGTAGCCGAATACCAGATAGAGCGCAAATATTCCAACCAAACCTGAAAAGAAAGAAAACCCCTTCAGACTACGCACGCGGGATCAGGTTGATTACGAAACCGTTATTACCGAGAAATTGATAGATCCTCTTCACGCCAGTTTTCTGCTCGATCTTCTCCAAGACATCAGTGAAGTAGTTCTTTTGATGCAGCCAATTGTCGAGCTTCTCTTTGCTCGTAGTTAGCGTCTCCGAAGTCGACATTTTGCAACTTTCCAACGAAATTAGTTATTCCAAGGCGGGATTGCAAACGAGTCGTGTATTCTCTCTAGGGGGAATTGTCACATGACGATTCCCTCATCCAATCAAAAGTAGACTGCATCCATGACTTCATTTGTCACGCACAGAACTCTTTTTGGACTTCTTCAAACATATTTTTCACTTTTTAACAAAAGATAGTCTTCTTAAAATTCCATATTCCCTCGTGCTACTCTCTCAGAAAATTGTTTTATACCTAACAAAAATCAGTAATCAGCATGAAAAATATTTTTTGTTTGATTCGCCCCAAAATGTACAGTGTAATTATATATTCCCCTGATATATATTGACATTATTTTCTGGCTTTCCTCCAACCTAGCAACTACGGGAAATGATCATTCTGATAGGCCAGCAAAGCTGGCGGTATTTAACTGCATCTATTTTTATGTTCGAAAATAAATGGCGCCCATCATAAAAACAGAAATTATCGCCGTTTCGATTTATTCAACCATGTATAAACCTGATATTGAAATAAAAATTTCGTAGTTTGACAGTTACATTTTATAGCCAATATATTTCATCTTAAGGAAATAGGCTGATACAACGGTGAGAGAACCAAGAACGATCCTGAAATAATTTCTCCAGCGCTTTTGTAGTTTTTTGATACTGAACATGGATTCATTCACTAAAAGCATGTGTTCTTCACGGGTTGTCCGTAGTTTGTAGCGACACGCCCATAAGAGATTCTCAAAAAGCTGAAAAAGGCTTCCGAACTGCAGTGGGTAAATTGATATTACAAGTCTTCCTGTTATAAATGCTATTTATATACTTAAATGATCAGCGAATCTCAGACTTGCCTGCTGGTAATGGATTAGTTTTAATCCATTCCTTCGCCTTCTCCATCTCTGCTTTCAGATCAGCGTCTTTTGCCAAGCTTTCCAGTTTACCAGGAGACGATTCTTGTTTAGTTTCGGTGCTATTGTCCATATTCATTTCACTTTCAACACGCGTTACTGGCAACAACAATACAGGAATAATGCTGGCCAAAAAAGCGACCACAAGGCATAAGAGTTGCTAATTAATTCAGTCAATGATACTAGTCATGGACAGGTTTATATTGTTAAATTCACGTTTTTATGCATAAATGAACCATATATGCGTGCCACTGTGTAGATTCTTTTACTTTCAAGCTTAAAAGTGCATTTGGTTTTAAAATGAACTGAAGACCACTCAAATCTGTTAGACTCCTAAATTGAAGAGAAAATAATGTTGGAGGGTGGGAAGCCATCTCCCAGTCTGATCTTGGACAGCAGAGAGACTCAAAATTTTTGGAGTAAAATTCCGTCAGTTATCGCGTAATAAAGGCAGGATGCCACATTTCACCTTAATTCGTACCGCGGTCTTCCTACATACATTGACAAATTATGGATTTATTTTTTTATGAACATAACAATATGATTTTCGTTTAGTTGGTCGAGAGTCAAGGTCGTCGATGGCCTGTGATGTAAATTGACTGAAAATCGGAACTGCTAAAGCTGCCCATTAAGTTTTGAGCCAAAATGATGACAAAGCAACTGACTGGGGTGAATAACATGGCTCTCTTTCAGTTGGCCTCTCCCTTTTTCCTCCTTTCCGGCCACGTCTTTTCATGCCTGCCACGCAGCTTATTCCGTATGACGCCATGTAAATGTGAAAAAAGTTGCCAATTTTACAATGGTATTCCAGTCATAACTAGACGTCAAGAGTTTTCTTTCCAACCTCTTTCACACCCAGTTACTCGACTTCATTTCTATTCGGTGGCGATACTTCAGTATCCTGGGTTCCAGAGGATATTTTTTTCGTATAATAATCGATGCTGATGGTTGGCGGCAAAGCCTTGTCAAACCGTAAGCACAGTTTATTTCATATTAGGTATTTTGAGAACGGACCTCGGTAAGCCAGGGTAATACTTCAGGGGCACCCAACGACATGTTTTTCTGTGAAATATCTGTTCGGAGAAGCCTAAATTGCCTAGAACTTTTTTCTAGATGAGCTTTCCATTCATGTACAAATTTCGAAGCTTATGTAATAAATTCCCTACGATTTTCTGAAATTTAATTTTTTCCCCGTTTCACTCCCCAGGTTAAGCTATTTTTCCTAGGAAAAGGAAACCTCAGATTTTGGGAATCGAAAATGTAATGCATAGAGAAACCAGAAAAATTCTCAATTTCGAAAAACTTTGAATTGCAGCTAAAATTTATGAAATCAATCCACCTGATTTTTCTCACGTGTTTTCCCTTTTTTTCAGCCTGAGCTTTACCATCTACTGGATGGTTTTGTAAGGGCGGGGCGCTCGTGTGTTACCAGTCTTCTTAGATCTACACATGACTTTGTCAAAGCACTGGATGAGAAAAATCAGCTTGATGCAGTATTTTTGGATTACAGCAAGGCATTTGACTCTGTATCATTTATGGTGATTCCTTAGTAAAAGAACCTAACATAGATTGTAGATGAAACTTGGTACACTGATGTAACAAGTCAAAAAGATGATAAAAAATTAATAAAAAGCGGGGGTCACCGTACTTGTTTTGACGTCACCATGCTGACAAATAAGGCTATTTAGGGCCCTTTGACAAAAACCGCGCGCAACCCAAAAATAGACAAAAGGAGACATTTTTTCCATGATCCATGCGGTATCGCACAGAATTTGACTTTAATGTATTGTTTATCCACTTACGTACCAGAAAAATGCCTTTTAGTGCCCTTGTTTTTGCTTTACGCTCCAAAGTAGAATTAAATTGGACACGCGCTATTCGATCCGTGATAGCTCAATCCGTACAATTTAGTAAAATTGCCAAAAAACTGAAGATAGATTTGGCTCAATTTTTTTCTCATCGAAAGGAAGCATTGTTCTTATCAAAATTATGAAATAAAAAATGGGGGTCACCGTACTCGTTTTTGCGGTAGAGCTGCAGAAAGTGCTCACCAAATGCATTTTCTCCGATTTTTGAGAGAGGACTGGGGCGAGTTTCAAAATTGAATGTACGTGAAATGGGAAAGGAAGTATTAAAAACTCCGTTTATCGATATATCACATTCAGGACACAATGTGATAAAGAAAGCGTTTAAATGAAAATCAAAGTGAGTAAGCACAAGTTAGACAGCCGCTATCGAGGTTCTCTGTGAGGAAGTCGAACTCCAGCAACGCGCGTACTGTTTACGTTATGCAAATTCGCAACACATTGAGTCTCACATCGGCAAGAAACAACCGCAAGCAAAACTTCCAATAGCGTTCCTCTTCAGTCAACTTCAGTCATTTTAATAATGTTACTTCACATGCTCTTATTTACAGCGGCCATCTTGTTATGCGCAGTAAGAGATGCGCAGTGCAAAACCAGGGAATCACCTTAACCTGGTTTAGAAGCTACTTGACAGATCGCTGGCACAGGACAGTTTTTGAGGGATAGTCATCTACTTGGCAACCTGTTTTGTCTGGTATACCTCAAGGGTCGATTTTGGGGCCGTGGTTGTTTATCATCTATATGTCGTATTTTGCAGTTTGGTGTACCCAAAGGGTCGGTTCTTGGCCCTCTTTTAGACTCATTGTACACCACTCCACTAAGTGATATCGCCAGTGAGCATGGACTAAGTTTTCACTTTTATGCAGATGACATGCAGCTTTATGTAACGTCCGAGACGTCATTCCTTAATGATATGGAAATGTGCAAGTGTATGTTGGAGGACTGTGTACGCGAAATTGACACCTAGATGCTTCTGAAAAAGCTAAAATTGAATAAAGACAAAACTGAACTTCTTGCGATATCATCTTTACACCGTGCTCGACCACCTTTGTCACATATTCATGTTTGTGATGAGAGAGTGCTGGCTTCACCAAGGGCTGGTAACTTTGGAGTTCTCTTCGAGACGAATCTTGGAGTATAGTTCCTCAGTCCGGTGACAGCAATGTGCAAATCTGCATTCTATCATCTCCGTAAAATTAGGCCCATTCGTAAACATCTCACCTTTGATGCAGCCCAGCGTCTTGTTCAAGCTCTCGTTACATCAAAGCTTGACTGTTGTAATTCGTTACTATATCACCTAAGAACGTGATTAAACAGCTCCGACGTGTGCAGAATGCAGCTGCTCGTGTTGTTACTCTTTCGCCCAAGTTCTGTCGTATTAAACCTGTTCTAACGAATCTCCACTGGTTCCCGATTGATCTTCTGATTGAATTTAAAATACTTACAAGACTCTCCATGGACTTGCTCCTGTTTATACTAAAGATCTTCTTCAAAGTTACCCCCAGCACGGGATCTTATGGCCGTCGTGCTCAGTTCTGTTTCTGTGCCGCGTCTTTGGAACTGTCTTCCTCAGCATATTAGGGATGCTGGATCACTGGACATTTTTAAAAGACAGTTCAAAACTGCTCTGTTTAGACGCGCTTTTTAAAATTGATGACTCGACTGTGGTGTTTTTATATGTAAAATTATTTATCTTTAGTTTTTTTAGCTCTTCATTGTGGTTTTTAAATTTCAACTTTTACTGTAGTTTTAATTTTTTAAACTTGTAAATAGCGCCTGGACCCTGGGAAAGGGCGCTTCATAAATGTCTCATCATCATTATTATTATTATTATTATTATTATTATTATTATTATTATTATTATTATTATTATTATTATTATTACTAGTACTTTTATACTCGGAATTTCGACTTTTCTAGAGGCTATTTTTGTTGAGTTGTTGCTGCAAATAAGTAATGATGTGCAAACCTCGTGACGTCACCTGCTTTGCACCTGCATATGCATACGGTATTAAAATTAGCATCGTATGTCGTACAACTGTCGTAATATACCCATAAGCTAATGGGCGATTGGACGTCACACTGAAAACTTTTTCTTATGGTATATTTAGTCATTCATTTTCGCTGTTTAATTTCAAGCGACGTAGTCGCAGTCGCAATTAGTGACTGAATCAAAAATCAAATTCTTAAGCAGAGCTTAATGAAACTCAACGGGTCCACTCTGTAAGTCGTATTGTTGTCCACAAATCGACATTTTTTGAAAAACGAAGTAGCGAAAACTAGTGACGAAAGTCATGAGAAGTTTTTTATTACAGTCCTGACCGATGGCCCTAACCAAAACGGATTTTACGAACTTGCAACGTTAAGACACCGGCGGGGGGGGGCTAGACAAAGGTTTATAATAGAGGGAGGTTCCGCCCAGAGGTCCAAGCCCTTAATCGACTTGTTAACCAGGAATTTTTCTTTTCCACAACCTCTGATACATCTTGCTTCCCCGTTAGGTCTCGTTCCAGACAAAAATGATTTTCACTACCCTTTTACGCACTTCAACTAGTGAAATCCCTTCCCTGTTCTGACCTGAATCTAAAAAAAAGGTACCCCTTTCGAGCCAGTATTGGCCATAAAAGGGAGTATACCCTCCCCCTCCCACCCCCGCTCCCACCCACCCCAGCTGGGCGTCCTGTGAGAGACATAAAGGGTAAATAGGGAGAGGGCGATCACACACAAACAAGGTGGTTGACCTGTGTAAACCAAACCTTTCCCAGTTGCCCGCGCGGTATAAGTATCAGAGGATGGACTGGGCAATCAGTAAGGGAAAATCAAAATGGTGTTCGATAGACTGAGAGGAATCGAAAGAGAAAATTTGCCTCTTTCCCGGCGACAAACTGTTAACGATCAGGAAACTGAAGCTCAGGAAAATATTCTCTCCTCCGTTGATAGAAAAACGCCCAAAGAACACCAAATAGGTAAGTGATTTAGACATATTTAGTCAAGAACGTCTGACAGACAACTTTCCATGGTCAATGGCCAGGCTTGCTCCAAATTAAATAGCGTTCAAGTCATTCAATGAAATGTGGTTGAAATTAATTAAATGATCTTACTTGAAATGAAATTCAACAGAAATTCGATTAACGAAATCGTTAAAGTGGGGTAAATTAATGTCAATAAATGTTTTGGCATCCAATCTACTGTGAAACATCAGCGAGGTTAAAACTGCTGCACTCACGTTTTTGCATAATATTATTGTGCGTATACAATAATATTATTAGAATATCCAAAACCATAAATTAGGAGCATAGAAACAGGAGCCATTTTTCTCTTTTGTTCTAAAAGCTTAGGCTTAAAAAAAATGTTTCAGCCTTGTCAAACGTTCTGCTTCTACTATGCCAAACTAATTTCATAAGTTATAAATGCACTAAACACTTTTACATTATGTTTTGTTTCTGACAGAAGGTATTTTATTTCACTGAATTTGTCTGCAACCAAGTCATGCCACTGTTGAGCCAGCTTAGAATAATAATCAATTCATAGGTTTCTTAAACACAGCCAAAAAAAATATGTTCTGATGTTATCAGTTACAATGAATGTCAGCCATCTTTATCAAAACTAAAACGTCAGAAGGTGTCAGGATTCCTCAGTAAGTTCCATTCGCTAGTCCCATGATGAGCTTTGGGAATCGTCATGGTGCCTGTTCAAGTGATAAAATTTTGTTTCACTATCTCAGCTGATTTGCTTTACAAAATTTAGATATCCCACCAAAAAGGCTGGGATAGAAGTTCGAACTGAGACTACAGCTGTTGATGGTTGGGACATGATATTGGATTTCTAAGTCCTCCTTTAATTATCTTCCCCTCACATGATGAAATTGTTTTACACAGTCATGCACAGTGGATAAAATATTATTCATTTATACAATATTTAGCAGTACACACCACCATCTGAACTGCTAACCATATGGCTAAATTATAGTATTAATGTTATTGTGATAACTTGTTTTGACAGAAAGCTCCCAAAGACTTGTTGGCTTTGCTATTGGAACAGGAAGGTAATAAAATGAGGAAGGAAAGATATATGCAGGAGTTTTCTTTACATGAGTTATACTTCCCCTAAATCTTCTTCTCATGATAATGTGTGTGTCATATGTGTCTTTCTTTCTTAGTATTTTAGCTGCTCAGTTTCTGACACATCCATTCACAGTCTTTAGAAGACAATGCCAGGTACTTGCTAACTACTTCTTTTAGCTAATAAGTGCCTGTCTGCCAAGCATTAGCTGGCCGCCGGTTCAACTCTGCCCTCACCAACCTTCAGGGTCCTAAACAAGATGAGGAGAATGTACTGCCTTTGCAATAACATTCGCAAACAGGTAGCAGGCGCAGATCTAGAATAAAGACTGATGGATTTCCTATTTCTAGTAAGGTCTGGGGGCATGCTCCCCTGGAAAATTTTTTGGATTTTAACTCCCCAAAGTTCCCTTTCTGGGGTTTCTGACTCATTCAGTCAGGATATTTACCAACTGTCCAAACCATTTTCCAGATTTTGACTTGGAAAGTTTAATTAAGTTTTTTACTAAAAATATATTCGTTATGAAAATCCGACCGATTTCCATAAAATTGTGGAAATCAGTATGGATCTGCACCTGGTTAGGTTTTATAGCATACTTAAATGAGGAGGATAAACTATAGAGGTCTTGTCTTATAACCCTTGCATTTATAAATTCTGTATGAGGTTAAACAACCCACAAGCTTTTGGTAAAGAGTAGAGGGCATAGTTCCTGGTGCGGTGATCTTTCTCAAATTCATATTCCATAATTTAGCAGGACATTCATAGCCAGGATTACCTCATAAGAAAACAGTTAAACTGCGCCACAAGCAGCTTGGAAAAAAGTTCTCTAAACAGTATTGTAAATTACTCTATCCATGAAAAACTCCAAAGGGGAGTGGATAATTTATTATAACTTACGATATTATTATTACAATTAACAAGTCAATGTCTAACTGTAAAGAAGCCAAACTTCCCAAAGCGTTTCTCTTATTCCAATCTCTCCAAGTTTGAAATGGTTGGACACCTTTTCAATTAAGTGTGTCTTCAGTGTTTTTATCCAGATCAGCAGTAACTACAAGCTCAGAACTGTAGACTACTGCAGACTTTCTGCATATTTTAAAGGTGCCTTTTTTCTGTGTTAACCCTATTCTGACCTGCACTGTTCCTTTTTGTGTGTAACAGGTAAATCATGGAGCCAGAAAGTATCACCTGTCTCCATTCACTGTTTTCCAGATACTTCTCAGGGTTAAAAAAAATCAGGTAAAGAATTGTTTTAAAGTATGTAACTATGATGTAAGTACTTTAAAGAATACTCATTTGATTAGTTGTTTCAAACATTATAAGTCATGTCAACTTTTGCACTGTTTCAGAGCTATGGTGCATTATGGAAGGGTTGTGGTAGTACATATGTTGTGTGTGCTGTTAACTTCTTCAGTGAAGCAGGCATCAGTAGTTTGACTCATCTGCCTCAGTAAGTTAAACATGCATTTGCACTTAATAATATTTGAATCTGTAAGAAGCAGCTCTTCTGGTAACTTGTGATATGAAGCCGAAAGTGTCTTTCAATAGGGTAAATTGTATTGTTCTGAAATAGCTGACCAGGTATAAGAGTATTCAAAATCAAGTAGATATCTTAGCCTCCTTGGTGGATGTTCTTGTGGCTCATCATAGTTACCATTACAGTAGATAATTATTTATTTCCATGTGGATGGCATTTTGAAGAAACTGATAAGGATACCTGTTAGCGACAAAGACCATGCTTGGAAATGTGAGTTGCCTGTCTCTCTGACTGAAAATAACAACAACATCCTTATCAGGGCTCCAAAAAACTTGAATCCCAGCTTAGTTCAAATATTCTCCTGATTGCACAACTCAGATTTTTTCCTTTCTAAGGTGCCTTTGTCAACTATAAAAGCAACATTTTAAAATCCAAATTACCCTATAAAAGCTCTTAATTTTATAGCACAAATAGGCTGGCCATCATGAACATTTTGTAATATGAATGTACTGTAAAAGGGGGCTTTTGAAAAGTCATGCCATAGGAATTGCGATGTTCATGTTCAAGTCCCTGGGATGAAGTAATAATGATTATAGTATTAACACATTTGTTCTTAATTTTTAACATCTAGGGATGCTCCTAATCATAAAAGTTCTTGTAAGGATGTAGGGGGCCATCTTCTCCTAAAAGGGTGAGTACCCTTGTCTTCATATTGTGTACAGTGTAATAATAATATTGAACTGTTTAAAAGGAATTACATTTGACTATGTGTAAGTAGAAAAAAAGGCAAGAAGTCAAAAGAGGCAAGGACCTCTTAGGAAGACGGAGTCTGAGGTGCTAGCTATCATCCTATTGTTGATATCTCAATAATGAAATGAATTTTTGGGTTTGGTTTTTCTTTTTAAGATTAAGTTTGGCCATCAGTATGCCGGTTGCGGCCACAAGCTTGACAGAAACAGTGAAGGTAAAACTCTCTTCCTCAGTTTGGACTTTTTAATAATGATAAATAAATTGTAAGCTTGCAGCCTCCAATACTAGACCTACACTCATTATGAAATGGAGCAAGTTAATTGTGAAGGTGTAATCTTATAACAGTAACAGTTAATTGTGCTTGGAGATCCTCTGATAAGTACATGTATCTTTTTGTTTTAATGAGAGGCAACTTAAAAGATTTATTTTTTAAAAAAGTCTTTCTTTGTACCAATAACTATTACTTAACCAGTTATATCTATGGTAACTTGCAATTCGGCATTCCTTTTTGAGATTGTAGGAAAGTTGGCAGATGCAACAGCAGAAAAAAGAACTTCTGATCTTTTAATATAGCTTTCAAACCCAGACATATTTCCAGTCACCCAGAGACGAGTGGAAACAGTGGCGGATCCAGGGGGGGGGGGGGGGGGCCCGACTCCCCCCTTATTTTTAGCCCAAACTGCTTTTTTTGGAGACTGCCCCCCTCATCTCAGGATCTGATGACCCCCCCCCCACCCCATCTGCATTTGCAGCCTACCATTAATAATGTATTGCCTCTTGCAGAGTGACCTCACACGTGATCAAGACAACATGCTAGACAGCTTAAAGGACTGGATGTACCGTGTTGTTGGCTGGGATAGGTCCTCAGGTCGCCATGGCCGTCTTCTACCCATGTGGACCCTGATATTACCCACAGTGCTTCACGGTCTGCTAACCTACATTCTGGGCACCTTGATCCAGCACCTGGTACTGATAAAAATGAAGGGAAGAGGTCTTAGTTTGTCACGTGATCAGCATCCTACGTCATCCGACGACGAACCTCCAGATTCCACAGACATGACGCAGACATACTACCCAGAGCTTGTAGGCAATTTTCTTGCACTGTTCATCCCGGAAATTTTGTTGTATCCACTGGAAACAGTTCTCAATCAACTGTATGTTCAGGGCACGAGGACCATCATCGATGATTTAGACACTGGTAGTGGTGTTGTGCCACTATGCACTAACTATGGTGGTGTATTTGACTGTTTTCGTTCCATTTGGAGAGATGAGGGTCTTGGAGGGTTTTACAAGGGTTTTGGTGCTTTGTTAATCCAGTTGTTTATTCACTGGTTCATTCTCAAACTGACTCAGTTTGTGTACAGAGAGATGTCCCAGGATTTTAAGGGCAAATAACTCGCACAGGATCTTTAGAGAATTTGTTAAGAAGTTATTAAGGGAACTCTTTTATTACTGGCCTCTGCTTGTCTTATATGAACGCATCTTTTGTGATATCGGCAAGTTTCATCTTTATGTGACTTTTTACGAGAGTATGAAAGTCGTGCGACGTTTACGTGACGAGAGTACAGAGAAATTTAAGTATCACGTGTACAACAATGAGCACAGATGACTACACGACCATGAAAAGGGAGGACTATAGGAAGCTTTGGACGAGGGTGTGTCGCTGTAACTCTGAAACCCTTGGCATATATATAAGCCATGTTCAATACACTTGAGTCAAGTCGACCTCTGGAGTTTAACTGCAGAAAAGCTGTAAATCGAGTGGATCTAGCTTTTTAGGCTGTATAAAGTAGGACGAAGGTACCAAAAATCATTATGAACCAGAAACACCAAGTTTTCATGAGCTTTCTTGTAAATGATCTTTTTTCCGTAGATGACGGCCTTTTCACTAGATTTTTATCCCCGGTCCCAGATTAAGCGACTTGAAAACCACATCCTTTTCAGCGGCACATCCTTTATGGTCCATATATGGCAGTACGCTCCCCCCCGGGGGGAGGGGAGGGCAGGGGTAGCTGCGTGTGTAAGCTTCTGAGTAAATCATTTGTTGGCGTGCGCTAAATTACATTAACATCTTTCCGTTTATAAAATTAATAAAGTGATAATTTTAAGGAAACCATAACAACCATTCGTTTGTATCAGAAAGTACACATCCTTCCCTCAGTATAATTCAACACCCAGACTTTCCCTAAGCTTTGGATCCGTAGGGGGACGGTACAGTACTTACATCCTGGGTAAGCCAGGCTGGTAGCTGTTTACGTAAAGAAGTGGTCTAGATACTGAGCGGGAAGCGGGAAGTCGTGGTTTCGAACTCCAGCTGGAGTACTAACCATAGTTGGATCTGGCACAGTTGGTTAGCTTTGTTTGCCTCGCCTCTATACATCAAGAACAAGCACAATATTGAAACAGGACAAGGATGCAGCATGACCGAGCAGTCGTTGAGTCTGTCTTGCCACTAGAGGTCTCGGATTGAGTCCCCTATTCAGTGTTTCTTGGTAGTCACCAGTTCCACGCCTTGTCAATGCTTGTAACTAGCCAACTGGTTTTCCCTTGCCGGAGTTTTTCGATCCTGTTGGATTAAGTCAGTTAATATATTATATTATCAATACTATCATACCATAAATTTTTCTTCCTCTGTTTAAGCTCGCGTGATTTTCCTAGAAGAGATATTCGACCGAATACTATTTACAGACCAGAGCAGTTTTTTTTGTCTACAGTACACTCTTAAGGATAGACTACGTCAGGGGGTATCACTTTATGACGGCATGAAATGTTCAAATCAGTTTTTTGAAGTGAATCACTCGTCTGCTGCTTTAGACTTCAGTGCAAAAATCCAGGGTGCGTCCATTGCCGTTTGCTTTGATACACGATTGGCGTGAATACACGGTTAGTTTGCTATTCTGCTACCATAATTATTTGAAAATCCTGAAACCATTTCGACTTCTTCTTAGTTATTAATAGATGTTGTAGGGAAATTTCCCTCGTTTTAGTAACTAGTTTGAGTGCATATCTTCAAAAGAGACAAAAACATCGATCGTGTATTGCAATGTCTTCAGAGTAAGCAGGTGTTATAGTAAAATATTCCAAATTGAAATCGAATTTTTCAGTTTGACGGAGACAAAATTATATGTAGTCCCTTCGAGACTGAAACAATGTCACAATAAGAATGAAGTCTTTGAAGAGTAAGTTCTGTAATACCGGACTTTATTGCTTTCTGTTGTACAAACCTTGCAATCAGGAAAACTCACCGTGGTGAGTATGAATATATGAAAAGCTTATCCATATCGTGTTTTAAGGTTTTTCCATGGTTAAATTCCTATGTAACAGAATAAATCTACACTATCGGTTCAATATCTGTAAATTGTGAAATTAAGTGTTCTACAGTCACGCGAACACACACGTTGGACAAACATGTCTAAGCATTCAGTGTAATTTATAGAACTAGTTTCTTTGTTTTCTCATATTTCGTTGTAGTTCAATGCTGATAATTATTCCCCCACGGACAGAGCATAACTGTTGAAATAGTCCTAGGTGGTTCGAAATAATACCGAAATTTAATGATGTGCACGTTACCCGGAAACATTACCAAGTTAAAAATTTTTAAATCGCAAAGATTAAAAATGTTTATCAGCTACTACGTAAATTTTCAATTGCGTGTAAAGGTCTGTCAGATGTGTGCATTTCTTGATTTATTTTGATAACAATAAAAATTCTTTTTTTTTTGTTTCTCTTGACAACAACAATAATGACGTGCTTCCAAACTCCCCGCAATTTTTTAAAATCAATATCGTTATTAGTTTATTTTGACTGAGGCCTTCACATCCTTGTCTTGTGATGGCGGCCTTTATTAGTCAGGGACAGCAGTTAATTTAATCGAATTTCCATGTCGTTTGTATTACTTTCTTTTTCAAAAAGTGTGATGCGACTTGATTCGAATGATATACTTCGATTTGTCACAATCTGAGAGAAATTGAATGGACTTTAATGTCAGTTGGTTAAAGAGAGCATACGCACCTTGGTGAGTGTCAGATAAGACAATATAAAAGTTAGCTATATTACTTTATACATGTATCATGAAATTTACATCACCCTATGAGTAGCGTCTCCTTTTGTCTTCCTCTTGATAGAGGAGGAGAAAAGGAATCTCGCGCGTCAAGCTGCCTTTGAGGTCGCGCAGCCCAAACTTCTGGACTAGTCAGTCCTGTTTTCTCTCGTCAAACTGCTTTTTTCCGTTGCGAGCGTTTGTTTATCAATAATTTATTTATTTAATTCAATATTTATCCAATAAATATTTATATATTAATATTTATATTTAATAAAAAGGCCTTTGTAAGGTGAAAAACGACGGCAGCGTCTTTAACAAAGCCACTTACGAACATTGTTCATAACCCAACTATTAGTAGCTTACGGTCAAAGACTGACAACGAAGGTTTATCCTAGTCTTAGCCACATAGTGTGATATAACTCGCGTTTATAGATTAATCATTCTAAAACTTTGGCCACCACAAAAATTATTCATATTGGTCCGTAATTTATTTGTCCCATCAGAACGCTTTGCGGAATTTTTACATAATGGAGTGACTCAGTCAAATTTCAGCTCATCTAGCTTCATCTTATAGGAGGGGGGTGAAGAGGGTACGCAAATCTGACGATCCGTTATGATTTATTAACCAAATCCGCCTTTAAATTTTCGCCCTGAATCCGAAATCCAGGCAAAAATATGTTATTACACACAAAGTCCACAATTCGGGGCCAAAAAAGGATAAATCCGCAATCCGCTGCTTTTGCAGGATCCGCAAATCTGTTAAAATTTCGCCCTCATTTCGAAATTTTCAAAATCCGCCGATCCGTTGGCCTATTAACCCTCCCCTCCCCCCACCCCCTCTAATAGGGAAGATGCCAGATGGATAAATAATAAAGTGAGAGATTCAGATTGATAACGTGTGGGGAAACCATACTTATTTACTTTAAGAAAGTTATATGGTATGTCGTAAATTATCCTTTTGAAAAATTTGGTCACTACTAAAATCATATATTTATATTATTATCAGAATTTGGAGCAGAACGCTTTATGGAATTATTATACAAAAGGAGTGACTCTTGCCAGCAGATTTTCATTCATCTGGGTACTGGTACCTGAGTTATCAAAAAATCAATCAAATACTGAGAGAACGGGTAAGTCTTTTCCAAAAGCTGAAATGTTGTCTTATCAGTGGTCGCTTTCGACTTTCAAAGGAGAATAGGCCACTTGCACTAAGAGATCACGTGACCAATGCTTCCTTTAAACAATGAGTTGTAATCTTACTGATGCCAAAAATTGATAGAGCACATAAAAATTATCTTACACCCGAAATTTGAGAGAAAACGCATTTAAGGAAGATGTTTTATGGGACTTTGATTTTTCCACAAAGTAGTATCATTTGTATTGGCCGCCATGTTGGAGGGCATACTCTTGCCCTCCAACATGGCGGCCAAAACTACTTTTTGCTTATATCTTGTTCAACGTTTGATAGTTACGCTCAGATGTGCTGTAAACGTTGGCACATCATCTTTTCAACATTTTCCTTGAAGTTTAAGTGCAAAATTTGTGTAGGTAATTCTTAGTTTTAAAAATCACATTTTGGTCACGTGACCATTTACGAACTTATTCATTTTAAGAAAATGGCGCAAGTTTGAAAAACCAAATCACCATTATTTTGTTTAAGATATGACCCACTTATCGTTTTTCGAAGGCAAAATCATATAACTTTCATTTTCATAAAAACGATGTCACATGACCTCTTAGTGCAAATGGCCTATCGGTGATGGGAAACGAAACACCTTTCCTCTGCAGGGTTTAGCATAAAGGTAGGAACTGAATGGGCAACAAAAAAGTGCAACTTGTTTTGCGACATTGCTGCAAAACGAGTAGAGTAGTGAGGTTACGCGTTTTACCACTCACGAATTAAACTTAGGTTGTTGGAGGTTGCGAAAAGTTGTTGCAGAAAGTAGAGAGAAGTTCTATTTTTTGCAACAAGAATCTGTAAATGTTGCGCGTTTTTGATACTGGCCCAGGCAAACTTGTTTGGCAACAAGTGGCTGATTACGTTTTGTCGAGTATGGTGTACTCCCGCGTAATTTTGTCCAATCAGTAGTCATTATTCACGCAACTTGCTAGCAAGACAAGTTTGAACGTGGGTGGTAGAACGCGCAACATTGCGTTCAACACCTGAATGTTCCAAAATAAGATGCACGTTTTTGTTGCCTGTTTTTCCGTAGCCTCACCTTCAGCCGTACATTTATGCGGTTCACTACTCAGTAGAATTTAAGACAAAAAAATGAAATGTTCAATAGATTGATTTGATGAATGGGCTGTTTGTGGTCTTTTTATCTTTATCAATAATCTCGGGCTATTCAAGGCTATTTATTTGATTTCTTTGCAGAAAGCCTGACAAACACAGAAAAAGGAATTTGTTCTGAAATGACATCTCTATTCCTCATGGCCAAAAAATGATATCAGGGGGTCAAAACTGATTTCCAAGCCTAGTAGAGCAGTTGTTTAATGGCAAAATATCGAGAATGTCTCGAGCAATTTACCGAGGTTACCTTCTCCGGATTAAAAAGACACACCAATGAAAGGGCCAAACGTCAAGCTTTACTGTCATCACTCATAATAGTCCTGGGATAGTCATTAAGAATTCCCTCTGTCATAGTATGGATCGAGATCCAAGTCCTGGAACAAAATCTCCGTCGAGAAGAGATTATAGCAACAATAAAGAATATTACGAGGCCTTACTTTTGTTTTCCCAACGAACTGGTCACCAGGAAGAAGTAGCCGTATCTTGCGATCGCTTAGGCAAGCTGTTTTACTCGCTCTATGAATATGGTAAGGCTGCAGAACATCACGAGAAAGCACTTATGATTAACCAAGAAATCAGTGACAGACAGGGAATAAGCCTATCTTACCTTAACCTCGGAAGAACTTTTTGTGCACTCAGTGAATATGGTAAGGCGAAAGAATATCTTGAAAAAGCACTTGCGATTGTACAAGAGTTAGGTTACCAGGAGGGAATAAGTGTATCTTACATTAACCTCGGGCGGGTTTCTCTTGAACTCGGTGAACACAGTAAAGCAAAAGAGTATCACGAGAAAGCACTTGTGATCAATCAAGAAATCGATGACCAGGGGGGAGTAGCCGCATGCTACAGTGAGCTCGGACAGGTTTTTTATGCACTCGGTGAATACAACAAGGCGAAAGAATATCACGAGAAAGCACTAGCGATCAATCAAGAAATCGATGATCAGTGCGAAGTTAAAAAGTCATTAGGTAGACTAGGACTGGTGTTTGATAAACTCAGTGACTATAGCAAGGCTAAAGACTGTCACGAGAAAGCTCTTGCTATTAGTCAAGGAACTGGTGATCAGGTGGGAGTAGGCGTATCTTACGGTAACCTAGGACTGGCTTATCTTGGAATGGCCGAATATGGCAAAGCTTTGGAATACCAGGAGAAATCAGTAGCGATCAAACAAGAAACTGGTGATAGGCGGGGGGAAGGCGTATCTTGCGGTAACCTTGGAATAGTTTATTTTGCACTGGCTGAACATGTCAAGGCTAAGGAATATCTCGAGAAGGCAAATGTGATTGCTCATGAATTTGGTAAAAGGGAGGACTTAACCGCATCTTACAGTAACCTAGGACTGGTGTTTTTTGCAGTCGGTGACTATGGCAAGGCAAGAGAACATTACGAGAAAGCACTTGCGTTCCAGCAAGAAGTTGGTGATAAGGACGGAGTAGCATCATCTTACCTTAAGCTAGGACAGGTCTATCTTTCACTTGGTGAATATGGCAAGGCTAAAGAATACAACGAGAAAGCACTTGCGATCAGTCAAAAAACTGGCAACCGTAGGAACGTAGGGCTGTGTTACACCAGCCTAGGTCAGGGTTTTCATTCACTCGGTGAATATGGCAAGGCTAAAGAATATCACGAGAAAGCACTTGCAATCCATCTAGAAACAGGCGCCAAGGATGAAGTAGGCATATCTTACGCTCAGCTAGGAGTGATATTTCAAGTGCTCTGTGACTATGGGAAGGCTAAACAATATTACGAGACAGCACTTGCGATCCATAACGAAACTGGCCATCAGAGGGAAGTATGCGTACTGTACTGTAATTTAGGACAGGTTTTTCATTCACTTGGAGAATATGGCAAGGCTAAAGAATATTTCGAGAAAGCGCTTGCGATTAGCCACGAAATTGGTTACAGAAAGGCAGTGGGGGAAACTAATAATAGCCTAGGAATGCTGTTTTACGCACTCGATGAATATGGCCAGGCTAAAGACTATTTCGAGAAAGCACTTGCGAGCCATAAAGAAATTGGTAACAGGCCGGAAGAAGGGGCAATTGACAATAATCTTGCACAGGTGTTTTATTCACTCGGTGAATATGGTAAGGCTAAAGAATACCTCGAGAAAGCACTTGCCATCCAAAAAGAAATCGGTCACCAGTCTGGAGTAGGAGTACCTTACGGGACCCTTGGTGTGGTGTCAACTTCACTTGGTGAATACGACAAGGCTAAAGAATATTTCGAGAAAGCACTCGCGATTCAACAAAAACTCGGTGACCGACAGGGAGTGGGCGCATGTTACACTAGCCTAGGAAATGTGTTCTTTGTTCTTGGAGAATATGACAAGGCTCAAGAATACTACAACAAAGCATTTGCAATAGGTAAAGAAATAGGAGACCGGGAAGGAGAGTTAGGCGCGCAAACCAGTCTTTCAGTAGTTGCGGCACAGAAAGGAAATTCACAGGAGGCTCTTTTGAATTTGTTGGAATCACTTACTAAGTGTGAGTATATCCGTAATAATCTGATGAAAGACAATGACGAGTTTAAGATATCATTTCTAGAAAAGTATAACTTCCTATATAGGATCTTTGGTGAATTGGGTTCTACTACCGGTTGTGTCGGCGAAGGACTCCACGCTTTAGAGCTTGGACGGGCCAGGGGTCTGGCAGACTTAATGTCACGTCAGTATAATGTAGAAAATCCGTTATTCAATCATCAATCTCGAGAATACCTCGAGCGATTTACCCGCAAAGAAGTGAGGTGTTTTTGTCTGTACATTTCATTTTCTGAGGAACAAATTTTTCTGTGGATCCTTAGAGAAAACAAACCTGTCGAGTTTCGAGCAATAAAGGCAAAGGACATTCTCGTTGAGAATGAGACGGTACAGAATTTGGATACGTTTCTACGCAAGGAAATTCTTTTTCGGAGACTTTGTATTCTACCTAAAGGACATTGTGAAGATCGATTTTTATCTTCTGTAAATGATTGTCAACTTGGGCTAGGATTATCCAAAGAAAACAGCTCTTCTTGTTTCCGACTTGTAGAATTGGAGGATACAGAAGAAGAAGACCAAGAACTGTACCCTAGTCTTTCTCTTTATTACAAATTGATCATTGCTCCTGTGGCCGACTTACTCGCTGAGGAAAGCGAAATTGTTATTGTTCCTGATCGCTTTTTGTACAGCGTTCCATTCGCTGCATTGCTTGATGAAAGTGGCGTCAGTTTGTCAGACAAACTCAGGATCCGCATGGTTCCTTCCTTGACAACTCTGAAACTTATTCAGAACAGCCCAGCGGACTATCACAGTCAGACAGGCACACTGATAGTTGGTGATCCGGAAGTTGGTTTTGTGATTTACAAGGGATTACTTGACAAAAAGAAAGCGTTGCCTTTTGCAAGAAAGGAAGCAGAGATGATTGGACGGCTGATTGGTGCTCAGCCTTTGATAGGCGAACATGCAACTAAAGATGCGGTCCTCCAAATGATATCTTCAGTGAGTCTCATACACATCGCTGCACATGGTAACGCCGAAAGAGGAGAAATCGCGCTTATCCCTCGCCGACCAACTGATGGCCATCCACAAGAGGAAGACTACCTACTGACCATGTCCGACATTTCAAAGGTTCAGCTCAGAGCTAAACTTGTTGTGCTAAGCTGTTGCCACAGTGCTTGTGGCCAGATAAAATCCGAAGGAGTTGTTGGGATCGCTCGAGCGTTTTTAGGATCTGGAGCTCGTTCAGTATTGGTGGCTCTGTGGGCACTACCTGACAAGTCAACAGAGATATTCATGCGCTGTTTTTACAAGCACCTTGCGCTTGGAGACAGTGCCAGTGAATGTCTTCACCAGGCCATGAAATGGATGAGGAACAATGGATATCCTGATGTGAGGGACTGGGCACCATTCGTGCTGATTGGAGATGACGTGTCATTCGATTTTGCAAAGCTAAAGGTTAGTTTCTCAGAAACGTAGAGCAATTATTGAAAAGAGACTAAGTCATAACATTTTAAAGCAGTACTTCCATTTAGTTTTGTTAATTACAAGCTCCGTGCATTCTTTTAATTTATAAGGTATTCTTTGCCCTTGTAGCTTAATTCGTTTGCACGTGGCAGTTAGACTTTTGTAACCCGGGGTACCAGAGACTTTTCATGAGCGGTTTAAGCCTGCGTGGCAGGCGTTTGGAAGTAGTGGGCGCAAGAAAGACCGAGCGCGCGAGAGGGAGACACGCGAGGGGAGTGCTCTGTCTCCCCTCGTGTGTCTCTCCGTCTCGTGCGCCCACTACTTCCAAGCGACTGCTACGCAGGCTAGCGCGGTTTCCGATTTCTGTCCCAAGTGTATAAAGGGACCCACTTGCTGCGAGTGGCTTCGCCTCTGCCCAAGACACCGAAGTATAACGCCGCACACGAGAAGAAAACCTGTTGTACCCGGGGTAGACTTTTGTTTGAAAAGAAAAGAAGCCAAGGGCATTTTGTTGTTGGTTACCCTTCTTTAATATAATAAGAATTGTTAAATAAGTGATTTGCATTTATCATCTCTACCAGGTAACGGCTGAAGACGATGACGAGATCAATGAAACTCTTTCAAGAGCGCTGCACAAGAGCTCATTGGAGTAAAATAGATTCAGTTCTCGTTCTTGAATTGCGTTGGTCAGAGGCCTAATTTCAGTTCTCCACAATTATGCTTGCAAGAAGCTGTATTATCTTTGCCTATGTATATATTCAGTGTCATGTACAAAATCTAATTCATTTGTGATGGCTCAAAAACAGACGCAGTTAATTACTTTATTAGTTGTTGGACACAGAGTCCCGTTGCCGCGATTTGATTTGAAATGAGCTTTGAACTGACTTAAAGATGATGGCTGCAAGAAGTAGTATTATCTGAGTTCCATTAGAGTATAGACTATAGTTTGTAGCATGTTTGTACCTCGTGTTAAATGGAATTTGTTGAAAAGCGCCGAGTACCTTTTAGATGATGGCTGCAAGAAACAGTATTATCTGAGTTTCATTAGAGTATAAACTATATTTTGTAGCATGTTTGTACCTTCTTAGAGTTCCCTGTGTTAAATGAAATTGTTAAAAAGCGCCGAAGATCTTTCAGATGATGGCAGCGTGAGAAAGAGCTTGGGTATTCTCTGAGTTTCGTTAGAGTATAGACTATATTTTTTAGCATTTTTATAACTCACTACTTAAAGTTCTATGTGTGACTTGAATTTTTAAGCCGTATTTGTATATGTTTATAGGAAATGAAAATCGACTTCTCAAGTACTATATTAAAACAAGCAACATATGATAAAGCAGAAAAAAACTGTAGTTGATCAAGTTTTAACCAGTTACAGAAGAATATAACTTTTCGGGAGAAACGAGGAATCTAAATAATGAAAGTGCAGCAATTTGTTTTGTTGAACTTTGAATAATTCTCAGATGCAACAAAAAAACGTACCTGGACTACAGTGAAATTTTTAAAAAAAGACTAAAAAAGCGCCAACTTTTTTATTTACTATTTATTGACTTGACAATATCTATACACGTTATCTCTGAAGAGCTCGTCACTGAACTTTTACCCCTTCCCGGTCAAAGATCGATCTCTTTCCAAACAAATTCTACACCATGCAGATTTTGAAAGGTCTTCAGTACATTGGAACACTGTTAACACCAACACCGCCAGCCATGGAATTGTGCTCGTTATAACGAATTTTTCAGAAAAAAAAATGACTGATAAGTTTGGGCCAAAGACCACCGCTGGAATTCCAATAAATATTTTTTAAAATTTAGCAAGCACACAGGGAACGATGGGAAGAGGAAAAGGCATCTCTTTTCCCTTCCCAGCGTCCCACGGCCGTACGTTCTTTTCCCCTCTCCCCAGACCCCACTCCCCTTTGATTTACCATACGACACAAAGAGTCCCCTGCGGAGCAGAGAGAGAGACAAGCCGAGGAAGTTGCAGACACGGAGTCTTCGTATTCGTCACTGTACAAACGAGCAAGGAACTACAGCCCAAATACACCCCGCAAGTGCTTCTGGGATTGTTGGTGGGGAAGAGCCGTTCCGCTATTGGCCAATTTTTTCCCTGTCACTAGTTACAGTCCCAGAAGTCTTAACGAGAGTTAACTCTTCCCAGTTTCCTTCTGGTATTTGTTCGTAGGGCGAGCCTTGGCGAACCGGTTCCACTGTACTGTACTATCTTTTGACAGGGGAAAGAAAGAAGAGGTTTGTTATAATTTGTGCAACTGTTCAAAGAATGATGACAGTTTTTATTGCAAAGCACGGAATTACTAAGACACCAGCTCTAAACAGCACTTTTGTAAGTTAACTACTTTGCTGCAAAAATAGGAAGGTTATTGTAATTTCGTTAACAAGCATTACTAACAGATGAACCTGTTATCTTCACTGAATTTATCGCCTAAGTCAATTTTCTATTTCTTAAATTCATTTGTTTATCCGTTCGACAATCATATAAATATTTACTTTAAAAATGACGCAAGCATATGACGTGCGTTAATTTAGATGCATCTACGAAAACAAACCGAACGTCAAAATACCATCATACCTGTGCTTACTGCTACATAAATATTTCCAAAACCGCAATATGTTTAGCTTAATATTTATACGATTTTTTCCTACTAAACCCTGTTTCAAAGAGCGGAGAGCAAGTATTCGTAACTACACGAGAAAACAGGAGAGGACGTTCCCTTGTAAGCTGCTTACTGCTACATAAATATTTCCAAAACCGCAATACGTTTAGCTTAATATTTACACGAATTTTTCCTACCACACTCAGTCTATTTCAAAGAGTGGAGAGCAACATATTTTCCGAACTCTAACAATACCCGTTTTAAAAAATATCCGAATACGTGTGGACGGGCGGGGCCTTAGTGCAAGAAAGTGCTGAGGGTTTACTGTGATGTGTTACACAGCAGACACGACATCAGCGAAGGCGAGTACCCTGAAAGACAATAAGATCACAGTGACAATCACGTTACAAATGAAGACCACGCAGGGCAAATGCAAACTGGTCCAATCTAAACTTCTCTACATTAATCCCATATCCCCCCAAAACCTTGAGATTAATTATATTAATGAATGCAATGATTAAATAACACCCGTGGAATTTTCCCTCCGAATCATCCACCATTTTCAAATGGAGTGTTTATAGAAAACATACAATAACGCAATACATAAAATGGTAACGTTCCAAAAAGATTGTCTCGCGAGGTACGGCGAACTATTTTAACGGGCTTCTCTTGGCATTATTTGATGAACAGTTTTTTACTTCATGCCAATTCTGTATTTCGAGCAATGTATCATAGACATGCTGTTGTAGCCTACGTGACAGGTGCCAGTTGGGTTTTTTGGTTAGTTCTTTTGTAGAGCGCGCGAGGGGAACTCCCCTCGCGTACGCGCACGTCCTCGAAAGTTCTCTCCTCACCCTACATAACTGGCGCCTACTACGAAGGCTAGCAGTACTGGTCATCAAAGCGATAGCATGATTTGCGGAAAAAGGGGAAACATTCTGCAGTTTAACACAATACCACACGAAACTACACCCGTCTTGCCAAGCTCTCCCTCTAAACGGCTTGGAAACTAAAATTTGATAGCATTTTGTTTTGAATAAGGGTATGAGCATGATTTTCAGTTGAACATGCTTAGCGAGCGTAAAAATCGCATCCAGTCTGAGGATTAGTTTCTAGCGCTAGGTAATCCCCATTTTTTTCATACCCAAAATTACGTGCTTATCTTTCTCAGGTCTATGAAATACAGGAAACAAAGTCTATCCTTACAAAAATGTATTTTCTTACCTGGTAGTTTCTTGCTGGAAGTGGTGGTGGCAAAGATCCGTCTATTCCCTTGGGGGATCTTGGAGACTTAGGGGGAAGGGGTGGTGCGACATCATCCCTTTTTATATAACGATTTCTATTGTTGTTCTGTGAAAAGACAGGCAAAATTATTGGTCACTGCCACACTGGCATTTACCTAAGAAAAGACTATTTAACAAAACCAATGTGTGCAAGTTGATTGGTTAGAGAACCAACAACGGGAACGAGTAAGAGGTTTGAAAAAGAATGTTACCGAGCATGCGTGCATTCTCAAATTTGATTGGTACTTTAAGATTGGTACTCAAGGCCGTTTTATGTTAGCTTTTTACCTCTGGGAAAACGGGCTGAAGACAAGGTATGCAAGTCGAATTCGAAGGAAATAAGTTTGATGAAACTTAGCAACCTTTAACCTCTATCGATATGCCTTATTATTATGGGATATCAGAAAACAATAGCTGGAAGACTTTTATTTAATTAAATTTATAATTAAATAAGAACTAAATAGGTCCATCCACTCAAAAAACAGATTCTCTGATACGTTTTTAAAAATGAAGTAAGACAGCGCTTTCACAATGAACGATAATTTTGAATATAAAAGGGTTTTTTCGTCACCTTATTATCCAGCATGGGCATTAATTCCACGTAATCTGCTACTTCTTCGGACTCCTAAAAGATACATCAGCACATTGATATGAAACCAAATAACAGTGGAAAAATCAAATATTAAATAAATAAGTAAAATATGGTGATGCAATAACTCAATAAAGAACAACCCCTTTATTGATAGCTCAGAGCAAACGAGGACGGTGACAACCTCATTCCCAGTCTCTCTCCCACTCGTCTCCCGGAGAGGACCCTAGGGACGAGGTTGACAGAGAAGGATTTCCAGAAATAGCGGATGAGATCAGCAAAGTGTCAAAACAACAGAGTTTTAACTGGTTGAAGAAGTAATATGTGTCGAATGCTTGATATTACTTTTCAAACAAAATGATTTTAGCAGGAGAAATTAAGGATGCAAAAAAGAGCAGTTTTTCATCTGATTTCCAAACACTCATCGAACATTCACTTCCTTTGTATTTTCTTCATAAATTATTAATGAGTTTGAGAAAAGAGGATCAAGAAATCACTATCTAGAACATGGATTAGCAGACCTTTAGTGTGAACATAGCGAAATTTTCGCTTGAAAGGAATCTAAATCATATAGAGTAAAGATGGAAAGTCTGACGCGCTAGGACCCTGACTTTTTGGTAGCAGAGGGTTGCGGCTGGTTGTCAGTGTATTGCAGTCCACAATTTCTGCAAGTACCTTTGGATTCACCAAATAAGTTTGCTTAAAAAGAAGGACAACCAAAAACATCAAGTTACTTTGTAACCCACATACCTGACCACAAGGTATTACAAGAAGATCTCCATCGGGTGTTATTGGTTCCTGCGTTATGAAAAACAAGAAAACTACTGAGTCCAGATTTAGTGCATACCATATACATTCTTGATTTTAACTATTAATAAAAGTCATTTCATATATTTCCGTTCAAACATTGCCATTTAAGAACATTTGTGAACGCTTTCTTGATTTTAACTATTAATAAAAGTCATTTCATATATTTTCGTTCAAACATTGCCATTTAAGAACATTTGTGAACGCTTTACTGGCCGGGAGGCAAGGGTTCATATTGGAGGTTTGATGAAATTGTTCTAGTTTTGGTGCAACTTTTGTAAAGAACTAACATAAAATGAGACAAGGAAAAGGACTGCAACTTACAAAAGTTAAGTTCTTAAAATAATCGCCACAATAATAATCAGTATCCGGTTGTTTTCCTTCCAAGAATTCGATAAAGAATCTATCTCTTCCGCTTCGTCAAAATCTTAACAAGTTATCGTGGCATTTATTTACGGGAATATTTTTTCTCTCTGTTATACAAACTAAATGGAGGCAAAGCCAAACCTTTTTATGTACATCCACCATTTCCTTGAGGGATTTATAAACTCGTGGCATGCCAACGATTACAAACTTGCCGGAACGAGTCTGATCGATCATAAAGTGCTTGCAACGACTTTGCACCCTAAAAGTAACAAGCACGCATGCAGTTGAAATATGATCGACTGAAAAATAGTTGCAGCCTTTCCTGCAACGCCATAACATCATTTCTGGTAAAACGACATCAATTTAACTTCACAACGTCATAATTGCAGTTTGATCCCAAAAAATTGATTGTCGATATTAGCAACCATCACACTGCTCCCTAAACAAGCATAAGTTAATTTAATAACTTGAAAGACTTCAAAATGACCAGTACCCTGAGTACCAAAGGTTTTTTCTCGCGCGTGTGCCGAAGTCTGAGACCCGATGTAGCTGACTAAAACCCCAAGCATAGAAACAAGCTAAATCGGACTCCTGTCCATGCAGCCGCTCTTTTAAAGACTTTTCACTGGTCTTGTTCTCAATAATCTGATACGCAGATGTCTCACGGTGATTTCAAACCTATACAGACAGACACCAGTGAAACCTGGGCACGAGCTTTACTTTATTATCGGCTTACCTGTAGGATAGAGTATAACCAAACCGGCTTTCACTGACGCGGATTAGGAAACAGCCAACTGGTTTATTTGACAACAGACGCTCAGATTCCCTAAAGATAAACACATTTCACTCTATAGAATCATCATTATGGCTAATAGTAGGCTAACAGTAAATATATCGCGTGAACTAGTATTTTCTATCGCGGTGATAGGAAATGAAAAACTTCAGTCTGCATACCTTCTGGAAATGATGCCGTGAAACCATTCACTGAACACTCCACTGTCCTCTTGTACAACTCCTTTTGGGGCCTGGGTCTCTTTGAACCACTGAACGGCACTATGAAATATGATAGCATGTCAATCACTAGCGTTAATAAGAGATTGGAGTATGTCCACCGCGCGCGTGCCCTACCAGCACATTCGACAGTCCGATCATCTTTTTTGAGACAAAAGGTCTCATCCTCCAGAGTCAGCGTGTGTACGGGACATCTTAGGTCGATCATATAACAAGGAATTACAGAGGTTTTCCTTGCCTAGTCCCCAGGTCTCGTTACTCCGTGCGGCCCATGCGTCTCGGTCACGTGATACCAAAAAACCGAACTCGAGGACACACGAGAAAAAAATACATATGCAAAAGACACTGAAAATATCGACATACGCTGCTTTATTTTTTTCTCCTCCAAACGCATTCTTGTTTGGATCAGGCTGAGCTACAAATACGTCTTCTTCATCCTCCAAATCATCTGAAAGCTCGTCAATAAACTACAGCAAGAGAGAATAAGTAAGACTAAAGCAAAAAACAGTTATATTTGACTCAAGACGTAGATTTGCTACAAGCCGACCTCTCATAAGTTCTTCAAAGCGAGCGAGGCGAGCTTTTTCCCGAGCAAGCGACGAACCAGGAAAAAACGATAAAGACGCATAGTCTTATCACGATTGATATCAGGGGCATTAGCTCGTCCCGTGTCCCCTGGGCTTTATCCTTGGAAAATGGGAGGGGCGCCCCGCCTACATCTTACGGGAAAAGCCCTGGAGACGAGTTTGTATCGGGCGGCCAAGTAACTGCCTGATTATGGTAAAAGAATGGTGGAAACAAACTCAGCAGAGTTCTTTTGGTAAAAGAAGTATTAGAGGGTGCCTACATATGATTAAACAACTGCCTCTGATCACATGTTCGGTTATTACGAAAAATCAGGATTACACACCCACGACAACCTTGAACTACTAATCGCCCCATATAAGGTAATCTAAGACAGTCTTGGATTCTGGATTCCAGGCCGTGGATTCCGGATTCCAGGAGTTGAATTTCCGATTCCTTGTAAGTGTAACTTAGATTTCGGATTCCAATCGTTAGCGGCATTCCGGATTCCTTGATTTAAATTCCGGATTCCAGGATTCCAAAACTCCAAATTCCTGCCTTTACAAGCAAGAATTTCCCGGATCTTCGGAATCTGGATTACCTTACATGGCATGATACTAATTATATCACACTGCAAAGTTCACCTAGCAGACTATTTACCTCTACCTCCTCTAGGGATCCATGACTTCTCATTTTGGGGGGTAGTCCTAGAGCATCCGGTGGGGGTGGAGGAAAGTCCTCGTCGTCGTCGTCGTCGTTTAAAAGAGAGGAGGGGAATTCCACAGCAACGTAGTTAAGAGTTCTCTTTTTCAGGATTTCTGAAAGCGAACAAATTGCAGTTAATATGGCAGTTTTTTCTTCTCTTACAAAAAAAGAACGCTTTTTTCATCATGGCACAAGTTCAGTATGTCTGAAAGTAGGAAACCGAAGTTTATCGAGAACAATTTACCTTCTTTTCTCCTCTGATCATGTTGTTGCAGTTCACCTTGTTTCTGGAAGAAATTATTTCCACACAGGCTAGAATATTTTAGGAATGTTGAGGCTTTCTTCGAGTTCATCATTGCTTCTTGACGGAGATGTTTGTACCTTCGCCTGGCCAGGAATCCACGAACAACTAATTGATTAAACAAACGTAGAAAACCTTGTTTAAATTCAATGACTTCTGATGTACTTGCTAAATTCATGGATCAGTTGCTCACAGCTTATGCTACGCTTGTCATTCTAAATTACCGAGAACTCAGAAAAGCTTCGAAACCATAGCAGTGCGAGAAACGATTTAAGTTTTAAGTTAACCACATGAATTTTGGGGCATCTAAGGAAGCACATTTGTAGGGAAAACCGCGACTACCGTCGAAAATCTCAGGAAGCGCTTCCCAACCGTTAACTTTGCAGTTACATTTAAAACGTTTGCACATTTCTCGCCCTTCATATAAAATTGCAAATATACCAGTGCTTGAAACCAGTATCCCAGTTCAAAGAAGGTTCAAGCCTCTTTTGTTGAAATAGAAGGTTGGAGCTACGTTTTGATATGAAAACAAAAAAAAGCTATACTTATTTGACATCATTTTGAAAGCGAGGGATTTTAGAACGCGGACATTTTACGGCCTGTTGCTTTTCCGAGAGTTGTGCTGTTTCATTTTTTAAGTCCCCACTTTCACTCTTCACGAATTTTTAACTAAAAAGTTTATTCACATCAACCAGGTACAGTACCTTTCTGTATCGTAATCACTGCCTCCTGAGCTTTCTGAAGCTGTTCAAGCAGCTTTTCCACGTGCCAGTATTTTAAAAACACCTTAGTTCGTCTGAAAAACAGAACCAAATCCTCAGTTGTTTTCAAAACTTTATAAGAGTCTAGTACGTCCGATACTCGAGTACTGCTCTCCAGTTTGGTGTCCGCACCTTAAAAAAGACTTAAACACCTTGGAGGAAGTACAACGTAGAGCATCTAAATGCGCCCTTGGAAATATTGGGCAAGACATGCCTTACGAAGAACGCTTAAAGCTCCTTAAATGGCCATCACTTGAACAAGAACAAGGAAGATTATTTTCGTCGCTTATCGAGTGTTATAAGACAATAAATAGACTTAATGGACTTGATCCCTCGGCATTTTTCACATTTGCACATGATTTTCGGCCCTTAAGAGCCAACCATCGTTTTAAACTTAAGCTTGCATCAGCAACTTTAAATAGTTTTAAACATTCTTTTTTAATACGCATAATAGATAAGTGGAACAATCTTCCAAAGGAAGTTGCTGAGGCGGAGAATTTGAATATTTTCAAGAACAGACTGAGACGTTATTTTACAGATTTTCCTAGTGAACACTAAGTTCTTTTACTGTGTGATGTTTTATATACATATATAGTTACTATTTTAAACAGTTGTAAATCATTTACTTCTTAATGTATTTTATTATCAGGAGATGAACTAGAAAGGGATAACCTCTTTTATCTCCTTTTCACTTTCCGATTTGGATTTGTGAATAAACAGTTATTATTATTATTATAAAACTCATTATTAGCCATGTGCGACACGCCTGATACAATTATATCCAAACGAGTAAATACAGATATAAAATACTGTCATATGAAAAGTTCTTTAATTGTCAAAACCACCAAGAAAGTTTCAGTTTTTCTAAGTAAGCGCTGATATAAGCACTCCATGGTGTCATTGCTGAACGGGTGAAGAGTTTCTTCGAATTAGCCGCTCTTTACAATCTTGACTCCAGTGTGATTGCTTGTTAGTCGAAAAATTTACTGTTATGACATTAACACAAGTTTTATCACTCTAACAGAAGGTCGCTTATTGCAGGTGCTCCTAACAAGTTTCAGAGCAATCTTTTTGACATCCAGCATATCTCTTTTTCGCGACTATTGCGACTTGCCGTCAATCCACTTACCCGATCTGCCAGTCCCGTAACTGTGACCTTTTTAGTATCTGCCGGCAACTGGACTCAGAAGTCGGTAGGTTTGTTGTGTATAACACGAGTTTGTACCTAGAGATTTGGACAACAAAATGAAAATCATTGTACCCTTAAAATTGGGTATATTGTTGCAATAGCTTTAGTTATTAACTTTCCAGTTTACTTCAGGGTACAAACATGAACATTCCAGGAAACGGTACTAGTGATATTTATTCTTCCGAAGCCAAAATTATGCAATATAACTGCGAAATTCTAAGAATTTTTCAGGATAAGGAGTAAGGAGTAGGCAGTTTCCATAGCCCATGGTAGAAATGAAAAATTCCCCACTCCAGAGACCACTGAGGGGAATGGGTACAAGCTCTCGGCGCAACGATTTCTGGGATCATTTGGGTAGAAAATGCTTATTTATGATTGGTTAATGATTGCTTCCAATACCATCGACCAATCAGAACTCCAGTTAACCGATCCCACAAATCACTGCATCAAAGCTTGTACCCATTCTCCCTGGAGGTTCTGAAGTGAAGTAGTTTATGAGTTTTCCAGGAATGTGAAAATCGAAGACAATAACCCTACAACCATTACACCCTCACCTGTCTACAAAGTCAGCGAAAGGAATCCTCACAGCATACCCCTCTCGGCGGATGCGTGTGGTCTCCAGTACACCAGTGTAGGCTAACTACGATCACAAACACAGTGTTGGCATTACAAAAATAGTATAAAACAAACGTACATTATTTGAGTGTCAATGTATCTCATTGGCACGAAAGTACTAATTGACTGGAGGACACTATTTTGTAATGGTCATACTCATCCGAGCCACGCACAGGTCTAGTCGTTTGCAGGGGAAAGAAAGTACCTTCCTTTCTTTAAGACACCGAGTATTGGGCCGGCGTTCGAACCCGCGACCTCCTGCTCTGCAGGCACACGCTCTACCGACTGAGTTCAGACAAATATTGTTTAGTTTGAAAAGGCAAGGGCCCTTTGCCACTATCAAAATATAAACAGTGTATAAACACTTCATTTCCATAGCACGTGAAACAAACACAAGCTAAAATTGTTCCATATAGTTTAGTTCCAAATGATCTGTAACATCATCTGCGATCTGTCTGCTTTACGCCGCACGCGATATGCTCCGCGCCTCATGTTCGGACTAAAATCGAGTGAAACACTGAACACCGTATGTTTGTGATCGCTAAAATAAATAAATGGGAACATTTGTATGGTTTGTTTGGAATTATCTTAATACCCCTGCCACGGTAAGGTAGTAATATCACTAAAATCTGCGTAGCGTAATGTACATCCCTGAAGAAGTCTGTATTGGGATTTGCCCGAAACGTCGGTAACCCAGCCGGGAAATATAGCGTCGTCAATAAGAATTTTTTTCCGACCGCGACAGGGTTACAGATCACCACAGACTGTTACAGATTATATGTATGGAAACCAGGCTTTTTATAAGTAGTCAGTCGAGAGTAACTAGTCAGTTTTCACAGTTCTTTAACTCTAGATCTTGAAGCCTCTCTTTTACGTTTACCCAGCCTGAATTTAGATCGAGAACTGACTATGAGGCGATAGCGTATCAATGACAAACGATCAAGTATACAGTTTAAAGTTACCTGTTCTTTCACATACTTGAGGTCGATACTGTCGGAAATCTGCGAACAAGAAGCAAAAATAGACAATTTAACATTTCAAGGAAACCTTTCCAGCAGAAGGACGTTAATTTTGATGTTTTGATTTTAATACAGTCATGCAAGGTTGTATATTCCAGTGTTCTTTCTTCGCATAAAGCTTCTCCTGAAGGAAAAACACTGATAGCGGGAGGAGAGAGGGGTGGGCGGGAAAATTCATAGAATGCTACGTAAACCCAGCTACGCCGTGATCTCTAGCCGCACTTGTCTGCCTCTTGCTTCGTGTCTATATTGACGTAGAACTACATGTACAATGTCGAACTCTGTCTACCTCTTATCTACGGCCGGGGGTTTTAATAACATAGAAAGAGTCTCTGTTTCTTCTGACTGAAAAATAAAGTTTCCTACTTCAAAATCAAAATATTGAATTTATCCACTACCTTATTTAGAAATTCAAGAACCAGCGAAAATAGCAGAACCAAACTGAAGGCTGACTAAACTGGCCAAGATCGATAAAAAATAATTATAAATACACAGAATAGTTATAGCCGGCTTTTTACCGGTATAAGGGATCGTGATATAATCTTAGCAAAACAAACAAACAAAAAAAACAAAACGATGTAACCTTCACTGGACCTGCAAAAGTCCTCTTCAATGTTGGAACACATTTCTGGATACAATGCGCTGTCCAAATCCCCCCTGTATAAGATTTTAACGCTCAAAGAATGCAAATGAGAGCTTTGTCTAGAATATGCAGCGCACCGTTTTTGCGAAATCGTCTTTCGAGTTTAAGATTCATGCGCGTGATACTAAAATTATAACTGAAAAGAATTCAACGCAGCAATTTAGTTTTAGAAAAATTGATCAAGGCAACAACTCAAGTGCTTTAAAAACAATGTCACAGTAGTTCTGCAATCTTTGCCAATGACATTCCTTCGACCTATTAAAATGGACAATTCAAATCACCGGTGGAAGCATATTGGAGAGCTTTCCTCGAGGAAATCTTGTCATTGAAAGATTTGTCTGTTGCAATGTTACCAATTTGAAATGGCCTGCACAACCGGCGTTATTTCTTTCGTGGTTTTGTAGTCATATAAATTAAAATAGCATCTGTAATAACAGGACTGTTCAAGTAACACCATCTACACTAGCTATATATCTGCATGATTAGTAAATCCTCACTAAGACTGAGTTGTGCTGGTTAATCACATCCTACCTGTGTCAGGTCTCACGCATATGGCTTGATCGTGCAAGAACAGCTACAAAGACTAAACGTAAAATTTGTCTCTATTTCTTTGCTAAACAATATATGAACACTGTATATCAGATTAGAGCCGGATGTACTCAATATATAAATACAACATAAAGTTGATGAGTTTTAACGTTTGGCTATTTCTGTCACACGATTCTGACTTTTAATTCTACAAATAACATTCTCGTAAAGTGCGATCATTTAAACTAAACATTTAGGATAGTATCTAATGCCAGAAGTGTATTTTACAAATGTTTGTTTTCTGCCGTTTTGTGATCAACTAATTAACAGTCAAAAAAGCAGGTTTCGTGACTAGGTTTAAGGCTACAAATGAGGATTTAGCCATGTTTCAAGGAAGTGCGGAGATTAATTTACATAGCTACACTTTTTATTGCGGCATGAAAGAAAATTCTTAACCCCTCCTAAACCAATCAAAATTTAACCCAAAAGGTATTTGTCTCAATAACACGTTTCTATTTTCCCGCGCCTGGCAAATGGTGACGTCTACGTCTATTTGTTTCGAGACGTGATTGGTTAAATGAATCTCAACGCTTCCTCTGATTGGCCAGAGTGTTCTCTAAAAGCTTCTAAGAACTACCGTACTTTCTTTCGTTCTAGCTGTTCTAAACATTTCACATGCAACATGAGCTTGCTACTGTAACAGTACTGAACAAATAATTTCAAATCATTTATCAAGAGCAATAAGAAGAAGTACCTTCTCAGTGTTCGGCTTGATGCATCTGATAAAATGAGGATTAGCAGCCGTCATTCTTTCCATAAGGATCGCCAAAGAAGTCTTTCATAAAGGAAACAATTGTATGCATAACATTAACATTAATATTGCGACAAAAAGTAAAGTAGCACTCAGCCACCTTCTAAGAGACCTTAGATTATTGTTTGGGTTCACAACAGATATACATCGCCAGTTCATGATCTGTAATAATGCTAACCCTAATCATCAGATAAACATTTGAAAACAGTATTGTTGTCCCCAAAAAGATAACTTCACGTCTTTAGCCGCTAGGCCTAGATCCAAATATCTCGTTAAATGGACTAAACACGTTTCCGTAAATTCTCGAAAAAAAGTCTAAAATATCTCGTGGAATTTCCTTAATATACCAATATATTTTATGTCCATTTGACGATCACATTGTGGACTATATATTCGGTGCCATATGTGGCGGACTAATTTTTGTGATTTATACATATACGATGCCTTTTGTGAAGACATACACAAAATCGAGATTATTTCGTTTCTTCTCTTTGTTTCCGCGGCAAAAATACAAGTGTAGCGACTGCGGAACCTGTAGTGGCGAGAAGAAGCGCGACCAGGGGCGACCTTCGATTACAATAGCACTGTAATTGTGGAACACATTACTGAATAGATTAGAAACAAACAACACTGGTGAATAAGAGAAAAGAAACCCTAAATCACGTTTAAAAAGTACTAAATATCGTAGAAAACCACATAGTTTTTTCCCGTGTATCTCACGCTTTTATAAATATTCTACAAACCACAAAACAATGATATATCCGGACATTTGTCTAGTTTGTATCTAATTTGCTTACTAGCCGATCAATACGTTGGCTCTTATCTTCTGACTCTTAAGCAACTAATTAGAAAATGAATTCGCGTTTTATGCTTGGTTAATCAGCCTTGATACTACAATGAGTTGCAACGTTGAATTACCATGAATCACATAATTTCCTCGTTAAAAAGGTACACAAGTAAAATTTCTTTCCAAAGGAAATCACCACCACCACCGTCATGAAGGAAGGGCCTAAAAATTGAATGCTAATTACAAAAACTTTTGTAAGCTTTAACTTCAATTTTTCCCGAGAATTGCGGTTGTTTGAGAGACTATATCAGTCACTCAAATGAGCCTTGTTCTTTTCAACCCACTTCTCGGTGTTTGGATATAAGTTGAAACACTCCTTCTAGTTGTTTCATAAATCCCTCCACACACAATAGTCTGCCAGCTTTCCAGTAGTAAAAATATTAATAGTGAGATTCAAAACCGAAATACAATGTACAGTATTGACCAAGATAAGGTTGGCATGGGAAGGACAAAAGAAGTTTTCAGAATATTTAAAATTGCTCTCTTGAAAGCCAAATCTCGGAACCATTTCCCAATGGCTGGTTATATCACTTTGGTTTACACGAGATCAGTTTTCGGGCCTTCCTAAATTATAAGCTTTTACCAAAGAAACAAAAAAAGAGCCGCTATATGTAAGCCTAGTAACCAGACCTCATCATTCTAAAGACAAAATTTCCACGTAGTGGAAATTTGTGTGACGTCTCTTCCCCTTCCCATGACGCCTTGCACTTCCGTGGCTATAGCCGCCAGATAACGGCTGGTTCAAGCCACTGTACGATTCTCTCCCTCTCAGTAAATTCTTCGGAGCACCTTGAACTTAAGCGCAGGAAGCAACGACGACGGCGACGGCAACCACTAGAGTGTTTTCACATGACATCTCGGTGGCCATATTGGTTGGCTTTCTTTGATTCCAATGAATTTGCATGGATGCTGGTCACGTGGGTGAAAACGCGCTATAGGTTTGTCTAGCAAAACAACAACCTTACACGTATCACGCTTTTTTTTGTACATTTTTTGCCGTCATTGCGCAACTGCGACGTGAAAACGCCTAACTGCACGTTTTATGGAGGACGTAAACAAGCGACGACGAATTTTTCTTTCTCCTTCTAAGCTTGAGTGCGGTGGTCAAAAAATCAACTCCTGGGAGATGCCCCAAATTTGTCATTTTCAGCGCACTGGAAGAGACGCGACAAAGTTTTAAAGAAAACGCGAATTCAGTTCAAAAGTGACGTTTTCGCCACCGTTGCCATTGTCGATGCTAAAGCTCCCCAATGACTTGAGTTGACTAACGACATCATAAGACTAAGAGTGCGTTCGATTGGGAAATCCGGATTTAGATTTTCAAAACCTAACTCCGGATTTCCCAATCGAACGTGAAATCCGAAAACGGATTTCACCTCCGAGAAATCCATCCTCAGGGTGGATTTCAATTAAGAAATCCAAATCCGCATTTTTTGGATTTCCCTTTTACCGTTCGATTGGGAAATCCGAAAAAGGATTTGCAAAACTATTCTCGTGAACAGCGGTCTTCTTTTTACTATTTATGCGAGCGCATGCAAGACCGCTGTTCCTAAGGACAGTTTTTCAAATCCTTTTTCGGATTTCCCAATCGAACGGTAAAAAGGAAAATCCAAAAACATATATTTCTGCGTTGAAATCCGTTTTCGGACTTCGCGTTCGATTAGAAATCCGAAATCCCGATTTTAAAATCTAAATCAAGATTTCCCAATCGAACGCACCCAAAGTAAAGCAAAAAGATAATCTTAAAGAAAAATTGTGTAGCTTACCTTGAACTGTGCCCCAACAGTGGGTTTTTTGGTGGCTGCCAAACCTTGACGACCTTTACTAAGTTTCTTGAAAACAACCAGAGATTTAAATATGAATATGAGCAACCGAGAGCTAACTCTACTAATTTTACTTTCATTTTGATACTACGCAAAACATGCCCCGATCACTTCGCCACCGACTATTGTGCATTAGTGACCTCTTATAGAACACTCGAAAGGCCACAAAGGCGGTGGGAGATCGTCCTTGCACTTCCAAAGAAGACTTTAAGTCGGCCCAAACTTAACTTAATAGGCTGCCTTATGAAAAGTTCGGCGTCTAAACAGAGCCTTTCATTGTTTCTTACGTCTCCAGTTGTTTATGTTTATTCATGCCACCCGACTCATGACGTTTCGAGGTCTAAAACATAAAGCTCTGGCATGTATTGAGCGTTTCCGCTCCACTTTTTTAGCCTTCAGGTGTTTTCTGGAGGACGTACTGCGCTAGATAAAGCTAGGTATGTATCATAACTACCGCGTTAAATTCCGCAAAAAATGATAAAATAGAAAAACAGAAAGAGTCATCCTTCTGCTTGATGCCCACTTGCGTGACCTATTTCTTCTTAATTGCTTTTCCGTTGTGCAAACAACGATGGCGACTACAAGCGGAAAGCACGGAACGTTTGCTCGCCTGAAAAATAGCCCTATTCTGTATTCTGAGACCCCCCGTAACTGTTTCTTGAGGGAGTTCTACTTACTCTCGACTCACCTTTGTTCTTCTAATGACATTTCCCTTGCTCACTCGTCCTTGCAGTGCCAATGTTCCAGTTCGTGTGATGGTTCCTGTATGATTTTAAATAATAACAATTTGTTTCGCAACAAGAAAGAAAATCATTTAGGAATAGTTTCCTTTAACCTAACCCAGTCCGCATTCTGCGCTTGAAGACAACGATCTGAACGATAGGAGGTGGATCAGCCTGATTAACTGACCATCATTTAGTTTCAGTTTCAGATTATGCATTCCATTTGGCGAAATAGATTCAGATCGATGGTGCGTGATTGCTCGGAACTCATTGCGACCTAATTAAACAAAATATTTAGAGAAAGTTAACTTCTTTGTCCAAATCCTAGGGCCTATATAGCCACGGGAATATGGGAATATCAGAACACCGAGAGGGAAAACGAAGCACTCTTTCTGGGCTTGCACAACTAGTGAAGCGTTGTTGAATACCAAAGAAAACACTCTTTCAAGTGTTCATTACACTTTTTCAAACTATATCCTTTATAAAGAAATATTTCAACAATTTTAAGTCTTTCGCAAGATTTTCTTCGAAATGGCATTAAACAAGTATAATTACCAGCAAAAATAGTAGAAATTAGTGTGTTGTCACTTTTTCGCAGCATTTCCATCACTCCTTGAGGAAGAGTATCGCGGTTTTTCTCAAGAAATCCTCTGGCGTTATATTCAACCTGGGACGATTCATACAAAAATTATCGTACCATCAGTTTTATTAAGAACTTTCTACATCACTGACACTTACAAACGTCTATAGCTAATGAGTGAAGACGAAGGAAAGGATGATCACAACTTGAAAATGTAAGGCTACCTTATAATGCTTGCATTCTTTCCTTCCAGTGGTTCAGGTGGTTGGGCCAGAACACCGGCCCTTACGTCTAGACAAATACCAGTTTGATTCTCGGTTCCGCTGTACATATGTGAGTTGAATGTTAGGTCTTGACCCTGCTCCGAGGTTTTTTGCTTCGGTCTCTTTAGATTTCCTCTCTTCACGAAAATCAACTTAAATTTTCTGATGCCGATTCAATCAAGGGTTCGAGGAACTTTTTGTTTATGAGTCAACAGACTGTTGCTGAGTGCTATCCTTATAAAATAAAGTGGATTTATTTACTAATGGCGCAGAAGTACACCGTTAGATCGCTCACCTTGCCCGCATAATGACAGATCCCAAATACGTTGCTGTTCGATTGTTTTGACTTGATGAAGATGTTACTTTTTCCACAGTTTTGAGCCAGTTTCTCTACAAATGAGCGGTCCGTACTCTAGGTAACAAGTATCGAAGAAATATCTTTCAGTGAATGAATGCGTTTTGTTCTTTGAAGTCAGAAATGAGGCATAGCAAACCATCGAGCCGAATCAAAAAGCAAGATAGGGTCTCCTAGGAATATGCAACTAGCACTACGATTTTACCATGACAATTTTCATCTTATTTGTTGTGTAAAAGACATTTTCGTGGCTAAGTTCAAACCTCAATTCTGTTCAGCCACCATGTGCGGCTCGTGAAATCAAGTACATTTCATATTTAATAGACTTTTCAAAAACCTTTCGTCGCCCTCAACGTAGAGTTGTAATTTTCGTCCCCTCCCAAATTCAAGGTACCACGGACACTCAGCAAGCTCTAATATTGACGATCAAACTTTTAAGTTCGATCAGTGTATAAGTTAAAACTTACACACTGATATACGATATGAATACCGTCAAGAGGTTTAGAGCGATTTTCGTATGACCTTGAAATGAAAACGCGCAAACAAAACAGAAACAAAAAACGAACGAAAATAGAGCGATTTGATTGGTTTATCGAACGGATACAAACGCACGTGGCTTTTGGATGGTTAAGCGAACGCTCGGGTGAAAAAACTTCATGCCCGAAAACTTTCTAGAAATCAATCAATAATTCGCTTTGACATCATACTGCAACACGATTGGCCGATCGAACAATGCCTTCTCCATATAAGGGTTTTCTTTGGCGGGAAAACGAAGAGTCCATGTTTCGACTTTGTCATCCATTGGCTGATAAAACAAATAACGTGCACTTACCGAAACCATTTTTCAAGGTCATAAGAAAATCGCTCTATACGCCGTACGCAGAAAGCTTAACTTGTCCTCACCTGCGGGAAATGACTCTCTTCATCGAGCAATGCAAGAACGCCAATTGGTTTGTTTAAAAACAAATCCTGAAAATAGCCACAACATTTCTTACAACAGGTTTTTACATTTGTTATATTAAATTGAAACGTTAGCGCGGGTTTTCGCATCATATTTTACCATACTTGTGCTGATATTCTCGTTACCGATTATGTTATGTTTATGTTAAACTATCAGCAGATCAGAGGCTCAATTATAACTCTTACCAGTACAGGTTTGTTGTCTACAAATGTAACACCAGTCCAATCGATTCCTTCCTTTTTATACTCTTCCTGCTCCCACATGAAAATATGCTACAAAGATAAATAAGCATTGAATTTTAGAATCTGCCTTCAAGAATTTCCGGCATTTTTTCTTAATTTGTCACCCACGAAGAGCGATCACGTATACCCGGTTCTACGGTAATTAAAATAACGAAAAATAACCCTGAAGTTAGCCAGAAGCTGCTACAGGTAACGGTATACGAAACAACACCTGTATACGACGATTACAATCGCCATTTACCTGGTTGAAAAAGAACTGAAGTTGTTCATTAGCCAGGTTGATACACGCTTGCTCAAAGCTGTTGTTCTCAAAATGTTCGAAACCAAAAATGTCCAGAATTCCTACAAATAACGAGAGAGAAAAACATTCAGTAAGTTTTGAAACTCTGAAAGCAGTATCATTCCCGCCATTTGGAAGTGGGTGTAAAAAAGCTCCACCCAGTGGTACCTATTTCTGTGACCTCGTCTCCTCTTGAAGCCATTGGTGGCGCCAGTAGTTGATTCACCTTATTAACAATCCAGCCAAACAGTCGGCCGTACAAAGCTTTAGCTGTCGCATCACGTACATCTGAAAAACGTAAAAAAAAAGAAGTCAAGTTGAGCTATGAGAAAGATGATTTTACAATCAGTGACACAGGCGGCTCGGGAGAAAAATTCCGTGTTCTCCCAACAACAGTTAAACCTCTGACCCCCTGGCTATATGTCCAGATGCCCTACCATAAAGCTACAGGAGACCTGTGGGAGCTAAGGCCACCAAAACTATAGGTTCAGGCGACAAATATCCTGCATACTGCTAGGACTGGATGTCGATATATGCTGATGCTTATGCGCAATGATGGAGTTTTTAGCGCCGACGGCGCTCACACAAGCGCCTTAGGTGTGAGCTTCTATGGGGGGTCTGGGGGTATGCCCCACCAGGAAATTTGGCAAATTTAATTTGTCTAAAGCGGCATTGATTGCATTTTAATACCGCGGCGGTCTTCAATGGAGAGACTTGGCGATATAGGATGGGATAGGAAAGTGTAATACGTAACGTTTCACGCTCAAATTGCAATAAAATACTGAAGATAAGCAATTTCTTCCCTTGTTTTCAGAATTTCATGATAAATCGGGAGAATCTAATAAAAATCGAGAAAGCGGGAGGCAACACATTAAATTGGGAGGGTGGAAATCTCTGCTTGAGCCTGGCGAATACATGAAGAGATGATTTTTCAGTGACACAGGCGGTTAGAAAAAAATAAACCTTCACGAACAAATCTGGCCAATTTTGGCTACCGGCAGAGGACAAATCTAAGAGAAATCACAAGTACAGAAAGGTTAACCAACGCAATCGGAGTAACAAAGTCTGTCAATCTCCCTTGAACTATTGGCTATGTTTTAAACACTGGGCTCTATATCAGATTACCGATAGCTTGATGATCTTTCAGCCTTCTCTTGATCACACTACCACGTGTTACGGATGAGGTGGAGATCAGAGCTTCTGCCAGATTCTCCGCGTCCACACCTAAAAGCTTCTGTTTTGCCGGACATGAAAATACAGAAATTTACGATCAATTACACTGAAGGTAGCGATACCGTTGCTATTCCAAAGTCTTGGTGTCTTCTAATAAAGTTTTCTACAAATGTTAAGAACAACCTAGATGGTTCCACTTAATGCAGGAGCGGGAGGTCACTGGTGTGAAATCACACCACATAAATTCCACAACTCGCGCTACAATTTCATTCTGCGTTCTATGAATACCAGCAAAAACATTTCAAAGACTACTATCCCTCGAAACGTCCATGACGGAGGGGAGCGCAGAGAGGCTGTTGTATTCGTACTAGATTGCGGTGCTGTTGTTTTCTTTTTACAGTGTACTGGGCGTTACTATATTCATTGATAAGAAATCTTAGTAAAATCTTCGTTCTCCTGTGTTCCAAAGGGAAATAAAATGATTATTTTTCAACAGATTTTCGCCATGGTTGACCTTTACTAGTAAAGAAAACGATGTAACTTCAATCACGTTTTAACTTACCGCAGCTGTCCTCAGAGGTCCGTGAGCTTCCTTAACAACAGCCCCTTCGTTTTCGTCCATCTCAAATGCTATGTTGCCGAGGTTAAGTACTGAACCAAGTACAGTCAGCATATCTTGCTGCTCCTAAACACAAAACACCGAAGAACAAAAACAGCACAAAGCATGATAAAATAGTCGCGGTTACAATGATCTTCGCGACCACTAAATTTCGATCATGATCTTGCCTGCGACAGATCGCGCTAAAATCGCCCGTGAAATCGCAGCCTCTTTATACTGGCGATTTTGGAATTGCAACCAAATTACAGCTCTTTTTGCGCTACAAATCGCATGAAAAATCGCCCGGCCGTGTAAATGGACCTATACGATCAAAAACGTTTCACGACTAACGTGTACGCAGCGGTGAATTGAAATTCTAAGGTACATGTTATGAGCGCAAACGTAGTGAAAAAAAAAAAACAAAAAAAAAAAACAAACACAAAACAGAACGTCAAGCATGTAAGTTGGTTTTACCTCGTCCAGAAATCCCACCATATCCATAGCATTGAGCAACTCATCAAACATTGCCTTGTTTTTTGATATTTTCTTTTTAAAACTGGCAGCTCCATCAGACAAGTAACTATCAGTGTTTGATAACAAAAAAGACTTACATAAGAATTTCAAAACATATCCTGTTTAATTCATGTAAATTCATGTTGAACATATTGTAGGTAGAAGTTAATTCTTAATAATAATTTAAAGTGTCATAAATGGAGGGCTACAAAAGTCTTCAAAAGTTATCAAAAAGATGTGGCAAGAGAGGGAAGTAAAGCAAGGTTTTCCTAAAAAATTATCATCAAATTTTACTCTGTTTAACATGCTCCAGCAGATAAGTAAATTTCAAACCGATACAGTTATTAAAAAAAGGTGTTTTTCCTTCATGACAAATTCTTAGATACCAAAAGACTATCAGAAACAGATTCCAAATTCGGTCTTCAAAGCACTAAACTGACGTACTTTTCCCGCTGCTTTTGGCTATATGATAGGTTTGAAAAATGTTTGTTATGTTGATACCACCTTACCAGTATTTGCTGGGCTTTGTTAATCCATATTTACATTGTTCTTCTAAAGACAGCCCAGCGAACAAGTAGTAGAAAATGTGAAAATTTTCCTCCCCAGGACTTTGTCGGACAACGCGGGATTTCTCCAAAAGATATTCAGAAATTTTGGCACCAATAACTGAGAATTTAATAGAACAATGAAAAGTTATTTTAATTTAAGAGAAAATAAACTTGAGAGCTTTATATGTAAGTAAATAGCACGCAGTTTTAATTCCTCTTTGGACAAATACATCTTATATCCCACGCAGTTAACGCCTCCAAATGTAAGTCATCTATTCACAAAAAATTAAAAGTAGTTCTTTAAAGTTAAATTACGTAAGAATTCTATAGCACGGTAAAATAATTTATCAAAAGAGTTGTTACAGCCAAAACTCATTTCGTGGACTTTATCATCCATCCGCTAGAGGCTTAGACTGCAAAACAGTCCGTGTTTTTGCGTATTCAAGTACGCGCGAGCAGTCAAACAAAAGGTCTGGAATGAGGCCGAAAACAGAGAGCGAGACTGGGGAGAGACGCTAAAAATACGGTTTTTTTTTTAGGACGTGTGAGGCTCGCGCGCTTCGCGCGCGTAAGACTCTTACGCCACACTTTACCGATTTCTTTACTGATTTTGAGAAAAAAACCGACTGTTTTGCAGTCTACTAGAGGCTATGATTCTGGTCCAATCCAGTAAGGCAGGTTATATCCTGCTAGCAAGCCCATCCCTACCCCACACCCCCTGTCTCATGATATGTCTAGCTTCTTACGACCTCCATAAAACGTCGCATAAAGGAATTTCCTGTCGTAGTCGTCCGCACACTGTGACCCAAAGAAATGTTTGAAAAAGCTTGTTCAAGCACGCGCAGAGTTGTTGTTTTGATGTTTCTGTTGCCGTCGCTATCGTGGTTGCTATCCTTTGAGCGACGCACGTCAACTTTTGGAAATGGGCTTTTTGCACTCTTGAGCTGTGATTTTAAACAAATTTTCGAGCAGTTCGTCTCTATCAGTGTAAAGACACTTAGCAATACCAATTTGGAAGCATCAAGACATATTAAAAGGCACAAGGATTCACTTCCGGTAGTCCATCGCTCAAAACCGTCTTTGCTTAAGCTCCCAGTATTACAGTAGAACGCAGACAGAGTGACCCCCTTTAGTTTTAACATGAACAGACAGCGCATCACTGTATTTAATTGGAATAAGAGCGCGATATAAAATATCCCTGTTTTAACAAGTACTTTTTCCTTTTTTAGCACTTTTTTTGGGGGGGGTGGGGGAAGCCTGCGAGAGCATCCGGTTTTTTCGGCTCTAGTATCTAGTGTCACCCGCCGAGAAAAGTAGGAAGAGAAGCGACGACCGGAAATACCTCTGCGGTTCCAACGCTAGGTGGGGGGGGTCTACTTATATCAGCATATGCCAGTTCCTACCACCCTACCACTGCTTTGCTGAAACTTCAGTTGAATGTACTTTCCAAATCTACTTGAGTTGTGGTTCATCATTGTTTGAGCGTTACCAAAGGCTTCAAGCAGAGGATTTACCTGAGGAGAGAGGAGGAGAGGGGGAAGGGTTATAATCATTAAATATTAATTATATTAGTATTCTTAAGGTTACCAGATACCTTCAGGGGTGTCAGCAGGTTGCAGTCATTAACTTCAGATACCTAAAACCCTATATCAAATTAAAGCCATTATTGATTGGCTATCTTAATAAACCAACAATTTTTTTTAGGATTTCTTGAGGAATCTGTATTGGGGGCTGTTATTGTCCTGGTTATTTTTTATAAGCATGATTTCCGTGAGAGTCTGCTTTAAGACTAGTTTCATTGACTGACTGATGGCATGGGTGTAGCACTGAACTTTTCCTTTTACAGATTTATTAACAGCACCTGAAGAATCTGCTGTTCCAGCTGTGAGGTTCCTTTGGATAGCTCAACAAGTTGACTGATCAAAAGTTTGGCTGATTCTGTCTTGCCTGCACCGCTTTCACCGCTGAAATTACAATATTCTTACTGTCAAAGTACATGCAAAGAGATGCACTAGCTAAACTGTCTATTATTGTTTTAGAATATTATGCATAGGCAACCAAAACTCAATATGTGAGTTTTGGATAAAAAAAAATTGTAAAAAATTGATACATAATATGCTAATTTTGTATAATATATGTAGTTTATAGGTTTTATATGGGAAAAAATAAAAATATCCCTTTATCTTAGTTAATAGAGTAGCAATAAAAAAATTAATAATTTACAAAAAATTAAAATAAATTTGAAGGTTAATAAGGCAGAATAGCAAAACCAGCCCAGAACTCTTCAAAAAGAACACAGGAACACAAACAGTAAAAGTAAGTTTATTTTGATTATTTGCTACACAAGATAATGCAATATTTTTTCTATTGCTTCTTTTTCCCATATAAATTAACCCTATGAAGCCTTACATTACAAAATATTAGCATATTTATTCTAAGATTTTTAACATGCACTCAGATATTGAGTTTGGGATGCCTGTGGATTATGAAGTACAGCAACAAGTGAAATTATTATTTATGTCAGTACTCATTCTGGTGATGAGGGACTGGTCATTAATTTTAGTTATTTAGATGAGATGTGATGGCTGGTGTAAATGGAGTGTGTCAATCATTTTTGTGCAGTGAAAGAGGGGACAATTATTTATAAGCAGGTCAGTTTCTTCTAATTATTAAGTTTCAAAACAGAAAATATTTTATAAGCATAATCAATTTTTGCACTGACTTTGTTAAAAGTAGTTTACTTGTTATATCATGGAAAGGTCAGCACACCTTTGCTGAGTACCGGATTGAAAGCAACCAACACTAATATTAACCATGCATAACCCTAACCAACACACCAGACCCCCGGGGAGGGGGGGGGTACTGCCATATATGGGCTATATGGGTATGTGCCGCTGTGAAGGGTATGGTTTTCAAGTAGTTTACTCTAGGATAGGGTATATAAATCAGAGCGTTTGGGTCTAGAATAGGGTATCATTTTTCAGGAAACTGATCAGGGTTGAAGATTTTATCTAGACTCAACTCCTCAGGATACCTGATGACAAATTCAACTGAACTAGCTTTTTAGGTCAAGGGTTCCAGGATCCCAGCGGCACATCCCCACCCAGAAATTCCTAAAGTGCCCCAGCACCAATAAGCAGGAAGAAGAGTCAAGTCCTCATACCTGATGACACAACACTGGCTTTTTGGATTGGTCCCAGCACCAATGCCTAGCATGGCTTGGTAAGCTGCATCAGCAATGGCAAAAATATGTGGAGGCTGAAAAGATTTCTGTGTCATCTTATACCTTGCTGCAATCTACAAGCAGATCAAACACCACAAAAAAATGGATTTTTCTTGGCCCACTTGATATTTTGGAAGACACATCTTTTAAGTTCAGAATTGTTAATCAAAATTATCTAAGGCCCAAACTCAGTTTAAACTTGAGTACTTAGCGAAAGTGGTGGAACGTCATTAAGGGGCTCGAAAGCAGGTGTCTCGCTTTAATTATTCACTGGTGTAAATTAAATTATCCTAACTCCGTTCAGTTAAGTTTAACTTACATTCTTGTGGTAAATATCCAGTTGCTTGAACGGGTTGACTGCGATAAGAATATCACCGACATAGGTCTATAATTTTTGATGGACAGATTGCAAATAAATCAACATCCGCTGCAGCTAAATATAATCACAAATTGAACGAGGAAGGAAAATCTCATCAAGTGAGTCGTGTTATAAACTGACAGACTTAGAGCCCTAAGTACTACTCACATAGATGACATCTTTGCTATATCTCGCTTGCAGCTCTTCCAGAATAATTTTTTCATTCAATTCAGAAAGAGTTGCTAAGTCGTCAACAGAACCTGTCATGTTCTTAGCCATTCCTTTTTTCACTCGACGAAGACAGTGGGAAACTTCTGGAAGCTTGCTAGGAGTTGTTTCCAGGTGGTGACACTCGTCCCGGGCTCCAGGAGCGTGACCTGAAAAGCGTGACCCTTGTCATGTCTGTTAAATAAAGTCACGCATTTCGTAATGGCAACGTGGCAAAAACAAAACGAAGCAAAACCAACTGAAAACAAATTTTGCATACACTTTTATGGTACACCTATGTAGTCATGGACAAATTATAGCAAGGGACACAGATCTAAAGGTTTTATTTATTTATTTATTTTTTTCGGGGGCGGAGGGAGATTTTTCACGAAATCTTTGACCTATAGCCTGCGTTGCAGCCGGCCCACGCACTCGTCAAAACCATTTGTATAGCTCTATACAGAAGGTTTAGAGCGACGCAGGCAATTGACCTATTGCATCGTGTCAAAGGATCTCAAAATGGTGTTCTCATTTTTTCCTTTCTCTGCATTTATTAGTTTCCAGCTGTTTGAAGCTAGAGTGACCAGGTTACATTCAGCAGTTTCAATCAGGGCTTTAATGTGCCTACCTTTCAAATATTGTCAAAAAACCTTTTTTCCTTCGGTTACAGTGTCAGAGGGGGCTGGGGGAGGGGGAGACAGAAAGTAGTTTTTAGAACAGCTACCCAAAAAACATCACCTAGGATTGCCATCAAAAATGAAAAAAAATGCAGTATATGAAACTAAGCAGGTGAGAATTAAAGCCTGTTTTTCAATCTTCTTCTAGCTCTCCACTCTAATTATGGTATTTTATCCACAACAGAGTCACAACATAGAATGATATACAGCTGCAGTGGTGGATCCGGGGGAGGGACCCGAGGGGCCTGAGCCCCCTTATTTTTGGACCAAACTGAGGCTCAAAGGGCTGAGAAATTTTTTTTTTTTAAACTGCCCCCCCCCCCCCCCTATCTTCAGGTCTGGATCCGCTACTGAGCTTTACCGATATCGCTATTGAAAAATAAAAATCAAACCAACAAAGGACATGTGTTATGGCTTTAGAAAAAATGTCAGATGCCTGATAGGTGTTTTCTTTTCTTCACATCTGGCAAAATATCTTGAAGCCTATTATTACTTTTAAAACTGCAGACCTTTAAGCTGAGGGACTATATTTCCCGGTGAAGTATTCCTATAAGTGTGTGGGTGATCTAAATGACCAGAATGGGAAAATGCAGAATGAACTACAACCTCTTTCCCCGGGTCCTCTCCAAATTGCCGCTCATCCTCTCTCTGACTCCAAGAGCAAGTAAGGGCCATAACCTGTAACAGCTGTTAAAGCTGAACTCACTTGATGTTATGGGTGGTCAAAGTGGAAGGCTAAAGGAGTCACCATAAATTTTTGAGAGATGTTGCGGCTGAACCTTATTAATGTAATCACTTCCACCACATTGCGTGTAATACACAACAGAGTGGGTTCCAGTTTAAGTGTGTCCTGCTTACGGAATAACCCACCCAGTCCTGGGGAGGTTGGCCACATCACCGGGGTCTCTGTACCCTACTTTTTTCGAACAGTGGTGTAGGTTCTTTTACATCCCTCAAGAACCAGATGTTAAGTGAAAGTGCTGTGAGACAGGACCTATGGTTTGCTGTCCTTATCTGAGAAGACTAGAAAGTTTGCAGATGTCATTACAAAGGCAGCACTTTCTGACCCTGAGTGTTTGTTCGGCCAGGGTTTCAACACGCGACTTCAAGCTCAGCAGACCAGTGCTTTTCCGACTGAGCGAAACAGGTGGCGGTCATTTGCTATGGCTGCTTAAAAAGTTAAGAGGAATTTTGAATGAACTACTGCACAACCTGGACCAAGAAAAATAAATTAAAACTACTGGAAACACAATCTATTACCCAACACTTAACAGGTGACAGTTGCATCTCGTCAAGTCACTATTGCAATCCACTTTATTGATCTTTCCTCTGTATTTACACATTCATTGACAAGTAAATCTTTATTGTTCTTCAAGAAAGGTAAAATGCTGAAGTCTTTTCAATTTTTTATTGTCCATAAAGTTGGTTCATAATGCAAAGATCTGAATTTATTTGACACTAAAAAAACTTAACGAACATTTTGAATAAGGGACAAATTTAATGAAAAAAATTAACCTCTAAACAGTTATGGAAAGAATCCATATCTGCTGCCTGCTGCAGATATTATTGGAGTCTAGGTAACACAAGTGGAAGATCACAAAATAAACTTTTGATGCAGAGAAAGTTATTTTGCCCAGTTGTTTGAATCTGGGTCATTGTAGATTTTCTGTTTCTTTTTCTTACGCTATCTACAGTCAGTAAACAAACGACCAATAATATTGATAACTGTTGGAAATTAAGGGGCTTACTATTCCTGAATATGTTTAGCAGTCATAGAAAACCTATTTACAATATTTGTGGGACAACATTTGTAGCACCATATCCTTTTACTTTTTGGAGTTCTGCGTTGAAAAGATAAATGTTACATTTTATAAATTCAGGGCTTCAAAGCACCAAGGCTAACATCTAATTATTATAATTCATTATTCAGAGTAGTTTCTAATAAAGCCAAAGTTCTCACAACAAATTTCACAACAGCACAAATTGCTATTTTACAGAAGCAACTTTAAAAATTGCAACTTGAAAACGCTGTGTTGGATCACAAGGACTGCCACTATGAAGTTAGTAATGGTAGAAATTAGGCCATCACAACTGGCATTATTATCAGACAGAAAGAAGAAAGGAAGATGATTATAAGAACCAGCGTTACTCAAAACGTGAAACTCTCACCCACTCTTCATACATTATTAAATAATGTTAGCACACATAAAGAGCTTCATAGGTAAACTTTTACGGTTGAACATACTTACAAAAATATTCAACAGAGCATTATTAACATTTGCCCTTAAAGAACAAAGTTTAACTTCTACTTTAAAGACTGAAACAGTTTTCTGTAGTTCTGTGTTATTTTCACCAAAGAAATCATAATGTTTAGGGCATGAAACCAACAATGTTTTGATCAATGCCATACCGCCCATACTTAACCACATTAATAATGCAAAATGTCCAAGATTTTGTTTGACTGAAATATCATCCTCTGCAATTAAGAACAATGGTCATTTTAAAGGAACTACATTTTCAAGAAATGCTTAAATCTAAACTTTTAATGATGATTCAATTATTGACTTAGGGTAGACTCATTTTGAAGCATACGCATATAGCCAACACTTTCTATCCTAGCCTGAAGTTTTTATTAATCTTGCCCAATAAAAATTCCAAGGGTTACAATGTAAATGTGTCCACTAAAAAGCTATGTTACAAATGAATCCACTGTTAGTGTTGGGCCAAACAACAGGTCATATTCCAGGTGAGTGTTTTACTGTACATGCCCTTATCAATCTCAGGAGTGTCATGCTTTCATTGGATGAATAGACACAAAACCATAGAAAACCCTTTAGTTTGAAGAATGCACTAAATTTGCCCCATTTTAAGGTCACCAGAGAAGCGATATAACATACATTTAGAATCACCAACTGTGCTAGACAAAGATCTTAACACTGCATTGACAAAAAGAAATAACGATGATAGCTTAATTTAACAGTAATTTAAGATAAAGGTTGTGATGCACTGAAAGTTACACTGGAAAATAGAGTAAGAAAAAAACTGATGTGCTCGAAACGGAATTCAAGATTTACATTTAAGTGTTAGCTAATAGGCAAAACATGGCTCTATGCAGAAACAAACTCTGAATCAAACAGAGAAATACAATATCTTAAACATTACCAATGAGCAACAATGATAATTGTTCTCTAATGATGTTGTAAAATTGCATTTATGCATAACAAAGCTCATCGACTTAAACTAGTACTATTAACAATAATAAATTGATAATAATAATAATTCATGAAAGGAGGTAAGTATATATATTACCATTACAGTAGAGCATTTATTTTCACCGATAAAATTATTCTAAAATTAACACAACCATCATACCAAATTTGAACTATCTTCACATTCATCCTTTTCCTACTCAAAAACATTTCCTAGGCAAAGCTACTCGACAATCAATGAAAATCAATTTCCAAAAAAATAACGGACAACATTTCTGTAAATATCAAATAATATTTTTTACCCTATCAATCAGTTTGTCACTAGTTCATGCTGTATAAATTGCTTCAACCTTTCCAGATATTGACCATACAGTTCAACGTCATTATGACCTGCTCCTTCAACCCAAAGGGGATCAACCGTGCGTGGACATCGCTCATAGATGGCTAATCCATGGGAGAAATCTATAACTTCATCCTCAGTTCCATGAATAACAAGAACTGGGGACACAATTTTTGACACTTTCTCAATGCTGCAAAAAAATGAAAAAAGGATTAAGAAATAATCATAAATAGTAGAACCTTGATATGATGAGAGGCCAAGGGATTGCCAAAATTTGTTCACTATAATGAGGTTTCATATATCGAGGTTCTTTTTCATACATTTTACTACTACTGGGGTAAAGAAAACTGTTCACTGTAATGAGGACTTTGTTATAGAGCAGATCGTTATACCAAGGTTACCCCGTAATAGGACCGAGTGCAGCCCAGTTCAGTCTGTAACCATATGAGTGATAAAAAAATAACTTCCTACTGATTACATTTTCCTATCAATGCTGTAATCAGTGCTAAAGATTGCCAATCAGATCAGGGAATTTTAGTTCTACATGTAGTTTTGATTATATAAAAATATGTTATCAATAACACATGTAAGTAAAAAAAAGTGATCTTGTAGGTTTTATGGCATAACAGTGACGCTTTTGTTACTCGCTGCTTCAAGAAAGTGGAATGCATATTTTATATATAATTCAATATTGTGACTACGACCATTTCACATTTAGTGGCAACAGTATAGTACATAAAAGTACTAGGACTTTGCAGACGCTTTGTTGAATGGCCTGGATTTCACAGGTTCAGAGCATTCAGCTCCCTTCAATTTTTCTTAAAGCACGGCCTTGAGGTGTGACTATCACCATGACGTGCAGGGCTATGTGTTTACATGGCCTTGAGGAGTGGATATCACCATGAAGTACAGGGCTATGTGTTTACATGGCCCTGAGGTGTGGCTATCACCATGAAGTGCAGGGCTATGTGTTTACATGGCCCTGAGGTGTGGCTATCACCATGAAGTGCAGGGCTATGTGTTTACACGGCCCTGAGGTGTGGCTATCACCATGAAGTGCAGGGCTACGTGTTTACATTTTACTCCCTTTACTATTTTTTCCTCCTTAGCACCCTTTGTCCTCATTTCTTCCCTTCCAAGACAAAGTCCTGTCACTCAATATACATGTACACAGTTGACAACAGAAATTGAGGTTCAGTGTGGATTGTGATATTTGGAAGCCACATAAAAACCAGCAGCATGGCCATAAGGAGGGGGGGGGGGGGGGTTGGTGTAAGGGTTTGCAATGATGCAATTTTGGGAAATTTCTATTTTCAGTTGTAGTTTTAAAAGACCAAGCAGTTTGCAGTATTTAGAAATTTTCTGGTAATTTCAATTCAGTTTGCAGTTTTCTTATGTTATTCTGTGCCATGATTATACGTATTTCTGTGCGGTTTTGCATTGTTCGTACCCTGCTACATAAGGTTTTGAAGAACTTAGGCAGGGTAATATGCTATGTAGTGCAGCCATGTAGCTCCTTGATATCACCAGATACGGCGATTTTTGCCAACAGCCAGCTTCTTTTGATAACCCAGAAGAACACGGGTTTTTTTCGTTACTGCACATGACCAACCGACTTCAACCAGTCAAAACTCCTTTTACTTTTGGCTGTTCAAAATTTAGACAAATTAATAAATCTTTTACCAGGATATATTATCTCCTAGAGATCACAGAACTTTTTATATTTCTCAGTCACGTTCACTGCTCATGAAGTACTATTTGTACACGTAAACGAACCACAGTTTGTTGTTTGCCAATCTTGTACAGGAAAGTGCTGGAAAAATATCAGCACTTGATCTGGTTGCCATGAGTGCCAATGACCACATTAAGTAATTTATATTGCCTATTTTCCCTTGACCTTTAAGATTATCAATTTCAGAATTTTTAAGTCTGACTCAAATGCAATGTAAAATAGGTCTACCACTATTAAAGTTTTGGAACAACCACGTCCAAACTTGTAATCCACTCTATAAAATTTGGCCCATTGATATGGGGCAGTTAAACTAGTGATATAGTATAATTACCACTAAACAAACTAAAAACGATTACAGGAGAGGTTCAGGGAATAAAGATTGTTTTTTTTTTTACAAATTCTAACACAATCATTTCAAATTAATGGGAATTATCAAGGAATGGAAATCAACTACCATGTAAAAGATGGTTAAAGACAGGGTGTACTCAGGGTAATTCATGGAACAAAATTACTTTATTTCAAAAGAGGAATTATACATTTGTTTATTCGTAGCCATTGAGCGAAATGTATTATTTACATTTCTCTTATGTACATACAAAAAATTGAAATGAATAAATTCTAGACGCAAAGAAACGGGTGTTGGCCGGAGTCAATTATTATTTAAAGCGCAGTTTTAAATATCAAAAACAAGGTTGATAGTATGCAGTCAACTGTACTCAACCCTTTTTAGAACAAGCTTATAATATGCGTACAGTAAGCCAAAGAAATGTTTTGGAAGATAATATTGGACATGTCACTTCAGACCAGAATAAAAATACAAGGTTGTTAGTGTAAAAATGGAATTTTCTTTGAGTGGAATTTTTACCCCTGTGTAAAAACCCAAAGTTTGTCGTATAAAAGTTGAAATGTATTTTTGATTTGCAGCCTAATGATGATTGATCGATTTGATCGAACGCAGTGAACTGAAGTAAAGCTAGGCGCGCGCCGAATTAACTTGTACGAATTCCATAGACACAAATTTGTAAACTTACCTTGGGAAAGCGTCAAAACACCACGTTCTCTTAGTGTCGGGAAAGGCTACTCTCATTCCAGAAGTGAGCGGTGAATGAAGGATTATTCCCGCACACTCAAATCTTGAAGCCAAATCTACAGTGGGAACAGTGCCTATACTTTGCCCGTACACTATTATATTCTCGGGGCTGATTCCATAGCGAGTACGTAACGCCTGCCATGCGGCATCGATATCAGCATAAAGATTCGTTTCTGAAGGTCTCCCTTGACTAACACCGTAGCCAGAATAATCGTACGAGAATATATTGCAGTTTATCCTAGTTCCAAGCCCCACATAAAAGCTTGACATTTGTCCGAGATCAACGGCGTTACCATGACTGAAGAGGAGTGTAAAGCGAGCGTTAGGGGCACATCGGACGTACATGCACCCGATTTGATTTCCTTTGCTTGTTTTCGTCGTGAAAACCTCAATACAATCTAACTCTTTCTGGCCATACTGCCACTCGGCTTTCTCGGTAAGATGAAGCCCAAAGCATCCATCGCCCAAATCTTGAAACGAATACGTCGGATCTGGTGGAAGGAAAGCCAATTTCGCCGCTATTCTTCCCGGGCAAGGTGGGCAACAAAACAAACAGCAGATCTCGGAAAACGAAAGACCGTTCATTTCGATGCCTAGCTTGTCCAATAATATGCGAAAAAAAGATAAGAAACTACAAAAAATCGCCGCAACTCGAAGTCTTAACGGTGAACTTCCATGATCACTTCAACTATTAGAATCCAGTTCCTTCGCCATTTCGCTTACATCACAAAAGACACCTGTCCCTTGAGACCATGACGTCATCGTCTCTACCAAAAGGGAAGTGCAATCTTTGACTAAATACGGCATATAGAATTGCATATTCTAATCATTAAAATTTCTTGCAAATGTCAAGCACGAGTAAAATATCTACAGGGACAAAAAGAAACTTTATTCCTCATTGGTAATTTAAACGAAACCATTTTTAGTGTTCGTGCTATTTTTTGTAGTCTAAAAAATCGTGACCGGAAGTCAATATCAATCTACGGACATAACTCCATGCATGAACACTTCCTTACGTCATTTGGTCAAGAATATAGGTTAACCATTGACTTCTTAAAAAATACTTGGCTTGTTTGTCTACTGCACATCAACAGCGCTAGTGCCGTGTATTCTTATGATTTTTCTGACTTCCTTTTCATCGCTTGCTGGATAAAGACTCATAATAGTAGGCGCAAACAAGACGAATTTTAAAATAGATGTTGAACATACTCAAGTCAGTCAATTCACTTTCGCCTCAACATTTTAGAATCGATTAGTTAAAAAAAACTTTTTTCAAGAACCATACATTTGATCAACAAGCATCCTCGGAGCTCGAGAGCCAGGGGCACGGGCAGTCAGTTTTGTCGCCCCTTTTCTCTACCCGACTGACTGCCCCTGGGTCTCCGAGGATGATCAACAAGTTGTTCAATTACCATTTCTGATTGACAATTATCTGTCTGCACCTCTCTCCTCTGCAGAGGCTCCCGCTGGGTATCCCTATTGAAAGTGGCAATAATCGAAAAAAATAGAAAGCGCGCGGGGGACGATGGGAAGAGGGAAAAAAGCGGACCTCTCTCGCTCTTCTCGCTTTCCCCTTCCCATCGTGCCCCGCGCGCTTTCTTTTTCTTTCTCCCCAGCTTTCACAAACAGGCCTCTGCGGAGCAGAGAGTGTCTGCACACTCAGCCAACAATTATTCAATATATTCAGAAAAGCTGACTGAATAATGTTTTCTTTACTTTGGCTTATTCATTTTTGTGTGTCTAACATAAAAGCGGTAAAAGAAAAAAACTGAATTGATATTTTGGTCACAGAGTGTCTTAAAAAATGCACTAAGAGAAAGAAAAAACTGTGGTACACTTTTCAGATTTTCCATTGAAGCACCAAGACATATTATCAGTGAGGAGGCTCCTGAAAATTATAATCAGTGGCTCGTATAACTAAAAAAAGAGAGAAAACGTTTTAGTTCATGAAAGTGGATTGTAAAATTTGTAGAAAGGTATTTTTGCGGATTTTTGCGGTCTTCCAGCGGTTTCCGCAGCTCTCTGGCTCGGTCGGGGGAGGAGCGCGGGCTCTAACTTACAGACAATTCAATAAGCATAAGTGAAGTAGCGAACTGTATCAAGCATGGCGCTTGGCTTTAACGTATTGTTATTTGTCTGTGGTAACTTGTTCTGAACTTCGCCGACAAACCTTCTCTGCATTTTCATCCACGAAAAGCCTTGTAATGCCAACGGTTGTGCTCCTCGATGTTTCACTTTCAATGCTACGGCTTGTCCAGACGCCAGACGAAGCTCTTGTTGAGCGTAGACATCTAGCCATCCGTGGCCTTCACACCTTTTTCGATCACTTGTCCAGCAAGTTCAAGTTAGAATTTTCTGCCTTGTTAGCTTTTTCATCGCTATGGGAGATCGTTGTGCCATTCACGCGAGATTATCAGTCTTTGAAGCAAGGTTGTGTTACGGTGGATGTGTATGACAAGACTTGTTATGATAACGGATTCAGCGGTGTCGTCGGCCATGTTTTAGAGGAATGGGGCACATCGGTTCCCTGTCAAGTCATTTTGGTCACCGATGGACGCACAGGGTCAGGGCAAGGCTCTCTCAGAGACCTTCTGGAAGGAAAGAGAAGGGACGATTCCGAGCAACCAAGTCCTTTTCCTTTACCCTTTCCCTGTAAAATACACGTTATCTGTATTGCAACGGCTAATGAATTAGGGGCAGATTTAATGCTGTTTCAAAGGCTTTGTGATTCAGCTGGTGCAGGGGGTAGTGTCTATGTGCCAGACACACCATTAAGTGTCCAATCAGTTCAGAATGTGTTCATGCGCCTTGCACAGACACACTACATTAACTATGAGGGAACCCTATCTTGCGGACATTTGCAGTCCAAAGTTACGTTATCTCCACCACCAGACTTGACAAGCGTACTTGAAAGATCTAAAAAAGCCAAAGGTCAGGAGAAAAACAGGAGGTTGCCAAGTGAATTATCCATATGTGGTTTTCTTGATGTGGCAGATGCTGGTAGTCCCCCACATATCTCACGACATCTTGTCATACCGGTGCCTTTGTCCTCAGCGGATGCTAAGGATAAAGAAGGGGGAAAAGACGCTGTGAAAGACAGTGAAGAGGATGGGAAGACACCCTCCTTTTGTGTGCTTCTGCATGGAAGTCTGAAAGTGGAGAAGATGGTGGCTATTGTTTCATTTGAGTGAGTAGAGACAATAAGATGATGGTTGGTCCGGTCCCCGGGGGTGGGGGGGGATACTTTAGGACTTTTTGGGTGGGGATGTGCAGTTGGGACCCTGGATCCCTTAGCCTATACCAGAGCTAGTTCAAGTGAATTTTGTAACCCTATACTAGACTAAACTCCTCAAATCTCCTCCTATCCTAGAGTAGCTGTTTTCCAGAAACAACTGAGGCCAGCCAAAACAAAACCGATTTGATTTTTTTTTATATTCTTGAGTGGCAATTCCCAGTTTCCCTAGTCTAGACTAAAATCTTCAGCCAACTGATCAGTTTAAATGGAAAATGATACCCTCTTCTAGACCCAAACTCTCTGATTTATATACCCTGTCCCAGCATAAACTGCTTGAAAACCATACCCTTCACAGCGGCACATACCTATATAGCCCATATACAGCAGTACCATGCCCATGCCAGTTAAAAAGATGGTCAATGCAGTTTACTGAGTAGTACAATTGAATTTGATTACACTTGTCCACTGGATAGCACTATCCACCTTTGGTACAACTGGGACAGGATCTAAACAACACCTCTATGCTTTCATCTTAAGGTGATGTTGGGAAATAATAAGTAACTACTTTTTGACTGTTAATAATGTTTGCAATATTGTTTTTGTAGCTCTGACTGGTTTGGGATGCTTCACTCATGGGCAGACAGCAAGAAGAAATCCAACCTAGTGTTAACAATTTTTAGGCCTGGAGAGAGCATTTCATGGCTTGGAAACATGCAGAAACTGGGCCCTGCGGCAGAGCTTGATCCCAATCCATATCACTCAACGGATAATGATGAGGCAGAGACCACGCCCTTTCCAGTGATGCCAAACCAAAGACGTAGTTATAATTCACAAGCCAATGTAGTTTGGATTAAGCCCAGTGGATTACAGGTACATAATTATATTTGTAGGGAGTTCTGGGTATAGCCCTAGCTTTTACGTTGAGAAAAATGTGACACTGCGTAAATACAAATTTCTGCAAAAGTTGTAAAATTAATGTGTTTTCCCGATAAAGAGATTTTTCTTTGATTGCCACATTAAGTCAATAAATAAAATCTCTAGAGGAATGATAAATAAATGCATATACTAGATATTTTTAACTTTTATCATTGTCTTTAATCTATTGTTCAGTGGTTTTAGCAGTACAGATCTTCTTAATCTCCAGATTTGTGTTTGCTATCATTTTAGTCTGATGTCCAAAAGCTGTTGCGTTATGCTAAGAGGCTTCCGGACAAACAAGTACAGTTCTACAAGGTTGGTAACCTGTAAATGCTTGTGCAAGGGGTTTAAGGCCTGGGTCAAAGGTGTGTTCGGAACATACGAATGATTGGCAATATCTCTCACTAGGAGACCTAGAACAAAATGTTTTTTTCCCCAGAGGTAAATATTGAGGTTTTCTTGTGCCTGAACCATGTCATGTGACCAAAAATTGAAAATGAAGGAAATTGTTGAATTGTTGGCCAATTTCCTTTCTTTGGATATGAGCTGCCCATAACCGCCCATGTGGATCCATGCTTTAGTGCTGGAAAAAGTAGTCACCTGACAAGGTGCAACAAAAGTTCTTTCAAATAGCCCAAAGTTAGTGGAGTGACTGAATATTTTTATCATGAGTTGCCTGACAAGTTATGTAAGGTACTACAACAGTTTTATTAACTTAATTTTGGCCCACTGCTCCTCAGAGCTCGCCTCCTAGCTGGTAATGTTCAGCTACAACTAACTTGCTCTTCTTGAGACCGAGAAAACTTACCACTCACATTTATTTTGTGAATTGTTTTACTCAGGAGCTGAACAGACTGCGGAGAGCTGCTTTGTGTTACAGCTATCTGGGTCTGCTTGATGTGCTGGCAAACATGTTAGACAAAGAGTGTCATAAAGCCACTCCCAAAGTAGCCAATCATTTGCGATATGCATCGGAATGCCTTCGGGCTGGACCTAGCATGGATCTTAACAAGCCCATCACCCCTTTACAGGAGTAGTTCTTCAGTCAAGTAAGACAATTTTTTCTTCATGAAGATCTGATCTACATGTCATCCCCAAAGACAACTTTGGTGAGAAGAGACAGAATCAGTCCCCCCCACTCCCTCAAAAAAAACATCACACTAAGTCGTTTTTTGTCCTTTTTTTTTAATTTTTCATTTACTTATTGCCTTCTCTTATAAGCCAGCCATAAAAAGGTGTCTAAAATAAATAAGTTCTACTTTTTCCTACTTGCTATTAAAATAATTTGTATACTGCTTGATATTTTTATCAATATCACGTGAAATCTGAGGGTCTTTCATTTTGTAGATTTGGTATAAATAGCGGTTAGCCTCAGTTCAAGTGTCATCATGATTTATTTTCTTCTTCACTGTGCATGATCCCTATTTGACACACTTCCTCACTGCTGCAGGACCAAATGCCCATTGTCAATACATCATTTTATGCGTTATTGGCCAAGGGTGTGGTCAAAATGGCTGAATATTGGCCAAGATCCAAGAGAATTATTGACCTCGACTTTTTAAAATGCTTATGTATAGCTTAAGCCAAGGCCAAAAGTGAAGCTCTCGAGAGATGCTTTTGGAAATGTCTTTCTCAAGTAATTCAACTTTTGCCATAAGCAGAAAGCAAACTGTATTCCACCTTTAAAAAAAAGGACCTGAGCCCGAGATCAATTGAAAACCAAAAAATGGCCAGCAGATAACTTAAAAAAAAAAGGCACCTCCATGAATTGTATATCTAAGCCTGCGATACAGTCAGATAGCCAATCAGAATGAAGGATTCACTTTATCTAGCCTGCTTGCGGATTCAGCTATTATACTACACCATAGTCCCTCTCGCCGTTACAAAAATATGGATCTGCAGGATATGTTAGAGACTCAATGCAAACTGTTTCTTGCAAAATACATGTAACTGCAAAGCAAACTGTTTCTTCTTAAATATTTCTTGCCATGGACAGTTTAAAAGCAATTATTTTAAAATACAAATCTATTATCTAAAATTGTGTGATAAGGTGAAAATTCTTTGTAATAAACCACATGGTTCTTAACCGAACTTGATTCCTTGGGCAAGGGGCAACTCTTTGCTGAAGTTTATTGTGCTGAGAAAAACAACAAGACTGTTTTTAGAACCTCATCTATAGCATGGTATGTTATGTTTAAAAGTAATACAAGATAGTGGAGAGAGAATGAAATTGCAGGCATTTTTAAATGATTTTTTCAAGTTACAAATTTTTGATATTACCATGTTGACCTCCTCATGTAAGCTTTCCATGCATCACTTCCAGATTCTCTGCCACCTCCTGTATGCTTCTCCCCACCTTGTGGAATGAGAACAATGTTCAGTCAGCCAGAAATTCCCCAAGAAATACTGGTAATTTTGAATGCAATCACAGGACACTTGGAAGTGCAGGACTTGCATTGCATGACTTACCAAAGGCGCCTCCAATCTCTGCTCCACTTGTTGGAATATTTATGTTGACGATACCACAGTCAGATCCCAATGGACTGAAAGACAGTAATATTAAGGTACTGAGAAATCTGTAGACCTAGTTTAAAACTTTCATCATTCTCCCTCAGCAGATTAATTTATTGATTCAGATTTCAGTTGAATGCTTGTCAATTAGGTGATCCATATTGTAATATCATATTTTGAAGACAACCTAAACTGGTGAATAAAACAAACAATCAGTGAAAGCTTGAGCCCCTTTATTGCTATTGCTTGGTAGTCAGCATCTTTTTAGACCCAAAGTATGCAACATGTATTTATCACCTTTCCCTCTAATCAAAGTTGCAAAAATCCCAAACTTTCAACAGGGAAGAGAAAGGGGATGAATGTGGTTATTTGTCTGAACTTTTCAATAACCGGCCCTAGTCGTAATCAAGTTGATTGTTAGCAAGGATGTCTGAGCAATTTTACAAATGGTTGTTTGTAGTATACCGTAAAAATTCCGAAAATAAGCCCTGGGGCTTATATTTTTCAAAGGCCCTTTTTGAGGGGCTTATTTTTGATGGGCTTATATTCGGAGGGGCTTATCTACGGAGGGAAATTTGCGTTTCAAAATCGATTGGGCTAGCCTTTTAGTTGGAAGGAAATTTACCGTTTTTGCTTTTCTTTGTATTTGAGGGCAATTTCCAAGTACAAGACCCCTGGGGGGGCTTATATCTGGAGGGGCGATTTAACGGAGGGTTTTTTGCGTTACAAGTTTGCGGGGCTTATACGTGGACGGGCTTATTTTCAGAATTTTACGGTACCTCAGAATGACTGAAATTAACCATTTGCCAGGCTTACCCCATCCAGTTAAACACTTTGCCTAGGTCCTTTGTGAAAATGCTACTGGACAATCCCTGCTTAACTTCATTGTTCCAACTAACAGCCTCCTCAAAGCTCTGAAGTAAACAACACTAAAATACTTATTTATCATTCAAACATGACAACTAGAAGCAGAATGAGATTACTCTACTTGACTCTCATTCTGTGTCTTCTGAGTTAGTCTTACCTCCTGGCCAAATAAGGTGGTCATTAGATCTACAGCCTAATTCATAATGAACATGCTGATCTTCAATGACGGCTTGAAAAATCAACATTTTTGTTTAGTGGCCAAGTGTCACATATCATTTCAGTTGGACCCCATGTCCTCTTTGGTTAGTGTCGTTCATAGAAGAAAGTTCAAAACAGGGGGAGATGTGATTTTCTTGCATACTAATTTCATATCTTATTTTATTTTTGAAGTTGCCTGATGAGTGTGGTCCTACAATTTCGGACCATACGAAACAGCACTGTCGCAATAAACGATCAATGATTACTCCTGAAGCCTGAACTCCTTTGATTATTAATAATTTTTTTTTCCGTATGCGCGTTTCCAACTTTACAAAAGCATCATTCTTTTCTGAACTCTATTATAATTGAGACACACTTTTCCAGGCATGTCTTTTTGGACATTTGATAAACTCACAGCACATGTTTTATCAGGTGTAAAATCACTTGCCTTCTGCTTGTGATTTTAAACCTGACAAAACACTGCTGCTTGTTTATTAATTATTATGTGAACATAATCACCAAGAGTGTAGTGGAACTTCTAAATACATGAAAAAAATAAACAAAACAATATTACCTTGCACTTGAGAACATATAAAATGGGTACAAATGATTCTCGATGTACAATTTCTGCATCATGAGGAAGATCAGTGACGATTGTAGGCTCAACATAGAAGCCAGCCTTGTCTAGTACCTAAAAGGGGTGTCAGCAACAACTTTGAATTGAAGTTCCAAGAAATATTCTCAATGAAAAATTAAAAGAGGCCAATTCAGACCAATTTACAAACTGAGCATTGTTGACAATAATATTATACCCTGGGAGCAAAGGTTCCTCTCTTGCATGCTTTTAGTGTTTACAAAGTCGTTTGTGTAGCTTGTCTGTTGCATAGTTGGTTTGTTTTATACTCCCCGAGGCATGATAAACAAGCCACGTGTACGACTAAGTACGTGCTACGAGCCATGCAAGAGAGAAACCACTGTTCACAGGGTATGACAATATTAAAATCTTGACTCTCTTACCTTTCCTCCATAAGCAATTCTTCCTCCCTAAACAAAACAAAACAAAACCATTAGGCAGGATTAGAAAAATTACCATGGACAATGACAGACACAAAAGACAAACATTTCCTTTCAAACACTTGATGATCACAAAAAGACAACATATTTATAAAATAAATATTAAATAAAGGACCTGCTTCTGAGCATCATCGACAGCCTTTCTATATATGTCAATGGCCATTTCAGAATGAACTGGACCATAAAGAGTATCCTCTGCAAAATACAAGAAAAATTTGACCTCGACAAATAAGAATGGGTATGCTTATTCTTTCTTGGGACTACACATTTATTTAAGACATCTTCCACCCACCATCCAGAGGATCTCCAATTCTGACTTGAGCATAGGCTTTTTTTAAATGTTCTACCAATTCATCATGAATGTCTTCATGGATAGTCTAAGGATAGTCATTGAAAAAACACCTGTTAGTTTGCCAGGTTTGTTCTTTTTATCACTAAAAATTGAATTGCACATTTAAATATACCACTACCAAGTAGCTAGAGAGGCAGCTGCATGGTGAGACATAGGAACCAACAATCGTTTGTACATTTCTAGAGAACACAACTTGTTACAAACCTCCACTTAAAGAATAATGCACTCAAACTCAGGATTAGTTCCTCTTGTTTTAACCAAAGAAAAAGATAATAATTAACTAAAGATATTAAAACTGACTTGTTTCAAGCCTTGTTACAAAAAACGGATTGAATTAAGCAACTTTAGAGGACCACCAGCTGTTTTGGGTCTGAAACCTGTACACTATACTATAAGGCAAAATTGATCCAATGATGTTTACATCTACTGTACTTAAAATAAAAGTAAAAGAAGTGTTCTTTTTACCAATCTGCGTGTTGTTGTACATCGCTGTCCTGCAGTGCCAACAGATGCAAACAAGACTGATGGGATGGCAAGCTCTAAATCTCCATCATTCATTACTGACAAAAAAAACAGTTGTATTATTTTTACTAATTTTACTTGATTTTAAGTTATTTAAGATCTCAGTTTCAATCAGTTTTACTATTATGACAAGTCACCAATTAATGCAAGTGGTTCATGCAGTACAGTAATGAGTACGACTTGTGTTCCATTAACAGCTACAGTGCTTGCAATCAATGGCAATGGATGGTAAGTGGATAAAACATGCGGCTAATCACGGTACCCATTATTATGAGCTTTAACATTTAACCCCTAAGAGTGTCCACTAACAGTTAATTGCTCCTCATAGTAACACTGCTCAGTCAGACATAAGGTCATAAGAAAAATTAATATAGAAAATGATCAACAAGTAAAAAAGGTCTTGGTTAGGAAATGTAAGGAGATTAATACACACACTGAGCTTTTATCACCAGTGTGAAAAGCTAATTCCACAGGGACATTTTTCTGTTTAAAAACCCCAACACACTTGCAATGGCAAAGACTTAGGAAAAATGCAGTACTATAGATAATTTCAGAGAGGCTGTATGCTGCAGAAAATGAAAATGGCTTCCAATTATTTTGCATAACTACCTTTTGCTCCACATGGGAGCAGAAGAGATCCCTACGGGATTGATTTCATTATGATGTTATAAGAATGATCTTATTGTAAAATATGCAGCTCACCAATAATGGCATTATTTCCTCCAAGCTCTAAGATTTTCCTTCCTGCCAAAAAAAAAGGTTCTCTTATGACTCAGGGAATGTAAACAATGTACAATAATAGGACACTGAACTACATTTATTTTTTATCCTCTTCTTCTCTCTTCATGAAGTTTTAAGAATATTACAATAGAAGTGTATGGGTTCGCTTACCAAATCTGTTTTGTACTGTAGTTCCAACTTTCTGGCCAACCTGAAATCCAACAAAAGATGTTTAAATGGTTGGGAATGTGACAACAGAAAAATACAATCCATGCACGTCAAAAATTATTTCTGTAAGATCGCAGCGTGTGTGAAACAAAGATTAACATTCACCTGGGGAACATCATTAATTTTGAGCAGTAAAATAACTTAATTACTACAGATGTTTTAGACATGAAGACACATGGTTGGAGTGAGATTGAATGGGACAACCAGTGAAAGGATCTTTGCTCTTTAATCTTTGATCATTATTACTAGGAATAATATTATTGTACCAAAAGTTAAAAAGTGATACATATTAATTATGTATAATAATTATGTATTCCTTAATTATTATGGAAACCTACCGGTGTACTCCCTGTGAAAGACAGTAAATCAACCCTTTCATCTTCAGCCATAGCTTGTCTAAGATTTCAAACATAACCAAGTATACATTATAAAAATTTAACGCCAGTTCCATAGGAAGTACGTGTGGGAACAGTGTCTACTGCAGTTGTCTTTATTTATTTGATCACTATTACCATATGGTGCGAAACACACAACAGAGCGTGGGCTCCAATTTAAGTGTGTCCTTACAGATAACCCACCCAGCCCAGGAGAGGTTGACCACACCACCGGGGTCTACATACGCAACTCTTTTCGAACAGTGGTGTAGGTCCTTTTATGTCCCACAAGAATAGATCAGTGAAATTGCTGTGAGACGGGACCTACGGTTTTTCGTCCTTATCCGAGAAGACCAGAAAGCCTAACCGTTTACAGATGTCATTGCAAAGGCAGCACTTTCTCCTCAGTTATTTTAAGACCCTGAGTGTTGGTCTGGCGGAGATTTGAACTCACGACCTCCCACTCAGCAGACCGGCGTTCTCCCAAATGAGCTAACCAGGCAGCGGTTATAATATTAATAAGTGCAGTACAAAGAATTTAAACAGATGTATTACTGTATCCATATGCAGATAGACATCACCCTCCCTCTTCTTAACACACAGTTTAATGTAACCATTTGAAACAAAATCTCTTTGGCAGCTCTTCTATATAACATTATATTACAGGGCTCATAAAAAGACAGTAAGGTCCCATCTGGTCGTCCAGGACAAGTAGATTTTCTTGCTAGGCAACTAACTTTTTAAATTCACTTGCCCAAGGCAATGGCCAAGGGTCCTAGGAAGTCATCTTCTGACTAAAATTATTAACCAAGATGAGCAAGAAGTCGCAACGGTAAAGCAAAATGTATGATCTGCTTGCTAAAAGGACAAGCTGGAATTTATAATTTTTTTTCAAGCCCTGTAATGTGTATTTTTCGTTCTAAAAATAATAAATAGCATTATTTACCAGCTGAAATCTAAAACTGAATGATGAATTATGCCTTACCCAATTTCAGCACCACCACAAACAAGTGAACATACAGCCCCTGGAGCAGAGTTGCGGGACAAAACATCACTTACAATCCTGACAAATTAAATAAAGGCCCAAAAGTCACTATTTTATTGAATCTAGTAACCTAAAGAACAAATACTTGGGAGTGAATTGGCCATTATTGTTATCATGAAAATATTATGAATTACATTTCTGGTAAAGAAATAGCTATATGGATACTTCTGAATAAAAGGCTCACAGGAGAAGCCCTATAACAGTTACTGCAGTTTTGCTGAAGCCAGACAGGAACTTTCTTCAGAGGGTTGGTGCTAACGATTGACGACTAACTTTCTCAGAATGTATTGTTATTAATTTTTCCTGTAGTCACCTTTGTCTAGATGGTGGGCCCCAGTTATAGCAGTCACACTGTAATGGCTATTCTGCATTGTAATATTATAATTATATTAAAAAAAAAACATTTTCTTTGGCTAAGAGGGCACAACAAAAAAGTGCCATTTGAAGCATGGAAGACACCACATCAACTGGTGCATGCATTAGAAAAGTGAAGCAGTTGTACCATCTGCTTAACTTACCTAGTAATGGCAACACTTGTTAATGGAGTTGATGGAGCACCTTTCCTGTAAAATAAATTATGTCCCAACAGCATCAAGACAAGCTTACATGCATCAATTAATAATAAATTCTTTTTCATAAAATAAAATAATGAGGAAAGATGCAAGGAACATTCCCTGCAAGAACGTTATTGTTTGAACAATTTTACACTCAGATCCTGATGGTAAAAAAACAAGGTTGCCTTGAAAAACACAAAGACCTCCTTGGAGGCATTCCAGAGTTGTTCTTTCCCCCTCTACACTGATCCTTCGCATGTCAGCAAGCACACACGAAATGCCCTTACTCTTCCATATATAGTGAAACCTCAATAAAATGAAGGGCCAAGGGACTGGCAAATTAGTTGAACCCTATAACAAAGTTTCATTATATGGAGGTCCTTTCTCACAGATCTTACTCTAACTAAAGTAAAGAAAATCGTTTGTTAATATACCAAGGACTTTGTTATCTAGAGGTTTGTATACGGGGTGCCAATGTGCACCTTTGAAAGTGTGATATATATGTATAATAAGTTTTATTGCTGTTAAAAAGCATAACAGGTGAATTAAAGGGTACGTTAAAAATGGGCCTGAACACTGCTCTTTAGGAGTGTCCACATTCAGCAGATTACAATGTACTGAAAAGAAATGTATATTCAATCTCCATTCACTTAGAATCATTGGCATCACCTCCAGTCCCAGGACTGCAGGCCAGTGACAATGTATTTCTTTTTTTGTTATATTTCCAAATTTAAAAAAAGTTAAATAAAGTTAAAGTTATTTAGAATCTTGGTTTGCACTGATGGGAGTGAGGCACGTGTTCTGACCACTGTAACATCCTGGCTTGCAGTACAGCTGTTAGTAAGATTTGACTGTAGTAGCAGTGAGCACTTACCATAGATTGACATTACCACAGACCATACTGATGCTACTATTCCAGCCAAATACAGCGCAAGGAAAGTTGAATGCCGTGATAATCCCCACAAGACCAACTGGATTCCACTGCTCAAGGAGTGTGTGGCCAGGACCTAATATAATATGAAAATAACACTGTCAAACAGCATTCTCAGCAGAATTGGCATGACTAACCAAACTGGCTGTCCCAGGGAGAGGGGGCAGGGTACTCCAGATTTCAAGTGATCACCAGAATGATCGGGTTGGGTTTGAAATTTTCAATTCCAGGATTTTTTGGGTAAAATTTGGTAGGTATTTTTTTCGGGTGGCTTGATTTAAACAGGGATTTTTTGGGTATTCAAAAGAAGAAGATTTGTGGTTTATTAGCTCATGTATCCATAGTTCTGAGAATAACATACAACCAAACTTGTTGTGTTTTATCATTTAATTGTTTTTTGGAAATTTTCCACACTCAGAAATCTGGCATGGGATTTTTGGGGGGTCAACTTTTGGCCCAGGGATTCTTTGGGGTTTTGATCCCCCTCTTCCCCATCCCCCATTCGATCATCCCTGTCATTTGAAATCTGGACTACCCCCTGGGCTAGCCATAATTGACACATTGCATGTCAAATTGTGTATAATTAAGCCACAGTATTATTTTGCACATTTTTATCAAAATACTGTATCAGTGCCTCCAAGGCTGTCATTAAGTTTTTGAAGCAGGCTTATTTACCAATGACGTAAAATGTTCACCCATAACATTTTAGTACTCCTTTATTTTTTAACTCACTGCAGCTGAATCTCCATGAAGTGGCCACCCTCAGGGTACCAGCATATGCAGACCGCTTAATGGAGGTTGGCTGCTCAATAGAGTTTGTCATAAATTAGCATAACATGAGAATAATCTTAGCAGGAGTATCACTTCATTTTGAAACAAACAGGTGGCGAGAGCAGCATTACTGGTGCACAATCAGTCATCTGACCTTCTATGTCATACTGTATTTTCCTTCGAATTCATCATATTCCTCAAAATAAAGCCAAACTCAGTGTATCAAGCACTTGATGGCTGCTTAATAGGGATAACAACAATGGGAACACTCGTTGGGATGGCCAAAGGATGGCCGCGGCTGCTTAATAGAGGTTTAATTTCCCATTCTTTTCTGTAAAATTATATTTCAGGACTTTGATTATCAGCCACTTTATAGGGGTCTAGGGTGGCTGCTTAATGGAGGTTCAACTCAGTACTTCAAAAATTAATGTTGGTAGTTTCTTGGTGTTACGGATGGGTGTGATCACTAAATGACGTAATACAAAAGATTGAAATTGCGAACAATACTCACACCACAACACAATTCCTTTCCTACACACAATGGTTTCGACAAAACTAAGAAACATCAAAAATGTTAAACCTGGTACATTCTCTGTACAATCATGCACTGTAACATGTTCACTCCGACAGGTGTTTCTGGCCTTTCATTTTTAAATTAAAGCACTGCCCGAATAGTACAATCAGTCTGCATTGGGCAGATGAGACAAACTGCATTTATAAAGGCCCATCTTACGTTCTGATGGTAGAACCTTTCCATCAATCATCCTGGAAAGACCAACAGCATAGTCACAGATGTCAACATACTCTTGAACCTCACCAATGCCTTCAGCCTTTATCTTTCCAACTTCAAGGGCAACCTGCAGGTATAAAAAGAAACTGTTTTCGACTGCATTACCAAGTTTAAGGGATGAATCCTTTTTAACATTGACTTTGAAATAAGATATAATTTTAAAATAATTTATAATAATATTAACAAAATTATTCAGACACTCTTTGAGGGAAGATAAGGTGGCAAAGAGCACCTGGCTCTTTCCAAGACCAATTGCTATACATAAGGTGCGGCAGATATGAGGTGCGGCTTGTCAGTGGTTTACATCGTACCTAGCAGAAAGAAAGCAGTTTGTATCCATTATTGGTAGTGAACAATCAACTAGTCGTCCATTGACATGCGGGGTTCCTCAGGGTTCTATGCTTGGACCACTACTGTATACAATGTATACAGCATCGCTTTGGGACATAATGCATCATCATGAAGTCTCCTTCCATCAATATGCTGACGACACACAAATGTACTGTGCGTTGAAGACTTCTGATGCTGATGACCTTGATGAAACCAAACTCAAGCTGGAGGCTTGCATCAGTGGTGTCAAAGCCTGGATGCTGCACAACAACTTGCAGTTAAATGATAACAAAATGAAGATCCTAGTCTTTCATGCCAAGCATCAGCCTGCTCCCTCCATGGACTGTCTGCAAGTAGTCAGCACCCACCTCAAGCCCACTGATCATGCAAGGAACATTGGGGTTATTCTTGACTCCAACCGATCAAGCAAATGTGTAAATCTGCTTTTCACTCAATTAGATCAATTTCGAGAATTAGAAAGTTTCTCAGTATGGAAAGTGCCAAGACTTCGGTGCATGCTTTTGTGACTTCTAAGTTAGTTAATTGTAACGCATTCTTGTATGGCCTTCTTAAGTATCAGATCCAGCGTCTGCAATACATGTTGGCTAGGCTAGTTACATTGTCACGGAAGCATGATTACATATCGCCAGTACTAATGGAGCTTCATTGGTTGCCAGTTGAACAGTGCGTAGGACTTAAGATCTTGTTATTTACACCTAAAGTGGTGAATGGTATGGCACCTGTTTATCTCCAGGATCTGTTAGACCTTTATAGACCTTGCCGTAGCCTTAGATCAGGAAACATGCAGCTTCTGAAGACACAATCGTATAATTTAAAATCGTACGGGTTCAGGGCATTTTCTATATGTGCCCCCCCAGCTTTGGAATGCCCTTCCATGGGAACTAAGAGTGTGCCATTCTGTCGGTAGTTTTAGACAAACCTTTTTATGAACATATGTTCGAGTTTGGTCCCAAAACATAACAGGCAGGCACATCTCTACTTAAGGCAGTTAGCTACTGAAATATTCAGGTCAAAATTTCACTTTTTTCAGCCTTAACTGGCCATGCATGCAGGCAGACACGTGACCGACACTTACAGAAATTGCTACATTGCATTAATTAACTCACCAGTTTTCCAAGGTTTTCCAAGTTGTCCCTAAGTGCCTGGCCAATCTGTCTGACAATTTCTCCACGTTTCGGAGCAGGTGTCTATTGAAATGACCAAAGAGTGTAGTTCAACTTATTTACAATCAAGCCAGGCCAGGTCAAGCATACCCCCTTCCCCTCCCCTCTGTTAAAAGAGTATTTGAAAGTTGAACCTGTCGTGGATTTCTAATAATATTCATCTCTGCATTCCTTCATGCATACTGAGTGTCCCACTATATATATAGTGTTATCATCCATTCAAAAATTTTCAATCTGACTGAATGCAGAGAAGTTATATTCACTGCTCATTAAATACAGGCAGGAATGCATATTTGAATTTGATGTTTAGAGTTGTCTCAAGGACTAACAGATTCAATTTTCAAATGCTTAATTATTTTTGTACATTAATAGAATCAATAGGGTACACTTGATCTCGCAATAACTGTACTTTTCCTTTTCAAAAAGGAGTACAAACAATATCATATGAATACTTTGATTACCTCATGGTGATCACTTACATTCATTTGGTAAGGCTTATGAAACTAGCTGACCATAAAAGTCAGCTGATGTATACATTTCAATGTATGAATCGACACATTGCTGGACTGTCAATGTTTAAGTTACAAAATTCAACTGCAACTTGTAAATTTCCCACTGAACAGGAGATTAATTGATGCTGTCAATTGTTAATGCCAAAAGAACCAAAAAAAACATAATTGGCTTTATTTTTTTACTAATTAAATAAACTGCCTACAGGGACTAGATTCTGACCATGCACTGAACTTTATTAATTAATTTAAATTTTGAATTAAATTTTAATACCATGGCCCAAGATTTCCAGGCATCCTTTGCAAGCTTAACTGTTTCATTGTAGTCATCCAATGAGCCCTGAAAGATATATCAAAAATACATGATCTTTTTATCAATTACATGTAGCAATACATGTCCATTTGTACACCTGTGTTATGTATTTCTTTGTACCTACAATACTCATCAAGTTTCATTGAAACACTTAAAAATAATGAGAGCTGTGGAGTTTTGGCATCAATTAAAGCCTCTCAACCTATATTACTCTATTCCTTCACTGCCTGCCTTTGCAATAATTTGACACTGCAAACAGGGTAACAGAAAAGGTGTTTCAACAAATGTTGCAGGTACATGTACTACGTTGAATAAGCTCTTTTCACTTGCAACATAACCTATTTTTATATGAGATACTCACTTGACGAACTCTTGCAATTGGCTGTCCATTAGAAGGGCAAATTGATGTGACAGTCTACAAACAAAGAGTCAAGCAACTAGGGTTGTCACTAAGATTTCAAGTTGCCGGGTAAATACAACAAGTAGATGGGGAATCAAATGGCTATTTCAGGCATTCTCTTTGTATGTTGCAACAAGATCTGCCAGGCATCCTATGTAACAAGATGCTCTATTATCAAACGTGAACTCCTGCTTACATGTAAGCTTAGTCCATTTCAAACTTCTTAATGCAGTAGTCTAAGACAAAGGAAACCGGGAATCGACACTTAAAATAATGAAATTGATAAATAACATTTATTTACCTGCAACTCAGTTTGATGTCAAAGCATCAATAGATAAAAAATATCAATTCTAGGATAGGGAGAGATTTTGGAAGTCTAGTCTAGTATAGGGTAGTGCTCAAAAGACAGCTGAACTACTATAGCTTTGGTATATCCTAAGGATGCCAGGGTCTCAGCAGTACATCCTCGATAAACCAGCCTTAACTTCTAGTTTGGAATCAAGAATCAAACTGCCTCCTCCTTTCCTTTTGGCTTTTGGCATCACTTTGCCCTATCCTGACTAGAGACTAGTCCTAAGGGATGGTTTTTAGACTGTTTGAATGTTTGGGACATGCTTGGTACCAACAGGTCTTTAGGCTTCCTTGAAGAGTGCCTGCCACATTTTTTGGTGAGTGTATGCATACCTGTATAAGCCACTTCTCACTGCGTTGTTTAAGTGATGGAAAGCTTGACAGGTTAACTTAAATAAAAGTACATCTTTCCTTAAGGTTAATTGCAGGTACCCTGAGAAGCAAACCAGCAGTCCATCGTATTGATGTTTTTAGACAAACTGAAGACAAACAACAGTAGCTTGTAATCTTTCTTGAATTGCAAGGTGCAGGCAGATGGGGATGAAAAAACGAATGTGTGTCTAGTTCCCTCTCCTGCCAGTGGTGACACTGTTTCCATGACAACTCAAACCCACCATAATTTTGCACAAGTGGGGCTAATCAACAAGAACATTTGCAAAGCTTGACTCAGGGACGTCCCAAGTATAATTTTTCAAAAAAAAAAAAACAAAAACAGCTGATTGTATTTATATAAGCTTACTAATTACTATACAAAAGCAATTATTATTCCTTTTTTTCGGAATTTTATTCAGGTTACTTGAACTATAAGAAATAAGTCACTTATTAAAATGTAGAAACTTTTTAACAGAAGAGATCATAATCTTACCTCTCCTCTGCCACACCATGTGCCATTAAAGACGCCGTCGTTTTCCGCTTTAAGGCCAAGATCTTTCAGCCAAGCATACTTTCCTTCGTTGATCATTAGATTTGAATCCTGTGACGAGCAGAAAGAAGCTCTACTTAATCCAAAATAAATGGAACGAAACGGAAAACGTTTTGGAGATAATGCCAGAGCCCGTACCGCCATTTTGAGAGATTCAGACACCAGATCACGCAATGCAACGTGTACCTGTGAATGGAAGAACCAAGTCGCTGTAAAAGAACGCACTTCTCCTCTAAATAATTAAGCAGTTTTTACTTTGTAAAGGGGAATCAAACCTAGAAGAAATGCCACAAACCTTCAGTTGTGGGATTCATTCATAAAATACTTCAACCACAATCGCTCGATTGCTACGTGATCACGTTGGAGGTGTGAGCTGAGGCGTGTCCAAGACTACTAGTCCCCAGACTTTTCATTTCCACGAGCTCTTCGAGTGTGTGGTAGCCACGTACGTTCGTCCGTAGAAATAAAGGTTTGAAATCTTTGGAAAAGTAAAGGATTCACGGGCCCCACAGGTGCGTTTAATGGCGTTGTGGGTATTATAATCATCTTTTTATCTATTTTAATTATTGGAACTACCATTATATTTCAAGAGTTGCTGTAAGTAATGCTTGAAAGTCACAAGTTGTAGTACTTTAATTTTTATTTTTCAGTCCATGATTATGTCTTAGCACTTATGCGCGCACTCCATTTCGCGGACAAAAAGCTTTGGTTTGGCGTTTATTTGTCAATTAATAATTTTTATTATAAATGGTCATGATTATAATGCGTTGTTTATGATGACAAGCAACATCTCTTGTTCGTTCACTGTAGGCACCACCGGTTGATCATGGCTTCTTCGATAGACACAAACTGTATGACACTCACGCGCTTCGTGCTCTCAGAACAACGTAAAGTTCCCGAAGCCACTGGAGACCTCACTCAGCTTCTGAATGCCATTTGTTGCGCTATCAAAGCAGTTTCTTCAGCTGTTAGAAAGGCAGGAATCGCGCAACTGTGAGTTCGTGACTCAACACAATTTAAGTATAATAAAATAGTAACAAATGGCGGAGTCATTGAAGCGGGAAACGTACTTTGGACCTGACACCCATCAAGTCAAGGATTAGTGTCGTCTTCCCTAGCACATCCCCTTCTCGTCCCAGAGGTGTGAAAAATGCCAAGGGATTAAGGCCACAACAATTTGCTTGAGCAAATTGCTCAAGCAAACATAATTTCAGAATAGTTTAATTATTTTTCTCCACTATTCAGTCACAGGTAGCCCAAGCCAGGAGCCTTTCACGGGTAATAGGCTCCTGCCCAAGCTTGAAATATAAGCATTGGTATTGTTGTATTTGAAATATAAGGATTCATATAAGGAAAAACATATTGTTTCTGTTACCTACAGATAGGAAAGGATTTCGATAAAAAAAATGGCTTACCCTATTTAAAACGTCTTTCCAGTGTTGCCCTTGAACCGATTTATGGCCATTTTATGGGGTTTTTTTTAGAAAACCAGTTTCAAGCTTGGGCTACCTGTGTTTCAATTTCTTTTTGGAATTCCAATAATAGACAGAAAAAACGACAAAAGCCTATGGCGGTATGCACTACCTGATCTTTTGAAAAGCTTAAAAGCCCGGTCTATTTTGCTAGATATGGCATTGCAGGAGATACCAATGTATCAGGAGACCAGCAGCAAAAATTGGATGTCATGGCAAATGAGCTCTTTATTAACATGCTGAAGTCTTCCTACACAACTTGTCTTTTGGTATCTGAAGAAGATGAGCAAGTCATTGAAGTGGAGACCAGCCAACAGGGAAAGTACATGGTGTTTTTTGATCCTTTAGATGGCTCTTCAAACATTGAATGTTTGGCAGCCATTGGTTCAATCTTTGGAGTGTCCAGGAAGGTATTAAAATAATAATATTATTTTAGGGGTGCTAAAAATACCGCTTAACCTTGGATGGTTTTTTGCCTATTATTTTCTCCAGCCTGGTAATAATATTGTGGTATGGTTTGAAAGATCTCTTTGCCCTGCACTATGTATGGTAGATTACAAAGTTGTCCTTGACCATTAAAATTGATGATGTCACAAGTGGATAGATAGATAGATAGATAGTTTATTTGTAAAAAGCTTGCAGCTACCAAGGTGAATTGTGTATTTACAATATAAAATATAATATAATATAACAGAATCTTTAATACAATAGTGAGTATAATAAAATGATAATGATAAAGTCCTAAATAAATAATAACATCCTATAAATGTAAAAAAGCTTAAAACTGTAAAAAAAATATATACAATGTCAACGAGCTCATTTACAAAACTCACCAAGTGCTAAAATTCGTTATCAATACATGATCTTACTAAAAAACTATTTTTAATGAAACGCTCGGTCTTACATTTATTTTGGGAATCGCAAAACGCCTTTTGTACCGAAGATTATAACACGACGGCCCTGACGATTGAAGCATGTTATGTAACCGATGGACCGGGTCACGTGGTAGAAGGATTGTAAATCCACACGGGCTGTTTTTTTGCAGATGGTTCAGAGGCATATGGGTTAACTAACGGTTTGGCTGGTTTTTAAACTCACAACATCTTACTTAATACACAGGTGTAGTCCTACCTTCTTTCGACTCTCAGGAGTTATTAGCTAAAAAGGTGACACAAAAACGCTGATGTTCCATCATACTGTACCTGGCTGTGGGTCTCTCTTGATGTTGCTCATCCAACTGAGCTGACATAAAGAAGTTAAGGAATCAGGGACGTAAATGACTGGCAGGGTGATATAAGCCAGGACCAATACAGTACTGTAACCTTCAGCCTCTGATAACTGATAATCATACAGCCCTCCGTATTTTTTATTCCTCTAGTCCCATGACCGACCAGCAACAATAGAAGATGCCCTTCAGCCTGGGAGGAATTTTGTAGCTGCTGGATATGCTTTGTTTGGTAGTGCAACAATGGTGGTCTTGACAACCGGAAATGGAGTCAATGGATTTACACTGGATCCAGTAAGTTCCATAGAATTAATAGGCTGATTTAGCAATAGAACGGGAACATCAGTTGACGCTGGTGCGCGCTAATGAAACAACTGGAATTACCAATCGCAGAGAGGCAAATTGAGCACTGGAAGTCGTGTTTAGTCCTTTCTGTGCGCTTTATCATCGTCGACTGACGTTCCCGTTCTGTTGCTAAATCAGCCTATTAACAATATTGCCACCAACCTGATCATCATCATCGTCATCATTGGTCAACTGAAGAAGAGCAGTCCACTGTAAGGCATCTCCAACTAGCTCAGCTTTGGTCAGTGCACAGGATGTCGTCATCTGAGAAATGCATATAGGGGTCAACCCATTCCTGGACTTGGTTAGAAAAGGACTTTTACAGTCTCCCTGGTGTTCTTTTCCCATGGGAGGGCTCAAACAATGCATAGATGTCAGTCGGTTTATCCTTCTCCATGCTCAAAATGTGACCAAGGAACTTGTAATGTGCTATCCAATGGGACTGCAAGCTGCACATTTTACAAATAAAAAAGCCGTACCCTTTCGACCAGAAGTGGCTGTAAATTAATAGCATTTCAACATTAAAGCACAATCTTAACTGCCATTTTAGTATCAACATTTTTCCACAAAAAATAATACTTTTTTGTCCTGGCTGTTAAAAACTTTGAAACTGAAAAAAACATTGACCTATAACATATGATAACCAGCCCATAAAAAATTTATAATGATGCAGATTGTATCTTATTTCAGTCTATAGGTGAATTTGTGTTGACCAATCCAAACATCAAAATGAAACCTCGTGGCAAGGCAATTTACAGCGTAAATGAGGGGAATGCATGTCTCTTTGATGATTCAGTAACAAAGTATCTGGAATCCATCAAATTTCCAAAGGTGAGTTTTTTGGTAAAAATGTTCTTGAAATCATTACTGACAGTATGTTGTACTAATAAAAGAGTTCCTTCTTTTCGCCCTGGAATTGGTGCCTTCTGGTACACTGTAAATACATTACTCTAAATTAGGTACCCTGTGTTGCCTTACACTCACTCTGCAATAGATTGTGTCCTGTGGTACAATCACCCTTGATTTTTTTTTCATAAGCAACTTATTAAACTTTTGATCACTGTGGTATTTGGTCTGCAGTAATTTCTAACTACACTAATTTAATCTCCTGTAGTACTTTAATATTCAGTCCACATAATTTTGGTTCCCTGTTTCACAGTATTTCAGAATCAACCTGCTGATTTGACTCTCTGTTGTACACTTAGCCATCAGCCTAGTTAACATTATTTTTGGTACCCTAAATAGTAATTTACCCACCCTAGATTTATTTCCTTGGTGCAGCCACCAACACCCGCCTCACAATTACCATCGCTCACTCTAAAAAGGCAAAAAAATAACAACTGTTTTGAAGGATTGTTGGTGCCCTATGCTTTTTTTTGTTTTGTTTTGAGTCTAGTAGAACTGAATATTGATGCCTGTTCACCCTAGATTTGCTACCCAGTATTTTTGTTGGCTGGTACTACAAGTGGACAAGATATTAAAAAGCAAATCCTGTGTTGGCAACCTGAGCAGTCAAGACAGGCCTATCTTGACCGCTGGGTTTTTTTCCACTTTTGTCCGTCCCGCAAGAAGGAAGTCCCTTGGCCATACAAAAAATCGTTGATTGACTATAAAGCTTGTTTGGTCAGCGTGGCTTAATATTGGCTACATTCGTCTTCTCGTTTTTGGCGTTTTTATTGACCTCGACTTTGACTGTAAGGCAAAAAACAGAAAGAAAAAAAAACAACTTGGCCAATATCTAGCGATCTTGACCTCATGCTTGATTATAACACTTACATATTTCTGTTTTGCATGCATTCGTGTAGGATGGTAAGACGCCATATGCTGCCCGTTATGTTGGCTCCATGGTGTCGGACATGCACAGGACATTAGTGTATGGAGGAATCTTTATGTACCCTGGAAACAAGAAAAGCCCGAGAGGAAAGGTATTATTGATAAAACATTGTTTCTCGCGATCTTTTGCATATGAAGAGTGTACACTCGAGAGCGTTTAGCTAGATGTAACAATTGAAACGTAATTTGTTTACTCACAAGACTTGAAGAAGCTCAAAAGAACTCGTTTGGAAGTGTATGTACGTTTCAGAACGAATGGAAATTCCGAGATGTTCGTTTTTTAGAAAAGTTACCCCCAGGGAACAACTAACAAACGCGGCCCACTTTGGTTGCAGTCGAGAGCTCATACCAGCGCGCCTCCTTTGCTAAACTTTTGAAAACGTTTTTTGAACCTTCAAAATTCCCCTCCAAAGATTGTAGAACACCCCACAGACAGCCACTGTCTTGGATCGCACTTTTTTGCCTGCGAGCAAACTCTCCATCTGGGGGATATCGTGAAAAGTAGACGCGCGAGAGACACGCGAAAAGAGACACGAAAGCGGGGGTTGTGGGAGAGAAAGGCCTTTCCTCAGCCACTCGCGCGGCTCTCGCGCGGCTCAATAGGAGAGCTTGCTCCGCGGCTCAATAGGAGAGCTTGCTGCAGGCTACGCACTGTATAGCGGTCTATAATTGGGAGGGGAGGGGGGGGGGGGGGGCGGCGACGAAGGGAGAAGGTGTTTTTTTGTCACTGTCTTCTCTTCCCGCCCCCTCCCCCATCGTTTTCTTTTTCGTCCTCGTTTCAGCTTTCGCGCGGCTGAATTTCTTACTTTACGAACTACAAAAGGAAAAACACACCAAAAAACCGCCAGCTACGCAGGCTATATTGTGTCAAGTTAAATTTGCAGTCTTCTCCGTTGGAATGAGGTTTACGGAAATTTCCCGCTCCTCCGAAAGAACTTTTGGGTTAAGGAGATGTAAACTTTTTCTGTGTTTCTCACCTTTCGTTTCCTTGGTTCTATTGTGTTGACTTCTTTGTTTCTTTTGTTTTACGTCACTCGTGAGTTTTACAGGTTCTTAAGCCCCGTGCAAACGGATGCAACATTGTTGGCTAACAACTCCCAACATTGTTGGATGTTACATGTTGCGTCCGTTTGCACACCCTGTTGCATGTTGTTGCGTGTTGTTGGGAGTTGTTGTGCAAAGTTTGAAACCAGTCAAACTTTTAACTAGGTGCAAACGGAGGCAACAACTCCCAACGATGTTGGGAGAACAGTGACTCTTACAGCTTTAGTAGCGGCTTTTTATTACTGCATAGCTAGCTGGAGAACTGTCGAGAATGTCGCTAGCGTCGGATGGGCTTTGAGGCAATTCATTCACAAATTTGTTCTTATGTTTCTCATTAGCTTCGTTTGCTGTATGAATGTGCGCCTATGGCTTTCATCATTGAACAAGCCGGTGGAATGGCCAGCGATGGAACACAACCAGTTTTAGATATTAAACCAAAGTCACTTCATGAAAGATGTCCAATATTTATTGGATCCGCAGAAGATGTCAAAGATTACCTCAAGTTTACGCAGTCATCTTAGATACTAACCTCTTGGACTTTTGATTTTTCCATATGATCGATCCTCTCTGAAGATGTCGCTGAATTTTAGTTTTCCAAAGGTTATTCATTGGGTTAGCATTAATATTGCTCAAATCTATCGGTAAATAAAGGTACTAATACGGACAGTTTGAGAAATGCAGTGAGCTATTTAAAACTGGAAAGCGTCCAGAATAGTCTTGTCAAGCTTAAGCTACTACCCGGCTTTACAGGGATTACTGAATCACAGAGAATCATTAACAGTCAGTAAAGTCATAGCTCTCAGTGTTCTCTATTTGTGTAATCGTTCCCGTAAAATGACGGTTTCTCTCTGTTGTGTCTGATTTTTTCCTTAAGAAAAAAAGGTTTTTGCTTTCTTTTATTTATGGCTTTTTATATTTCAAGGTGTAACCATAACTCAGTCATGCTGGAGCTGCAAGGTTTAAAACCCAATAAAAACTCTGTTATTAATTGTCACTAAAGACTCCACTAATTTCAGGGAATGCCATACAATCGGTATTAATTAATTATTCGTCGGAAAAAAAGGTTAAGGCTTTTACATATTAAAACATTTTGACAGTTTCATGCAGGAAACGGAAGAGGTACCGTGTGCCTGGCATTTAAGTTTTACCGCAGTTTTGGCGGCGAATTTGCAGAAAATACAGTTATTGTGCGAGTTGCTGGGAATTAATTGTAGCTAGAATTAGCCTAGCCTGAGTGGAAGCATCCTCGGAGACACAGGGGCAGTCAGTCGGGTCGATAAAATGTTCGTGGTGAAAGTTTACTGTAAGATCGATCTTACAGTAAACTTTCACCACGAACATTTTATCGACCCGACTGACTGCCCCTGGGTCTCCGAGGATGGAGTGGAAGGCGTTCGAAAGGGAAGGGGAATCCCTTTCAAACGCCTGCCACGCAGGCTAGAATTAGCCTTCCAAGCAGACCTTCTTAGGGCTCCTGCTCCGCGAATCCCCGTGGGAGGCTCAGCAAGAATCTCTGATTCACACCGGTATTTCACTTCATCCTTGGTCCCAAATTCACAAAAGAATGAGGGGACGCTAGTGGGGCATAACCCCTCCCGATCATTTTTGAAACTTTTGTGGCCGGGGGGAGAGGGTGATACGGTGTGGTCTCAGAAAAATTTTTCTGCAAGCAGAACCCTGGAACCAATAAATCCTTTGTCGAAGTAATAGTTTAAACAAAAATTCGATCACGATAAAAGGAAGGTGATAGACAGGAATCGACAAGTTCCGACAATAATTGAATCACGAATATTTTCCGGAAATCTTCGACTATACTCGGCACTATTCGGAAAATGGAATGAGCAAATTTTGAAGCCGCTGGAACCATTCGTCGCTGTTACGCGTGCGCATTGAAACTGATCTGCGTGAGTTCACCGCGCGCTTTCGAAAAAAAATCTGATTGGCTCCTATAAACGCACGCGCCTTTCTCGTTTGTTATGTCACAAAGGTAAAATTTCAGTCCAAAAGCAAAAACTGGTGCTTGTCTTAGATTAGCCTGCGAATCGTCTCTGTTCGCTACTCGACGGTTGGGATGCGGCGAGGAATGAGGAGAGACTGTATTCGCAGGTAAGTTTCGTTTTTGCCGGCAGGTGAAACTTGGCTGCTGAAGGAACTCATAACCCGGAGCGAGCAACTCCCATACTAGGCCTATGTCACGGCGTTTTCGCAGACCAGTTTATTTTATGACACATTTTAGGGCACTTTTTCTCGCGAAAATAGAATCTACACCATATCTAAGAGCGTATTCGAAGTATAAGATATCAAAACGGGAAACTAAACGTTATTAAAAGGCAAAAAATATCATTTCTAGGTCTGTAGGTTTTGCTGACTGTTTTGTGGAATTTAAAAGATATTCAAAATTCGGCGCCAAAACCGTGCTAAAAATAAACTGGTCCGTGAAAACGCCCTGACAGGAGCGCATGGAAGTTGCTCGCTCTGGGTTATGGGCTCCTGGCTGCTGGCAACACACCAGATCTCGCCAAGAACCTCTGATGTCAGGAGAGGATGATATAGTATGCCTTTAAACAAAACAGAACAAAAGGGAACAAATCAAAGCGAAACAAAAACCATAGAAAGGAGGCAAAGCGCAAGTATCAAAAAGAATTACAACCCGTGAAAGAAGCCCAACCTTCCTCGGTTACCACTCCTATGTGACTGGAACCGAATTCAAGATGGCGGACACCGAAACGAACGACGATTTCAGTAGTACCTCTTTAAACGATCCTGATGATGTTGATAATAGGTTTGTTAGTTAGTATATTTCTATTTTGTCTCATGAAATATTCAGCCCACATTTTGCTGTTTTTTTTTCGTAGAAGATATTTCAAAAATGCATTAAATTGACAATAACTGTTTGTTTACGGCGATAACACGGATTTGTTTTAAATTTGCAGCGATGAATTGTCAGCACTTACAAGTGAGGTTGTCAGTGGTGTGGAATCCATTAGCAAATCTCTTTCAAAGTTGGGTGAGTATTTTAAAATGAATCCTTGTCGCCTGTTCGTCGGGTAGAGATCAGCCATGTCCTCAGCTGAATACAATGAACTCCGGCCAGTACAATATTGCATTGACTGTTCTCGCTGTTTAACCGACAAGGGGTATTGTTGAGAACGCTTAACGCCGAGCGCCGAACGCCGAATGACTCTAACCTTTACTGATTATGGTTAGGAAGCCCCCCACCACCCCGGGGTTGGGGGGGTTGGAGAACTGGGTGGCACACTCCCACCAGTTATTTCTAGGGGTTCCTCCTCCCCCTTCCCCTCGGTAGGAAACTGATAGGTCAAGTTTATATGGGGCAAACTGAACTGGATGTTGACTCACTCAGTTTCACAACCCTACTTACTAGACTTCACCATCATTTGACGTAATGTGGCTGTTCAGTATTCTGCAAACTGCCTCTGCTGCTGTTTAAAGAATAAATGGTTTTATTGCTTATCTATAAATTATGGACAGCCAGTACTAGACACGTACCTTTAGACAAGCTGTCTTCTGCAGTCCCAAAGATATAGTGGAGGCTTGGTGAGTTCATGCTTGCCAACCTGCAGGAACTGGAAAACTCTAGAGATTTTGAAAAAGGTGGCCTAGAATCTCGGAAATCACAGAATAAAAGGAATCAGAAGAAAGTTAGTGCTGACTCCTTTACAGGTCTGATGACTGATTAGTGCATCGTATCACCACATATTTTAATGTAACTGTATTCATGGTTTGTTAGGTGCCAATGAACCTCAGTATCACTGGAAGGATATTACAGATGACTTTACAGCGGCATCAGATGGTAAGGAAAGTAGACTGTTTACAGAGAAACTCATCTCCTCCCAAACCATCCCCCGCCTCTAAGTTGATTTGATATCCCTTCCCAGGCTAGACTCTAGATTGAAATGATTATTTTACTGCATAGTCGCAGGTCGCGCACAATAGTGGGGCCTTCTTTCAAAAGTTGCATGTGTAGTACATGACTGGATGAAAGGATGGATGTAGAGGGGAACGCAGGGGTGCATCCCCCTTCTTTCACCAGATACGCTTCCCCCTACACAACTTGCCAAATATCCCCAATCAAAATCTTGGATCCACCCCTATCGTAGCCTATACATGGCCCTACCCTTCCTTTAAAGAAAGAAAAATGGAAAGAAGAACTGTTTTTCTGCTTTGAGAATGAAAGGCACAGTTTCATGTAGTCTACTCCTTTAGCCTGTACATGTAGCATGGACCCTTCTCGTACATGCTGAATAAAACTGAATTTTGTTTTTTGGCCCTTTTCAGAGTTGAAGCTGGGCGAACTTGTCCACGACAATATGTAAGTGAATTTTTAAAGTGTACACTTTCATGGACTTACTTACCCGTAAACTTTTCTAAGCCTTGCTTATACCAGCAGAGAGAGACAATGTTAACACTCCCTGTCATTAAATGAGAACATCACATTGCATGTCCTACGAGTACAACATTTAAATCAACTATCCCTCAACATCAGTCAGCATAAGGCGTTCCTCTTGAAAAATGAATTTAGCTTACATCATGGTCACTTTGGTTTTTCAAATTTTCTCTTTCTTTGTGGGTGTGATTTTAGATTTGGCTTGTTTGAAGCCATGTCAGCAATTGAAATGATGGACCCTAAAATGGATGCAGGAATGCTCTGCAACAAAGCCAAGAAAGTTCTTCAATTTGAGCCTGCAGTAAAGGCAAGTTGTATGTGTTAATGGTAGATGTTACAGTGAAGATATATAGAATACTTCATGGAGAATTTGCGTTTAATATTATGGTATTTATGCACGAGATGTCAACATATCACAAGGGAACTACAAGCTGCAAGCACCTATAAAAGGCGGGAAATTTGGCATGAAACTCATGAACCAATGTGGCTTTTGATTGGACGTATCGTTTTTCTCCACGTGAAAAAAAAAAACATTGTTTGCAATTCTGGTTGGAGATATTACTTTTTTTACATGTGAAAAACATCATTTGCTCCTCTGATTGGCTAGAACACACTTGTGTTGGAAAATTTATGACATAGCTTTTTTGGTGAGTATTTCTCAGTAGGTATATAATAGACTGTGGTATAGTCCATGATTTTGCCTCCACTTGCTCCTTCAGTCTAGTTAGTTTCCCCTTCAACCCAGTTAGGGACAATGTGTGTGTCTCTGCTTGTGGCTGTTTATGATGCATTTCACAAACCTATTGATTTGTTGTCATTGTAAAGGAATAAATATTTGTTTAATGTTTTTAGGCTGGGTTAGTAAAAATTAAAAACTTCACACCTGAAGAACTTATAGGTATCATGGATGAGTTGAATTCCTGCTTGGTGAGTTTAGCAAGAATTTTTGGCTATTAGCTTAAATATTACTCCATTCTCTAGAATGAATCCATGTTCAAAAATCATGCTTGGCCTGTACCAGAATATTCAGTAAATACACTGTGAATGGAGCCAGTCCATTTCTTAAAATACAAAATGTACATCTTTCAAGTGATTGCAAAATAAATTCCTGAATACTCTATTCCACGAACTAATTTCCTGATTTGTATTGGTTTATTTGTGTGGCTTGTACTTTTAAATGTATGCTTTATTGGTAGGAAGTTGCCTATATCTTGTTACACACCAAAACAGCAAGCAAGGCCGAAGTTACAGCGAGGGTGCCCCTCTAATAAGACTACCCTTTTATCAGTAGCACCTGTGCACTTCTTCCTTATATGTCAATCTTTTCTAGCAATGATGGTCATCTTGCTTTCTTATAATGTTAAATTAACCTGTAGGCCGGTCATCACTGCTGTACAGGACATTCCCTTCTCCATGTTTACTCTACAAGCCAGGAAATCTCTGCGGTTCACCAGTGTGAATACAAGTTCCTGTACAGGCTCTGTAGACTGGCATTTGCCCATTCAATTATTTAACTACACTGTATAATTTCATTGTCACATTCTTTTGTTTTGTTTTTGTTTTTTAGCTTTCTTTATGTGTACCATTTGTTTATACGTTGTTTGCGTATGTCAGCATTTATTTAATTGGCACTTTAGAATATGTATATACCATAGCTTATTTTAAGCACTTATGTTAATTAAAATATCTGTATCTTTTTCTTTCTCATGTTTTCAATGTTGACAGGTGACTTGGCTTGATGGACATTCATTGGTGCAGACGGTGTTTACATGTCTCTACATGCATAATCCATTTATCATTGAAGATCCTTGCCTTAAGGTTATCTTACAATACAGATTAATGAGGTCCTGCTAGGGCAAAATTCCGACAAGTGACATGGCCTTGAAACAACGACATATGACTGGATGAATTGGCGACAAAAGACATAAAAATGGGTTCAATACTAAAAGGGACATGGCCTACTCCTAAGGATGCAGAACAACTGTATTTGAAATTCAGAGTAGGGACATACGTACCCCCCCCTCCTGCCAACATAAAGAAGGCCTCGTTACTACATAACATGCAAATTGAACTTTGTAATGCAAATTCTCATCAATCATCGATTTGCCTAATAATGCTAAATCTCCTTTTGGTATGGGAACTTGATAGAAGTACAAAAGCAAAATGAACGAGGGACACTGTACAGTCACTAAGACTATGGTAACCACAAAATTCCAACAATGACTGCCTCCAAAAATAAGTGCCCCCCCCCCCCACCCCCCATTCTCATTTTTGAACCTAATATGATCCTTTCCTTTTTTAGGCATTCTGTATAGCTATGTTGAAAACATGTGATACTGTTAAATCTATTGTAAACAGGGCTCAAGTGTTTGAAGAGGTAATTACTTATCAAATAATTCATTCATTGTGTCATTAGTTGTCAGTATTTAGATTATTGCAAGATAACAAGAACCCTAGCTACATGTTTGCTTGCAATGCACCCCCTCCCCCCACCCCCCACCTCACGCTTGACTCCAGCTGTCCTGCAGCTTGCTTGTCTACTAAGCCTTGGGTAAGCCCGTGGAGAAGGCAGCCTAGCTACTAAAAAAAAAATAATCTACAAAAAAGCAATTTATTCCATAACTTATTTACAAAGTAATGTTTGTAGATCACAGTTCTTAGAAGACAGACTGTAGTCGATGTTCATGCAAAAAGTCATTCTTTTCATTTTCTTTCGTATGGTAGGAAGATTTTCAAGCGATAACATATGGTTTTAAAATGGCACCTCAAGTAACTGAAACAAGAGCAGCAGGTTTGTGATATTGAAGTTTCATCAACTTTCATCTCTAGTACTAACCTACCTTGGAATTATGTCAAGAGTGGGTTTCATTTGAATGTGAAAACCAAATGCAAGCCTATCAATAATAAGAAAACCTGACTTCAAATAAATATTTAGCCTACTGCTGCAGTACACATAAGAATAAGGCAGTTAATTGGGGTGGTGCTTTGGCACTACGTGTACATTAATATTATATAATTTCTTTTAGGAATCTTCTCTTGTTACGAGTGACAAAGACCATAATTTAAGTTAAATCCTATGTTTCATTTTAATGCAGTTGAACCTCTATGAAGCAGCCACCCTCTATTAAGCGGGTGGTTATCAAAGTTGCAAAATAATTGTAGAAAAGGATGGGAACTTAATCCTCTTACCCCCCCCACCCCATTGTTGTCCTCTATTAAGCAGCCATCCAGGTCAAGCACTTGATACACTTACTTTGGCTTTTTTTCAAGAATGATTTATGATGAAGGAAAAAACATTTGTAGATAGATGGTGACGACCGATTGTGGACCAGTAATGCCACTCTTGTTGATTGTTTGTTTCAAAATAAAGTACTGTTTCTGTAAAGATTATGCTAATTTGTGATGAACCTCTATTGAGCGACCAGCCTCCATTATGCAGCCACTTTCCAGTACCCCGACGGTCGCCTCCTAATAGAGCTTCAATTGTAGGTGTTTTCTTGATCTTCAGGTATGTTGAAAGAGGCAGAAGATGAAGTAGGAAGAAAAATCAAGGTATCTATCTTATCAACTTACTTGAATGCAAAGAAATGAGAAAAAAACAATCAGAAATTTCTCAATTGTTGGCCACGGAGAAGCAAATCTTGTTGCCTGTCAGGGCGGGACTTGAAATCAGGGCCTCTGGGTTGAATTTGTGCGAGTTTTCCCGGCTAGAAAGATTTTCAGAGAGTTATACAGTGCGTACAAACCAATTGTTATTGTAACCTGTTCACCTATTTATCCTTTGGGAGTGGTTTGTTACAGAAACCTGTCGCAGTGTGTGTGTGAAACATTTCTGTGTGCATTGAATGTTCGGTATTATATATTATTTTTTGACATTTCAGTCATTAAAGAGTCAGTTGCGTGAAGAGTCAGATTGCGACATTGAACATGTGCAGGTACAGAACGTTCATTCTACATTCGACATCTCCTTAGTTGATTCAGCGTTAATTGATTCCATAGCCATTGAACAGGCTTAGTGCTAAGAGAATTTTCATGACGATGTTATTGTTTGCAGAGTCAAGTAAAGAGTTATGAAGCAGTGTTAGCCAGGCTGAAGTTCTATAAAGCATTTTACCTCGCACTTGTGTCCCTTGAAAAGTCAGAGGTGAGACCACAAGCGTGTCCAACACACATTCAGCTTTATTTTTGTTTACTTTGCTTCTTTTTTTCTTCTTTTTTTTCAAGAAGAACAAGTTTCAAGTTTCTTTATTTTCTCATAACAAAAAAGTGTCCCTTAAATCGTTCTATGTGCTGGCGATTACTCTCGTAGTCTTGTACTGATCCAAGGTAACTGGCTGTTTCCCCCAGGTTTCGTTTCGCTAACTACCCGTTCGCTATTCTCTAACGTGTAAATCGTTTCCCGGAGCGCTACACATGTTTTCTACGTATACTTCGTTCTTGCCGAGCCATGACACGAAAACACCGATACAAGTGAATATATCTTGCCAAGAGATCATAATAGGATCTCTTGACCTTAGTGCTCTTTAAGCCATCGGTCGGGTGTTGACGTTAGGAATTGACCTAACACGTTAGCGAGACAACTAGAGATGTTGACGAACAGGACGTTCGCGAAGCGACTCGCAAGGGAAACGTCCGTAAATTTATATTGAAGGTCGCTATAGATTTGTAAGTGATAAAAAGCCAAGCGGATATCAAAGTGACCTCTGTTTGCCTAGGGATCTGGTGTACCGACTGCCAAGCAGTTACTTTGTACAGCCCGAACTCTTACTGAGCCAATCAGAAAGACGATTGGACTGGGAATTCAGCCCGTGCCAACTGAAGATAACAAACAAGGTATAAATCACTTGCTTTAATACAGGCTGTGGCATACAATGTGATTAAATTGAGTTTCTAAGACCAAGTTAAACTCTCTGGCCGGCCTTCAGGTGCAGCCAATCTTGTGAACCAATTAAAATTCGATAAAATTGATGTAGGTCAGGACGAGAAACTGCACCCCTGACCAAGTGTGAAGTCAAGATGGCTGGATATTGATCGAGTGTTTTTCTACGTTTTTATCAAGCGAGACATAAAAAGTCGCAAAAAGGAATGAGCCATAATCCAGCTATCTTGACTGAACAAGCTCGGACAATAAAAGGTTTATTATATGGCCAAAAAAATAGCTTTTCCACGGAAAAGAACACGGGAAATCTTGGGGGCCAAAATGGGCGCATCTTGCCCGCTTGGGTAGCTAATGAGAAAACAGGATTCGCTTTATCTTGCCCGACCGTGGATTCAGCCGTATAAGAAGTGGAAGTTAGAGAGAAAAGTGTTTCAAGGGTTTCTCTGTTGCAAGGGTCGTGGGTAATGCATGAATTTTGGTCTTTACAAAGTGTTAGTACTGACAAAGAAGTTGCAGTCCCTTGACAACCAGATGTTAAGCGTGAGTTGTCCTTCTTAACACAGGGAGTATTATGGGCTTTGAACCACTTGTCAATCAAAGACTTCTTCCGCCATCATTCCCAAGGTATACTGCAATCTTTGGCCGAGAACAGGTAGGTCATAAGCATTCCCTCCTTTGCTCAAGTTTTTCGCAAGTGACGAGGGCAGAAACAGTCGCATTTATTACAGGCATAACCATTAAGGCGGAGGAGAATTGTGGCAAATCAGAATTAGGCTTGCATTGTGCGCACACGCGAGACTTGTTCTCTTGTTCATTTAAAGGACACAGTAAGGCAGCCTGAAAATATTAGAATACAACTTTCCTTGGACAACCTACACTTTTTGCAAGAAGATGTAAAATGTTGAATGGGAGAATTGGCGAACATTTTCACCAACATTTTCTAAATATTAATAGGTTACGTTTCCACCAATAGCGTAGCATCATTAAACACGACCCATAGGACTGGCGCTCGAAAAGCCCGTGCTACCGAAATCTAGTAGATGATGATTGTAAAACATGTTTCTCTTGCAGGCGATTGACTACACAGAGGGGATGGTAAAAAGATTTCTTCACATCTGTGATGTGGTCAACTATTCGTCTCTACATATCATCATCGTATGTATCACTTAAAACTGCCGACATATCTTCAAACACATACTCAGCTACGTACTGTTTTCAATCGAGTGATAAACTTGAAACAAATATAGCTAAAGGATTGATCATCAGCGTAAAGCTAACTGGTATCCTGTTAATCGCATTTTTTGTTTTTTGCTTGCAGGCCTTTATTTCGGAATTTAGCAAAGAGCGGCCGTGTGTTTTAACACGGTCATATTTACAGGTGAATAGCTTGATTAACAAATAATTTGTTTTGCGAAAAGGCACAGTTCTTTATAATGATTATTATCCTCTTCTTTGAGTATTATTGTACATCTAGTCGCTTTTCCCTTTATATGAACTGCTTCTTGGTCCATTTTTCGGCAAAGTTAGCCACTTTAATATCATGATCAAGTCGTCCCTCGATCTCTGACTTTTCTGGGAATGTGGAAGCAAAACAGTTTTTACCCTTCTTGCTTTTGGGAAACAAAATTGATGGCGGTAACATCTGTTTCTCTTGTGTCTGATCTGGGAGGCTTTTGCGCCAGCGGGAATGTTGCCACGCTGTGTTTCCCAGATCGACCATGCCTTAACAAGTTGTAACCCACACTAAGTTTTTGTCTTTTTTTAAATTTTTCATGCAGCTTCTCGTGTGGCAAAATAACAATCTACTAGGAAAAGCGGAGACGATACGGGAAGCTATAAGGGCTTTCAACAGTCCTCCTTCTATTGCTGAGAAGTAAGTAAATTTAGAAATGTGTTTGCTTCAGTTCAAAAATGCATTTGCAATTTGAGTGTTGTTTTGGCCTGCTCAATTGGATGCAATAATATAAGCTGCAGTTGAGAGATGTATTGAGGCTCTGGCGTTCATGTTTGATTTGCTGTTTTTCGTCCTTTTGCAGGTCATCACTGAGCAGTAACCCAAAAGCGAATGAACTTGCTGATGCTTTTATCAGCAGAGCTGTCAGGGTAAGCTCAAGCTTACTCACTATTTATTATTCTACTGGGTGGTGTTTCAAGTTACATTCTAGAGCCTTTCCTTTAAAACCTTGACAAAAAAGTAAAGAATATTTAAACGGGGTCATTACGTACACAAAGGTGCTCTTCCTTGATCTCGAGAGATTGATAGATTTAATGCCTAAGTTGCTAACGATTTAATGGTTTGAGCACTCGGTAGAGCAAAAGAAGTTATGGATTTGAAGTCCAGTCAGTCCAGATTTTTGTGCGCGGCTGTAGCTTCAATTAGCCAAGGAGTAGATACCTTAAGAACGTCCTCAGTGCGATTATAATCCCCAAATTTATGGATGGGAATGTGTTTTGTTGTTTTTTTTTTTAGCCTGTGAAGTCTATCATTCATGCACTTGGTCACAATCGTGCTCGACAGAGAGATAAGTTAGCTCATCTCTTGGAGGAATTCGCTGCTCTCCAAGACGAGGTAGATTTTATTGCTTTGTAAATCAAGTAATCGATCCTCCCTGAGCACCCACTTGAAGTGGCAGACTTGTACTGAAATCAACCTTTTGTCTGAACTATTAGTGAGCTTTAGCAACGACGACGGCGACGGCATCGCGAACGTCAAAGAAGCAATAGATTTATGTGCAGAACAACAACTTTGCACGTGCATCACGCTTTTTTGTTTATTTCTTTGCCGTCACTGCACGACCACGACGTGAAAATGTCTAATTTCACGTTTTATCGAGAACGTAAACAAGCGACGACGAATTTCTCTTTCTCTTTCTTAACTTGAGTAGTGGGGTCCCCAAGAAATCAACCCCAGGGAAATTCGCCTACATTTTACATTTTCGGCGAACCTGGAATAAATGCGAAAAGTTTGGAAAAACGCCTGTCGCCGTCGTCGATGCTAAAGCTCTCCATTTCTTGAGGAAACAGCCGACTTTTCGCCATGCCAACACCGGTTTCCACGCGAAATGACATTTGTGGAACGAGCGCAGAAATTCTATACTGATGACACGTCACTACCCAGATCCGAGTTGTACTTCTGATTCAGGGATGAAGCAAATTTTCAACCAGTCAGAAGCACTACCCAGATCTGGGTAGTAACGCGTCATCAGTATGAAATTTCTGCGCTCGTTCCTCAGACTTCATTTCGCGAAAAAAAAAAACAGTTGTGGCGATGCGACGATGCGACGATGTCGGCTGTTTTCTCAGGCTATCTGAATTCCTTTTAAACTGCATTCTTTGAAATAATAATTAATTTTACAGAATTAACGTGAATTGTTTGCTTATACCCAATTGTGTTTAGGCAGATAAAGTGGACGCTCAGCTTCATAGCTTACTAATCAAGGTTGAGCCTCAGGTAGGAATCGAATGTTAACGCTATATGTAGAAATTAGCCATCTGCGTCGGTTTTAGTTTTCTTAGCCTAGTAAAGCACGGGCGGAAAAATTGACGAGGAAAAAAGTTGAATAAAATTGTTGTTGTTTATTATTATGATTACTATATCGCGTGTTACATTAAATTCTCAATGCTCTTATAATATCATAAAAGATTGAAAAATTTAGTCAGAAATTTATAAAAATTCAAGATAATAAAAAGTAACTCTTCAAATCCTAATTAAACCTCAAAATTACTTTTTAAATGATTCAGCAGAGGGGGCGATAGTTTAAAGACATCAAACGGACATGGCGAAACACAGTAGGGTAACATTCTAGGTGTCTTCTCGTGTAATGGCCGACTTGGCTTTTTCATATTTCTTCCAGCGTCAACACTTTGCATGTTTTGGTTCATGGGTGCTGTACCACACTCTTAACATCATGATTCAATATCTGTTGTCTGGATTTGAACTGGAACTGTATAGCCCACACGAGTATCATTACGTGTTTTGGTGAGTGAGTAAGCAATGGTTCGTAATTGCCATGATCCACAGCAAACATGGGTTTCGACTAAACCTTTGGTCGGGTCCAGAGTAAAAGACTACTCCAAGGTCAGTAAGTCACCTTTATTACACAAAAATTAAACCTTTATCCAGTCAAAACCCATGTTTCCTATACGTAGCGTACGGTATTTTTCATAAAAAAGTAAATGTGTAAATGTGACCAAGGGCGGGTAAAATGCTGGAGGTTGCATAAAAATCGTGTAGAGCGTGTCTTTCATTTTCCAGGCTCAACACTGCTGGCGTTTATAATCGATTGGTCAGTTTTTCACTGGCTTGAAAAACGATCTGAAATTACTGATCTATTATGTCGGGTTACATCAACTCTCGGCTGTCTTTGGTAGTCGCAGGAATTTCCAGCTTTTTAGAGAGGCTTTAATATTGCTTTCAACTTTGACCCTTTTGCTTTTTTAGGTACCTCGAGTTCCTTTTTGGTTGGCACATGACTTGTCTTAATCGTGCTGAGAAGTTGCTGCAGGCTCAAGAAACAGCTTTAGGTTACCGTTATCTGTTTTTTTCTTCTCATGTTTCTCTTCCTTTACCCAGGAGTTTCAATAGAAATTGAAGTTATCAACAGTCCACGTTTTCAAGGGGTGTCAGGGGGCATGCTTCCTCAGAAAATTTTAAAATTGCAAAGCTCTAATGAGCGATTTCCAGCGTTTAGGGGACTAAACTGAGTATAAAAGAGGAAGGTTTCCATTCAAGGAGATTTGGGTTTTTGTCAACTTTTGATTTATTAGCCACACAATTAACTCCTGCAAGCAATGAACAAATGATAACTATACTACGTTATATACATTTCCGCGAGAACAAAGTATATTTTTGTTCATGACATTATTCAAACTAGTTGCTTCTTTTTAGAAGGAAAAAGTAGCCGACTTCTCTGAGCAATGTAGCCGACGAGTTTCGTCGGTGGTCGGTGCTTATGGAGACCCCTGTTTACCCCTACTATGTTTAAGCTTTAGCCCCTTGATCAATTTATAGTCAGCTTTTGGCTTCTACCTCAACCCTGGCCAGAATTGTTATTTCCTCGACAAATGAGTTCATTTGCTCTTGTCTTAAATTCTCTTTTGAATATCAAGATAACATGTTTTGTTCATTTGTTCAAAATGTTTTGTTCCTCTCCGACTCTTTAATGTCTAAAACGGTCCTGGTTGTCCTAAAACGAAGTTTGTTTCTGTTTTTGTAGAACAAAAAAGTGGTCGAAGTGGTAAGAAAAACAAGAAGAAAAAGAAAGGTAAGTGTCATCTTCTCCTCTCTTAATATCTCTCAATTCTTAAAACCTTTGAAAACTGTACTTATCCGTGAAAAACGGACTCGTTACACGAAGTCTTTCCTAAGTGAGATGACCCAGACTCTGCCTATAAGGGCCTGTTTACATGAAGGTGGGGGACTCCAGGTAGGTGAGGTAACATGTGGCGGGTTACCCCACCTAACATGTAAATGTGATCACATTAATATGAGAGATTGTATGGACAGGCGGGTTACCCCACCTAAGCGGGTTACCTTACCTACCTGGGGTCCCCCACCTCCATGTAAACAGGCCCTTGAGGGACCATGCCACGCTTAAAGCTATGCGTGTAGAAATCTTATCACCAAAAAAACTATTATTGTCCGTGTCCCCTGATCAAATTTTGCCAGTTTGATATCTTCTTCGTAACTCTACAGGACCATTCTGAGTATACGCACTAGCGCGGACTCCTCAATAATGGCTTCATCTCGGAATTGGCTTAAAACGGTAATATCCTGGTGGCATAGCCCCTTCCGCTTAGTTATCTGTCTTGATCGTTGTTTGTCTTATTCTTGACAGCAAGTGAAAAAGCCATTCAGGAACATCAGGGAATGTGGCATTTGTATCAAGGAATGAGACACTTGTGTCAAGGATATCTTAGGGTATGAAATGTCTCTTTGATTCTTTTGTTGTTGCACTACTTTTAACATGCAAATATGGAGTACTTTAACGACACCACTGAAAACTGCTCTCAGTTGTTAGGAACAACTTTTTTAGTCTTTTTTCACGAAATTTATTTCCGTTTTAACGATGTCCTTAAAATGGACGAGATGGTTTATCTTAATTTTATAGATGTTTCGAAAGTACATAGTTTGAAACAGAACCATTTGATTCGGCGATTTGTATATATGTTGCTCGGCTTATCGATTGAAACTGTTTAAAACACGTCACAGTGTCTATATCTTTCTGTGAGACGTTTATTACACTAAATATCCTAGAAGCTTATCTGTTTTATCTTCCTCACAAATACGAACATATAAACCCATTTGAACTGTCTTATAATCATGTCATATGTAAATAGTTAAGATATTTTTATTGTTTCTATGGTAGTAGTAGTGTTAATTATTTGTTGATTGTTAATTTATAGCCCTTTGATTCAGTTAATTCTGCAATGTGGCAAATAAACGGTATATTTATTCCTATTTTTATTTTATTATATATTCCCAGGCACTTGAAGGGTTTGAGCTTCAGGAGAAGACGAGAAAACCCGAGGATAAATTTGGATCGGAAAAGGTATGCAGTTGATAACAGTACTTTGCAATTTCTAAAGCAAGCTAAGCAGTATTGAAATTGTCTTTTGAAACGTGGTTCCTTGACGCCGTCCTTACGTAAGACAATGAGGAGCTTTAACATCTACCACGGCGATGGCAGCGAAAACGGAAAACAGGAAGTGAATTCGCGCTGGTTCAAGCTTCGAATATTTCGCTCCTACTCGACCTACTCCATCCACAGGTAACCCAGGCTCTGTGATAGTACCACAGTACGGTTCCAGTAAAATTACAGTGTTTGTATGGGGTAAAAATATCATCCTAAAATTTCTAGGAAATACTAAATAAAGATCAATGAAACTTACTCTGCAGTTAATTGTTGTTGTCCTTATTGCTCCAACGAAGTTTCGTGATAATTTGCAGTAATTTGTTCAAATTCACTCTATCTACAATAATAATATACAAGGTAGGAAACACGAGGTGCCATTTTCGCCGACATGCTCTCATTCAACACAACTTTTTCCACGAAATTCGAGCTCCAACGGAAAGTAAACATGCCAGAATCGTAGAAATAGGATAGCAGCAGATATAGAAACCAATGAAACTTTCCCAGATAGAGAAACGAATCCCACAGACTTGGACAAACTCGAAGAATATAATCCAAACACACCGAGAATACGCTCGCCGAAGCAGCCGGGCCAGATCAACGCGCGGCCAAGAAAATGAGGCCTGGGCACTGTACAAAAAAATTCCATCCCGGGGGTCCTGGGGTGACCTTTCTAGGGACCGATACATCATTTGCCCAAGGCCACCCTCCCCTGCTGGAAAAATACTTGATAGAAGGCAATTGTTCTTCCTAGCCAATCACTATGGCCTGTTATAAAGAGATTATTTTCCTCTCGAACTATATTCAGCTCCTGGCGCTGGTCCTCAGAAAGTTTATCAAACATCAATAGGGCAAGGTTATAAGGGCAAAGGAAAGAACAACGAAGGACGATTTACAAAACTTAAAACGAGCTACAGATATAAGTGAGTTTTGGCTCTTACCGAGGCATTTGTACAACAGGACCAAATTCAAAGAGAGGTGTATCACGATGATTCACATATTTAACCGATAGAGCGTTCACTTGTATTGACAAGAAGTCGGCGTGTTACTGCCGCATTAATCGCTAAATATGTTAATCGCGCTCGTTCTTTGTTTACTAGTGCACGTGCCTTTCACATTCGTCTCAGTAATCGCAATTCATATTCTGTCGCAATTTTCTGTATAATTTTTGACATTAGTTTGTAAGCTTCACCGTTTATTTACGATAGTTTCGCTCGAGATTTCACAGCAACAGTATCTCAGCCATCATCTACCTTTTGTTCAACCTTGTTTTTAGCCCGCCTTGTAAGCATTTCGCGTTGTTATTTCATTAGTTTCATTACTGTTATTTGCATCCCTTAGTAAAAGAAATGGGACGCCTTGTAACTCCGCAGACTCTCCTGATTATATTACTTTTTTTTAGCCATTTAAATTCAGGCGCGTGTGCGGGGTTTGCTCCGGCAAATAGTGATTGGCTAGGGAGAACAATTGCCTTCTATCAAGTATTTTTCCAGCAGGGGTGGGTGGCTTTGGGAAAATGATGTATCGGTCCCTAGAAAGGTCACCCCAGGACCCCCGGGATGGAATTTTTTTGTACAGTGCCCAGGCCTCATTTTCTTGGCCGCGCGTTGATCTGGCCCGGCTGCTTCGGCGAGCGTATTCTCGGTGTGTTTGGATTATATTCTTCGAGTTTGTCCAAGTCTGTGGGATTCGTTTCTCTATCTGGGAAAGTTTCATTGGTTTCTATATCTGCTGCTATCCTATTTCTACGATTCTGGCATGTTTACTTTCCGTTGGAGCTCGAATTTCGTGGAAAAAGTTGTGTTGAATGAGAGCATGTCGGCGAAAATGGCACCTCGTGTTTCCTACCTTGTATATTATTATTGTAGATAGAGTGAATTTGAACAAATTACTGCAAATTATCACGAAACTTCGTTGGAGCAATAAGGACAACAACAATTAACTCGTTTTCAATTTTATTTAGTATTTCCTAGATTTTAGGATGATATTTTTACTGTAATTTTATTTAAAAGACTGTATCTGAGTTCAGGAAAAGAAAAGCTACTTTTTTTATTTGTGTTCCCGTCCCTCATATACTGAACGTGAAATTAGGAAGTTTCACGCCGTATTTGTGCAACAACGGCAAAGAAATGTAAACAAGCGCGAAGCACGTGTAAAGGTGTTGTTTTGCTAAAATAAACCAATTGCGTTTTTGCCGTCGTCGTCGCTAAAGCTCCCTAATTGTATTTCCAATGGTGAGAGGAAAGAGGTCTCCCTCCTTGATACCGTTAATAGAGCGTTTTGTGGTTGTTCTCTTGAAAACGATTTTATTACGAGCGTTGTTACAACTACCGGTTAAGTTGGCTTCTTGTCACGCCAATGTATTTGACCGAAGGATTTGCACATCTGTAACTTTAACGCAGAGTGGAGTAAGAAAATTCTAGTTCTCCTTTACTGTTTCGATGAGCTATCTGTCTGTCCTCAAACTCTTCCTCGCAGTTTGGATGTAAAAACTTCCGGGATTTGGTAGTAGGTTCCTGGCCTTTTAAAAAGAAGACGTAGGCACAGAAAGAAGGCAGGTGTCACGCAAGCTCCCCGCCCCCGCGTGATTCCGGCCCGAGCGGCTGCGAAGGAGACTAGTAGCCTGCGAGCAAGCTCTCCTATTTGGGCGAGTTAAACGAGTCTCGCCCCTCGCTCGCGCGTTCTCGCGAGGCTCGCTTCGCTTGCCCAAATAGGAGAGCTTGCTCGCAGGCTAGGAGACTAGAAGAAGGCAGTATTGTAGGGTTTTTAGCATTTTGTTTTCCTGCGTAATTCATAGCTTGGGTTCCCCATTTCTCTCTAGGCTTTGCCGCTAGTTCGCGTGCACTCGCAACCAAACCACCAGCTACGAAACTAGCATTTTGCCTTCACAGCGAACGGTAATAATTTTCTTTTACACAGTTGCGGTTTGAGCGTCGTTTCCTTCCATTTCAAACCGTGGATACTCCTCAGCCCATGTACTATGGACACTATAGAGAATACAGCAACATGTCAAAGATGAACGCATCACAGGTACGTAAACAGTGCATCTTGTAGCCTGCGAAATCAGCCTCGCCCCTTGCTCCTCGCCGCCAGGATTCCTTCCTGGCAAAACGTCCCCAGCGGCGAGGAGAGACGATCGATTTCGCAGGCTATGAATCTTGCGATAAATGCCAATGAAAAAATCTTTGCTTTCCCTCTAGGGTGTCTTGCAGTCGACTTGAAAAGGAGGAAAGAGAATTGCAGTTTTTGATGGCCTCTTTAGTCCATCATGTCGCTAAAAGTCTGCTAAACCCTTTACTGTCTCTTATAATTTGTCAGGTCTTATCCCAAGCAGACATATCCGGGATTGAACGCAACTTTTAAACTTTTCGAACCTCTTCTGCCATATCTTTCAGGTGCAAAAAAGGTCCTTTTTTTATTTTATGTTGCGATTTTCAAAATTATTTGTAAATGACAAAAGTTAGGTAACTTTTGCAGGCCCGATGCTTGAAATAATTTAGGCCTTGGCCAAACGTCGAACTTTTCAAGAAACGAACCAACAACAACAACAAGATAACCAAACTCTAATTTGGGTTGACCTAAATTTATTGGGTCAGACGTCGGAATAAGAACGCGTAGAACCAATCAACTGAATTAGATCAGTAATAAATTTTCTCCCAAACGAGGCTATATATATATATATTATCATACAATTTTTTAATAATTTATTAGTTTAGTTCGTTACATTTGACGATCGACTTTTTCCCGGAGACGATTTTCAGCCGCTCTACCCGTATTATTATTATTGTTATTATTATTATTATTATTATTATTATTACTATTATTATTATTATTATTATTTTCAGAGTACAAGCCTGTTTGTGATGGCGTCTAATTCTTTCCAGCAAGCGAAGTCGATATTTGAGGTGGTGAATAATGTGCATACCGAGGTAAAGTGTCTCGGGTGAAAAGACTTTTTAAGCCTCTTAGTCTAACTCTTTATTCAGTTTGTTCTAAAAACGAACGTTTCATTGTTTGCATTAACATGGAAAAAGACGGTGTTGTCTTTCAGGTTGCGTTGTTGCTGAAGGTGACGAAGACGAATCTTGTCGTTACCAAGCTTGCTGCTGGAGGTCATAAACACGATTCGAAGGTACTGCTAGATACCCGGGGGGGGAGCGTACTCAACAAAGTTTTAAACGGAGAGGATCCTCTCAGAGGCCCCACACCTTTTCCCTTTAAATACCATTTGTGGTATAAAAGGAACCCCTTTCGAGACAAATGGTACCCCTTTCACATACCTTGTGTTTTTAACTGCTGTAAATGTACTAAATTTTAAATCTGAATAAAGCACAAAACCAGAACGTTTTATCGACTTTTTCACAGCCATAAAATCCTTCTTTTAGGCCTTTTTATAGGCTCCCTATTCTGCCATCGATGTGGCCGCTTGTGTCGTTCTATGCTTTTTCATTATCAGAGCGCCATTTTTGTGTAGTATTGGCCCCATTACAGTAACTGTAATCTGCTTTCAGTCCAGAAAGAGAAAAAGGTTTAAGTCAGTCTAGAGTCAGTCCAGTTAGCTGACTGGCATCTTACTTCTTCACAGAATCCCCCAGAGTTTGATTTCCAGTGTCACCGCGCTTTTCCAATCATCAAGCTCAAGTGAAAGGTAAAGGAGATATTATGGAGGGGAAAGTCAAACTTAAGTGAACTTACAAAGCAACTTCGCGCAAAATACAGATGATGGTATAGCGAACTGCCACCTGCCAAGCTACATAATGACCGTCTCTGATTGCATTTTGGAGTTGTCTGTTTTAAGACGGAGTGGAGTGGAAGAGGGGACAGCAGTCTAACAGAGTGGAATCTACGTGCATTTTGACCGTTGCAACCACAAAACTATCAGAGTACAAACATCGAAAAACATTCTCTAATATTTCGAGTGCTACGAGTCTCTACTTTTCTTCCTTTTGTTTTGCATCAAACTGCAGTACGAACAGAACAAGTGACCAATTCCCTTACGCCCAAGTGAATAGCTTGGAGAACTGAACCCTTCCTCCTTTTTTGTAGTCCGTCTCAACGTTAGACGTAAAACAAGTGAATAAAACTATATGATAGTTATTTGACACGTCCATAGTCTTTCGGTCGAGTTGTGTTTGTCTTAGTATGTAGATACGTGTATCAAGAACAGGTTTTATCGAAGCGTGTTTCTGTTAATGTTCTTGTTTGGTCTTGTGTTGGCTGTTCAGGAGCGAGTTCGCATGAAATAGCGCCGCACAACAGTTTCAGCAGGTGTTGATGTGTTTAATGCAGTCAGTTTAGGGGAAAGTTTTATAGTGAGACAACTTCCCCCCCCCCCCCCCCACCAACGGTAGCAAAATGGTTAAATCGCGAGTTTTAATGTGCAACAGACTTTGATTATGCTACAGTGACGAGAATCAAGGGACAGCAAAGGAAAAAAAATTAATTGATTGATTTGATTTAGTGTAAATCATATTGAGAATAAGTTTACATTCATCTTCTCACGTCATATCTATAAACACAAGTCGTATTTAGGTTTCAAAATTAGTCTTAATTTTTTTGCAAACATCCGCCTTAGTTGTTTATTTACACTGTCAGTAGCCGGTCTATTTATTTGAGTAAGAAAGAACGTTTTTACTTTTAAAAACGATATTGCGAAGTGGGGCTTAGGAATTCTCCCGTTAACACACGTCAGTTATCCATCCTCCATAAGGCCTCTCCCAGGGGTATCCATTTTCCACGTGTTTCCTAGAACATGATATATTTAAAACAACGAAAGCTTAAGAGTGAGAGAACTGATGAACGAGATGAAATTGGCTAATTTCCAGAACGGGGTATCAGAGTGAAACGTACTACAGCTCAGCCTCCATTAAGCGGCCTCCCTCTCATCTATTCTATTAATTTAGTCTCGAAATAATTCAAGAAAAAAATTGTAAATGAAACCTTTTTAAATCGGTCACCTTTTGGCCATCCGGACGAAAAATCAAAAATAAAGTGATGCCAAAGATTTATGGCGAACCTCTGCTGAGCGGTCAACCACATGCTCATACCCCGAGGGTGTCCGCTTCATGAAGGGTTAACTGTATTTTTCTACTGTAGAGTCCTTGTTTGGAGATCTGGCTGGCATCTTACCACCAAAAGCCTAACGGACCCCTCCCCTATCGGCATAAAGAGGTCACGTTAGAGCTGCATTTGGATCTGTCCTTGTGAAACAGTACGTCTCTAAATCCGTTATTGTCAGGCAATGTTTCCTGAATACAGGCTCAACTACGAGTCCAAGAAGGCCAGCAATGAGTATGCCCATACCGGTAGCAACAGCTACAAAACCCAAAACAAACTCTCTTAAAGGAAACTCGTAAGATTCTGTGAACACTTGAAGCACATAAGCATACATTATTCCGATTATGAGTCCAGCGAAGAAGGAAATAACCAGTAGTACTGTTACATCGGGGAGGAAACGGTACCACGCCGCAAATAAGCAGAAAACAAGTATACAGACCTCAATGATGGTTAATAACCAAAGTCTTCTGACTATCAATCTAGAAATAAGTTCTTCTTTGATCAACGCCACCACGCCAAGGTAGGATCTACCGATAAATTCTCCCGTCAAAAATAACGTTATATAGTACTGGTAATGATCCCTTGGGGGGAAGGGTGAGTTGGGAAATGCGTACGTCGTGATTACAGCCTGCATGACCAAGAACTCCGAAAGCCATGAAATCACGACGCAGATGATTGGAGGAAGAATTTGCTTGATTGCTTGCAGCTTTGCTTCTCTTGTTATCAGTGGCGGGTGACGAGAGTCAGTGTTGCTGCCCTGGTCGAGTTCCTGGTATTGTATGCTTTTGAATTCAGCTGTCTCTGAGTATTGCGATGAAGAATCGCTATGTTTTCTCTCCATTAAGAAATAAAATATCAAGTACACCACAACAAGGCCAGCTACGGTCATTGTTGTTGTCTCCGACGAAACGCAGAACCACGTAGTCATCGCTGGTGAAAAGAAAAGGAACATAGAATTTATGTATAACCATGTGTAAGAAGTTCGGCTTAGTGCATACCCGGTTTTTTCCTCCACAAGATTTAGCTTGCGAGCAGACTTTTTCTTTTTCTTCTTTTTTTCTTTCCAGGGAGAGCACCTACCCTGGGTAGCAGAGGCTTTTTCTGTGGCGAGAGAAAAAAGACAAGAACGGCGAAGCGGGTCACTATGAGGACTTGACCGAAACCACGCCAAAACCTGATCGCGGGTGACTACACAAAAGACACTATAGTGAAGATAACATGGCGGTGACCAAACCCGCATAGGATTTTGACTTACTTCATGCAAAAAAAGGCCCAAAAAAAAGCCAAATATAACGATTAGGATTAAAAGCAGTAAAAGTTATTCAGTCATTTTGGGACTAAAAGTTTGAAGTGCTTTCGGAAGTTCAAACTATAATTAAAATGATTTTATATTGCATATTTTATCTCATTTCATTTTGTGCCTAAAATGTCAGCATTGGCACAGTATATTTTTAAAAAATATCTATTAGAAATCTGAAGGAGAAATAAGAGTGATGTTTTTGTAGTATCAGCTTTAAGGTGGCTGGGATGTTGCCATGGATACCTACTATTTCAAGAAAACTAACCAAACTTGTTTATTAACTTTTTGTGGATTGCCTGCCACACATTATATAATCCTCGAGGTATAACATACAGTTGAACTTTGACAAAAAAGTTAAACCCCCTCTCACCACTCCACAACAGCACCTTCTCCTCAACGACTACTTCAATTATTTATTCCAAATAATATTGTCGCGGGAATTTTTTCCGGTTATATGACTATGATGACGCATTCCAATCCGACCAGATTTAAGCCTTAAGAAAAAATGAACTCAGTATCTCAGGTGCAACAAATTATACAAGTACGTTTTAGACTGAAATGAACTCGGTTTTACTTCTTAATCAATCTTGATTTTATTTTTCTATGTTGTGGGCCTTCGCTTTCGACCACCAAATCGGTGTTTGTTTTCTTATTAATCTTAAAGTTAAATTTCACGCCGCAATGAGCACTGTGATGTGACTCCAAATGATGCAAAACATTGCTAATAAAAAATCAAAATTAAAGAAACGGTTCAAATGGAAGAGAGAGTTTGTTTATTTGAAGAACACCTGAAGGACCTTGAGTGAAACAGTCATTGAAATCAGAAGAAAAAAGGGTAGATTTCGAAATCGAAACAGCCGGCCTCTACTGATTTGAAACAACGCACAAATCCGGTATGATTGGATATGAGAAAATATATATTGTCAAATTTTAGATTCGGCTACGATTTATAAGAGATTCTAGAACAAGTACGTTTAATATTGGAATATGTCACCAGAGCTTCCCGTTTTTGTCCAGCACAAAAAGCCACGGAGTAAATGATGAAGAGAGCGACTTTCTGAGGCACATGAATTTCATTTAAGAACCAAATTACTGCAAGATCCTTGTACTCAAAGCCAACCCGTTTTTCTCGCGAAGTGTGGCCAATTAACCAAGGAGAAATTAATTCAAGCGGTTTATTTGCTTGCTATAAAACCTACCTGTGTAATAGAGAGGTGCTGCTATGAACCCAACACCAGTTCCGGCTGAAAATACACCTACTACCACTTGATGGTAGAATGAAGTCATGGTAATACTCGACATCTCTCCCACACCGAAAGCCAGTGATACCAAGCACACGGCAAGGAGTTTAGCTCCCACGCGCCTCACATAAACCAGACTGAACAAACCGACTTCATAGAGGACAAAGACCACGATTATTCGAGGTAGATACGGGATCTTTTGTACAAAATAAGGACATACGAAAGTTATCAACACGTATGGTCCGATAATACACGATATCACCGCCGAAGTAGGTATGTCACTGCCTTTCAAGATGTCTTCAGCTGCAGCGATTAGAAGAGAATATACGGTGTATAAAATAAAACCGAAAGCGAAAAACGCTACAATTGTGATAGTTCGTTCAGTATGGTTCTCTGTAGACTTCTCGTGTTCGTTTTCGTCAAATTTGTCTTCGGCAGTATCGTGTTCCATGCCTGAAAATCTGTAACCTTGGTCAACGCTGTGCGAGGAATGATGAAATGTAAATGATTTTAGAATGATCAATTAATATACCATGTGAATAAATTAAGTCGTTTAGGGTATTTGTTTATAAATTGTGACTGGTGAATTTCTTTTCGATCAGCCACTAGTTACAGGCGCACCACTGGTAAGCTATGTTTCGTGCCAGACCGAGGCCATACCGTTATCTTATTGCACAGGGAACCATTTTTCCATTAGTCCTTATGTTTTGTCAGCGCTCTTTTTTAAGCCAGCGATCAAACGATGTTTGATTTATTCACTGAGTTGAAAAGGGTCAATTTGCATACGAACAAAGGAGTTTCCTAGTGAGTTTTTTTAATGAGAAGAATGTTGATGAAGGCTATAAAATCTGACTCAAGGAATAGGCCACTTCTCTCGGATGTTCCAAAAAACTTCACCTTCAAAAAGGAGGCCAAGTGCACAACTTTTCTTGTGGACATGAGTTTTATTTGCATGAGAATGAAAAATCATTTCCATATCATAGGCTGAGCACTTAACCTCGTTTTGATACAGAGGCCCGGGGGAACTCGGAGTGGCCTATTATTACTATGACTTGGTTTGCAGCATGTGGGGATGTAGCCTGTACCAGGTTCTCAGCTCGATAGTATAGTGGGGACGTAATAAACGAGCAAAGCGAAAATAAGACGCGAGCGGCCTAGGAAAGGGGGCGGTGGCCGCCCCGTCTCTCCCCAGCCCCCGCGCGTTTTCTTATTTTTGAACGATTTTTCACTTTCACCACTATCTCGGAGCCTGGAACAGGCTAGTGGGGATGTAAAGATTTGTAAAGCGATGAATAATTAGGTTTTTAGTTGGTTCATCTACCTGACAAGGGACGTCCCAGTCACCCCAGTTCGGCAGTTTTTCGGCACCTCAGTATCGATTTGTTACAATCTTTTTTACTGTTATCTCAGTTCGCGACTTGATTAAACTTTCTCTCAGTTTCAAGACAAAAACGTTACTGTGAGGTAAAAAAAAATATAGCCACGTAGACATTGACGCGTACTTCTTTAAGTGCGCGTTATAATAATAAAAAACTTCATTTCATTTTCATTTCGGTTCATTTATTGGTTTATTCAGATATTTACAATTCTATTTTCTCACTGCCCTTCAATCGGCATCAAAGCGCTTACCACCTTTTGGTCCTCTAGCCAACGGCAATAAAAGCAACGCCAAAAAATCCAGATTTCGCCCAAATCGAAACTTAACGGGAACGATACATCATTGATCAGTAATCCTGAGAAGTTTAAGTGTAGGATTGAACTCGGCCAAGCGCGATGCAAACGGATTTTTCAAGGTTCTCTTACTCTCCTCGACCCTCCTTGCATCTTTCGATTTCGCGACATCCCGTCCAAAAATCAAAGTTTGGTGAATGCGCAGTAACGGGATACTGTTCCTTTGAGGTTATTGCGGGCGACGAGAAGAGCGCGCAATCCTAATCCCCAGGTCGCTATTACGCATGCGTGGCAAGTATGTAGACAGCATTGGTTTGGACTTTCACTAAGAATATCTAGAATAGTCGCCTAATCAAATTCAATAGCCAAGCGTGCTTCATATTCAAATTGAGTACGCTAATGACGTCAATAATGTATACCTCGAGTCCTTGTAAGCTTAGCAATCCTATTCGGCAATATTTTAGTTCTAGTATAGTGTGAAAAAGGCGTTTCACTTTATCCATTGAATTAACAGTATTAAAGTATTGTCCAAACCTGCCATTTTTTTATTTCTTTTTTTTTAGGAGTCCTTTCATGTCCTATCTTATTTTCCCCCACAGTATTCAAACGACCATTCGCCTTTACCGTTGGTGCGTTTGTAGTCGAATAGTAAACACTAGTGACCTTTAGACAGGGGCACCCAACGGCAATTTTCGGAAAATATCTGTTCGGAAGACGGTTTGAGATCTAGAATTTTCGGAACATTTAATGTAAAATTTCTTGCTTGCCTACCTCTCCTATGATTTTCAAACATCTACAAAATGGTATAATTACCCATTTTTAACGGATTTTGACCCTAAAAAAGGCCACCTAGAATTTTCGGGAGCCTTTTCCTGGCTGAAATTTTCGAAAAGGGAAGTTTTGACCCCTATAATTTTCGGATCACTAGACTTTCAGCTAGGAAATCCGAACAGATGAAAAGTTTTTATGCCTATATCTACCGTTTAAATACTAAAATACGTTCAACAATGCTTTGTTAAGTGGTTTTGAACTATATCCTCGTTGGGTGCCCCTGTTTAGATTCTAAGACGAGTGCGAGATTTTCTCAATACTAAGTGATACTAAGTAGTAAGCTCTCTTAAACCAGCGTCATTTTGGCGGGAACATGTGATAGTCATCGTCATTCTCAGTACGAGTTTTAGCGAGAACGTCGTGTTAGCGGACACAAGTTATAACGTCTTATAGGTTTTATTATTTTGCGGCTGGGAGATAGCTTAACCTCCCTCAATCAAGATCACTGCCAATGTTCTTGGTGAAAATGATGTACTCTGAAGCTATCCGGGGTGTCTATTATTTGAGAATACGCGAAAAAACTTGAAGTTAAATCTGCGTACTCGTAGTCGTTCTCGTTCTAGAATCTAAAGGTCTCTACTATTGGTATTCCACATTGCAGTGTCGTACTTCCTTCCTTGCCTTGCCAAGAGAATGCATTCTATTAATTCCTCGTTAAAGTTAAACGGAATCTTATGAACAAAAAGTTTGCCTTTATTTTCTTCTCCTAGCGCCCAGCTTAAATCTTGGAAGGTAATCCAACAAAGCATTCGCACCAATTTCCCACGACAAACTTTACTGGTTTTCCCCTTACTCCAATACAAAGCCCTTGCTATCCATCTTGGTTGATTTCCGTTGATTCCGCCTGGAACTCCTGGATGTCTTTGTAATGATGAATATATCGTTTCATCCGGTATTTTAGAATCTTTTAGGAATTCATAGAAGTCTTTTCCTATTTGACCATGAAGACCAAATTCGACGAATTCTCTTATAGCAATAATATGTGTTGATCCTTTATAGATTGTAATATTGTGTGGTGGTGGCCCTTTTGGCTTATTTGTTCTGTACATTTTGTGGTTTTGTTTTAATATGTAAACAAATTTCGTTCGGAGGGAGGATTCACTTTTGTTCATCATTGGAAAACTTCCTATGTTGTTGGTATTGTTTAAACCTTGTAATGCTTTTACAATCTGCTTGTTATCATAAAGCGGAAAATCCTGTCCAACTAAACTTATGTAATATTTCCATTTAACTTGTGATTTCAAAAGCTCTTCCATGCAACTAAATTGAGCTTGAACTACAGAAATATGTCCCCATGTGACGTCAACACTGTTTGCTGCGATGAAAACATTTGGAAGGCAGCGTATAATGGCCTGAATTGCTTTACGGAAGACCTCTGAGGATTTCTTGTCGATGTGGATGCAGTAGACATTGTTTGGCATGTAAATTGCTCGTAGAATTCGATCGAGCAGACGTGAATCTTTATGAACAGTGAGACCAAAAGCGATCGGAAGCTCCTCTTCTTCTTTTGACACAGGAGGATGAACAAAACGAGTTTGTAAAACGCACGGGCAATCTTGATCAGGCCTGTAGATACTCAGAATTTCTGAGTCATTCGATGAGATTTGATTCTTTTGATTGATTTTTTCCTTTCCAGATATAAGGTTCTTGCATCTTCTCCACTTGGATTCCTGAAAGAAAAATGGCCGCCGCTAAGGTTACTGATCATGAATTAAAATGTTTACCTGTGACATTTTAGTCATCTTACAAACATAGCTAGAAAATTCGCCTAATCAAATTCAATAGCGCGAGCGTGCTTCATATTCCTAGTGAGCACGCTGATGACGTCAATAAACTATTCGTAATTCCTCGAGTTGTTGGGAGCTTAGCAATCCTGAGTCTCCCGAGTGCATCCATAACTCAGCAATAGACAATGAAGCGTTTACCATGTGTTTTATAAGGAAATTTAAGAGGAAAGGTTTGAATTTGTTAACCGATAGTAAGGAAAAGAGGTGAGTGTTGTTTTTGTTGTTGTCATCTCGGCGAGCTGTGCGGGCTATGGCGTGAGATCATTCTTTGCAAAGTTGTTTTCTCTCAATAACAATTTTTCGGTAAATTAAAAGTTTTCCGGCACCTAAATATGGATTTTGCAATCATTTTAGAGTACAGTTTCTCTCAGTTTCAGGATAAAAACATAAGATTAACTGTGAGGAAAAAAAATATAGTCACGTAATCATTAACGCGTACTGCTTTGAGCGCGCCCTACAATAATAAAATTTTCAGTTAACTGCTGCATTGATCGCTTTGATAATGTTATAAAACAATTAGTTCATGCTGCAGCTGTGCGTATGTCGAGATATTGAACACTTGGGAAGTTTGGAGAGCACTCAAAAGGCTAGAGTTGCACTCGGCTGCGCCTCGTGCAACTCTTACGCCTCTTTCGTGCTCTTCAAACTTCCCGCGTGCTCAATATCTCGACATACGCACGCTGCCGCATGAACTAATTGTTAAATACCAATACAAGAGTGTAAACTCTTTAGGCTCTTTTTAAACGCTCTTTTTGGTTTTCTTTTTGAAATGCCTTAGAGTCAAGAAACACGGACGTTACGATCGATTTGGGCCGCGAGAAAATTAGAACGAGAGCCATCTTCCTTGCGCTCTTTTCTCGTCTTTTACTCTCGTCTTTTACGTTCCTCGTTCTTTTCTCTGAAACCGCACGGAAACGCTTGCTACTGTGGGGGTGTATTGAAGCAACTCGCTCACTACACGATGAGGTACCACGAATCTGTGCTGTATTAGGTTTTTCGTGAATTTTGAATTTTAGTCTTCATTTTGTTTAAAAAAGCAGGAGCTCATGAGGCATAGGCTCCTGAAAAAAGTTAATTTCTATTTTATTTTCTCGGAAAAATTAATTTTCCGGGGGAAATGCCACTAAAATGCTCGAATAATGCTCAATGCTTTTGCTTCACT